GTGAAAGGATTCAAATGACGTTGTAATAAATTCTCAGTCTAAAAATATATTTTGCACAAGCCGAAGAGGCAAAAATCATCATAAACTTTATAGTCGATTTTTGCCTCTTCGGCTTGGGCAAATCGGCAGATTATTGAATTGGACACTTTTCAGGATGTGACTAGCCTACCACACCTTAATCTGACGGTTTCAAGTATTTCTACCTTATCAAAACATTTTTTAAATATTTTAATCGGCTTCCCTAGACGCGCCTCTTTATATAGAAGACTTATATTATGGTGAAAGTACTCAATAGAGTGCAAGGTAACCTCTTTTATGTTAATCTGCCGCGCTTGAGTAACTACAAAAATCCCCCTCTTGGGCTCCCCTACTATAAAAATTCTAAAGTTATTTGACTTTTATTACTAGCATTTTCTTTAAACATTGCTGGCTGCTTGTTGGAAGCTAATTCTTCATAATAACATCTTAAAGCTGAATGCGAATAATGAGTTTGAAATGTAACATTGGTCATATTACTGGTATTTTTTCTTCTTCATTTTCCCTACTGCTGCTGTCTAAAGCGTCACTCCTTTGATATTTTCTGTAAAGAATGTTGTTTTAATTGATTCAGATTTTTCTGTAGAGAAGAAATTCAACCGGTATCTAGGATCTAACAATGTCACTAGTCTATAGTATTTGTTTGTCTTCCTGGATGTTTACAAATCTGTGCTTCAGTTCTGTTTCTAATGTCCCTTGCACTTTATTAACGGGATTTGCGCGGGAAAGGCTATTGGCCGACATGTATAAACACATTTACTACGCAAAAATTAACCGAATAATTCGGCCGAATGTTCTGTTCTGTACATTTTGGACCGAATATTGGGCCAATATTCGTATCCCTAATTATAAGATTTATATCTTTTATGCTAATTGTTAACAATTAATTAACTACGAAAAGGACGAAGTTTATAGCTATCCATATTTTAAATTGTGTGGTATAAGACCTGTGAATATAACAAGCTATGAAAACGCTATAGGACCATTAAATTTTAATGAATATTGAACTACAGTACTATATAATTTTGCTAATACATAACATAATCAATATCATCAATAATGGATTTGATTGAAAACAAATCTAATCTTTTTGCGTTCGAAAAAATGTCAAAACCACAATTAAATAAGATAAAATATGATATAATAATTAAATTGTTTTATAACTAATCAAAGTAATCATACATAACGTATAATAATAAGTACTTTTTGTATCCCGTTACCCCGTGGGTACATCTCGCGGAAAAGATGAAATGTACTCGTATATTATGTCTCCGACTGCATAATACCTACTACATATATATTCCTTTGTCAACTTGTTTTCATCTTATTAGTTACTATTCTTTATTGCACTTAAAAATCAATACAGTAATTTAAATACAATTATTATTTGTAAAGGTGGACTTATTTCTAGAAGAGACCTCTTCCAGCCAACCTATGGTAGTGAGAAATAGTGTTATAAAGCAGGCTAAATTCGTACAGTCGTAGTCATATAAATAATATATAGATACTCAAAAATAAATAGCTAATTAAATAATATATATAATACCATATAATATACACTACTTACTATACCATACATTATTATGGATATACACATACATACAATTGTAAAGTTAATTATTATAATGCTTATTTAAATTATTATCTTTCTTTTAAATTAGCGACGTAAATTTGCATTTTCTCCGATAACTCTATAACTATTAACTACTTACCTAAAAGGTATACCTACCTAACAGTGTATCGTTATTATTATTCATTTTATACAAGCTATAAAGATAAAATATGATAAAAACAACATTATGTGAAATAAGATATTTTTTTATTGTTATACGTGCTGCATCGTATCTCGTTAAAAATTTACAAAAAAAATGTGTTTTTATTTAACCTATCAAAAGAAACATACAACAAAATGGCGGCATTTAAATAACCGTGAAGACACGATCGAACGTGTGTGCCAAAATTTCAGCTTAGTCGGATACTGGGAAGTGGGACAAATTTAACTTGCAAGATTTGATTACAGACAGACACCGGGACTAACTTCATACTGTAGTTTAAATCTGTCGCATCGTAAAAAACTTACTCCATAAGAAGTATGTATTCAGCCCTTTTTAACGTCCCACTGCTGGGCACGGGCCTCCCTTCAATACGAGGGGGATCACGACATAGTCCACCACGCTGGCTAAGTGCGGGTTGGCGAACTTCACATGTCTCTCGAAAACTTGCTAGGTTCTCACAGACATGCAGGTTTCCTCACGATGTCTTTCCTTCACCGTAAGGCAAATGGTAATCATGTTAGAAATGATTTGCACATGAAAATATCAGAGGTACGAGACCCGGGATTTGAACTCGCTTAATTCAGTTTCCCAAGCGAGCGCGTTACCACTGGCCTACCACTGACACATAAGAAGTATAACTTCAAAAATATTTTAAATCATTAGGAACATGCATAAACGCTTTGATTATTTAGAATATTATATTTTTTGAATAACCTGATTAAAACACAAAACAAAGTTAATTTTTTTCTCAGCCTTTTGACGTTCACTGCATTTGTAGAGTTTTAACTTTTAATTAAAACTATATTATCGAATTTTTTAGCGAATGTGTTTTGATTTTTGATTCGCGACGTTTTAAATATTTTAAACTTTACAGCTATCATAACTATTAATTATTATTGCTAAAATGCGACGATTATGAATTCCGGGCTTGCTAAATATATGTAGGTACTTTATCAGTACTTACTTTAACAGAGAAGTCCGATTTTAATGATTATAATATATTATATTGCATAATATCATCGATCATCACCATCAACATTTTATATAATAAACAAATAATTTTATTTAAGATGTTTGTTACTCTTTCACGCAAAAACTACTGAACGTTTTTTAATGAAACTTTACAATAATATAGCTCTCAATAATATAGCTCACACATAGGCTACTTTATATCCTGGAAAAATGTACGGTTCCCGTAGGATAGATTTGTTTTTGTTTTGAACCCGATTGAAGCGAAGGTGAACCGCTGATATTAATTATTTCCAATAAATTATTTCTAAATATTTTTTTTAAATGCTAAAACCACAGACATGCATTATTATTTAAATAAATATATAGGAACCGGCTTCAACAAATTAATTGATGGAACTGAAACATAGTTTTTAATTATTTATTGAACAACTATCTAATATTGTTATATTAAAATGATGTATTTGTTATATTCTTTTACTTAAAAAGTAACTATCTCATATATCTATACATATAATAAAATTGTAACTAAGCCGAATATGTACATTAAATATATTTTGGAAAATCTTATTGAAATAAACATTATTATCGATACAGAGGCCGAATCTATAGTTTTTAGAATTTTTGTCTGTCTGTCTCTTTGTGTGTCTGTCTGTCTGTTACCGCATCACAGGAAAACCACTGGAGAGTAAGAGTATACTAATATGTAAGAATTTGGTTTTTGGTCGCCTGAACGCGGGCGGAGCCGCGGGCAACGCTAGTTATTTATATTATGCTTATATTAAGTCTATAATTTATATAGTAATTTTAAAGGCTAATTTAAGACTTCTATCCATGATAAAAAAGCATTAATGTTCAGCGAAATCATCAACGATTTTTCATCGAAAAAAGCTTGCAAGGTTCTATTCATTAACGCTGTAATTTATTTTCGAATAATTCTTGTATTTGAATATATCTACATAAGTTTATTGAAATACTTTAATTTGTTTCGCAATAAATACTTAAAACACTTGACTAAAAAAATTGATTATTTTAATCAGAAAATAATTAGGGGCCTCCACTCCTTTGTTACCCCAGGACGTCAAGACCTCTAAATTCGGCCCTGCCCTCAGTATATTGTAAAGCTCTATAGCATGGATGGATTTTTTTCATTTTATTTTAAAATTAACTAGAATGAATAATTGTACAGTACCAGGATGCAAAGAAAATGGATATCATTTTTTCCCAAAAGAGAAAAACTAAAGAAATAGTAGGCTAAAGCAATAAGACGACCAAAGTTGGCGAAATCACAATCTTTATATTTAAGGCTATGTGAACATGTTTTAAAGGCAGTGATTTTAAAACTCTTAAATCGTCTGCAGGTAAATGTTTTTTTTTTTTAAATGTTTTGTACATTTTTAGATATTCATTACAGAGTTTCATACAAACTTTTATCCCCTATTTTACCCGCTTATGGGATTAAATTTCAAAAAATGCTAAAACACGTATTTATTTCATTGTATTGGAGTGGATTAATACCAAGTTTCAAGTAATTCTGATGATAAATAATTCTTTGCCCATATAAACTTTATTACCCTCTTTTACCTATTTAAATGATTTGGAAAAAAATCAATAAATATATTTCTAATTTTTTATCCTAAAGCTAACCGCTACTTTTTATGTATTTCACATTAAGAATGACAGTTTCATACACTCTTTAATCCCATATTTTAATCGCTTATTATTATAAATTATATTATTATTATTGTACAGGTAGGATGTGACGGGATAGAAGCAAAAAACCAGGTACAAAATAGATATCATATTGCTTAACCTCAGACTGAATGTAAATAGACCATACGTATAGCGCTCTCCTTTCAAGAAATACCCCATTACGCCTTAATTATTTATCTATGATTCTTATAATGACAATTCACAACTGTCATTGTCAATTAATCTTCGGTGACGTCATGTTTGTATTTTGTTGTATGACTATTTCACGTAGACAACGCTATTTCATAGAGAAATATTCCATTTGCAACTTGCAAAGTTAATTTGCCGCTGTAATTGCCGGAGGTAAATGGTCTACGATAAACGAATTACGATTTGCCGGTAGGCTGTAGAGTGTAAACTATGCGTAGCGTTTCTATTTGTGGGTAAACTCAAAAGTGGTTAATTCGGTATTTTTAGCCTATTGTTTTTTAAATTTTTTATACACCCTACAAGTTATTAGTTTGAAGTATGTCTCATTTTAAATTAATATCTTCAACAAAAGCTTCTGATGTAATACCTGTTAATAAGTATGTATCCGAAAAAACTGGATTGACGGTAATAATAGCAAACGTCGAGGGTCCTTTAGTTAATGGATTTTTTTGTCTTGGTAAGTCTGTTATTTTTTTTTATGTATGCTTTTATTTTTTGGATATTGATACAGTAAACATTTATTAATTTTAAATTATATTTTCAGCTACAGAAGCCCACGATGACGATGGCTTACCGCATACATTGGAGCACCTTATATTTTTGGGTTCAGAACGTTACCCTTACAAGGGGATCTTAGATTTGTTGGCCAACAGATGTATGGCGCATGGCACTAACGCATGGACAGATACAGATCACACTTGTTACACCATCTACACAGCGGGTGATGCTGGTATGCTGACATTATTGCCTATTTACCTTGATCATATCTTGAGGCCTACCCTTACTGACCAGGGCTTCATAACTGAAGTCCATCACATTGATGGCGATGGAGAAGATGCCGGTGTTGTATATTGTGAAATGCAAGGACGAGAGAATACAGCAGATAGCAGGTCTTATGTTATGAAGTTTTATATGGTAAAATTGCATAGTTATATTTAAATTTAAAATAAAATTATTTTTATGTAATAGATGTGACCTGAGATTACTCCGTGCAATATACCCAAATAATGGATATTCTGCTGAAACTGGGGGTATTATGGAAAACTTGAGAATTTCTACAAACAACACTAAGGTACATAACATAGTGATATAGTACTAGGTAAATTCATATATTACATTTGGATCATAACACATATTAATGAAATTAATTTATTGTGTATTTTACGAAATATATTTAAAATAGCTTAAATTCTATTAAATTTTATTAAAGGAAATACTGCCAATACTGAAAATACTGCTGTTTAGTATATACAATAGGGTGGAGCGAAAAAGAAATGTTTTTTTCTTAGCATGGGGGTAGTATTTGTAACTTATAAAAAAACAAATTTTTTGAAATAAAATATGTTTTTTTACTCAACATTTTTAAGGTGGCTCACTGATTTTAAAATAATTAATGTAAATTTTTGGTTTGAATGTTTTTTTTTTCATTTGATAATCTTTGAAAACATTTAAGACTTGATAAATATAGTCATTTTTTACTCGTGAAATAGGATGGATTTATTGGTATTAGTTTTTTTTTGGTATTTTAGCATTTTTTCCGCTAACTGTACATTTTTTCCAAAATCTGTGAATGCAGTTCAGAATATCTCAAAAAGTTATGGCTGGTCTCCTAGGAACGTTTTCCTATAACTATAGCAGTTAAGGTACCTGCCCTTACTATCCCGTCTCAAAAATCTACCCTGTATAGGTAGTAAGGATGTAAATAAGAAAAACCTGAGTCCAATTACTCATATTGAAAAATATCATCATATAATCAATATAACCTACTCCTCAAGTGGTTGTGTCCCATGTATGTGTAATAAAAGTATCTAGTTAAAAGATGATTGTGAACAAAAGCTCCCATTTGAAAAACTTAGGTAATAAGTTTTTAATGTTTTAAATGTATGAAAGAAGGTCAGACTTCAGTTAAATATGTTAGAAAATACATTTTTACATTTCTGAAATGTTTATTATATACAAGATCATTAAATATATTTAAAAGTTGGCTGACATTCTTGTGATAACTAAGCTAATATGTAAAAACTACTATCATTTACATTTACATTACACTATCACAGCTCATCTAACACAGTAGATACTTTTTATAAATTGCACTATGTTGTTGTAAGTGTGGACCAGGCACTTCATCATGTGAAATAATATTTATTATTGTTGAGAGGATCCTATTATTAAAAAAATATGTGTTTACAATTAAGTATATATAGTATATGTGAATATATTTATTTCCTAAATGCTTTACATATACAATACATTACAAGTAATACATTTAGTATTACTTTGTAAATATTATTTACTAAATTGAGTGGTTATAAAACAATAACTTTTTTGTAGGTGCGAGATTATCACAAAAAATTCTATAGAGCTGAAAACTTAACAATCATATTAACAGGGCAGATTGAGGCAGAAGATGTTTTTAAAGCACTTGCTACGGTGGAGGATGACATCATTGCAAAGGTGATTATGTTATGCAGTACATACATTAGTGTAGTAACCTGCTTCACTTTAGTAATAAGGTATAGTGTTGAAGGTCATATTCATTGTTTTTTTATCACAGACCTGTGGCTATACCACGGCTACTTTAAAAATCAAGATGAAAAGTTTGACAGAAAAAACTTATTACTTTGTGTATAAATAAGTATTAGTAATTAATTATATGATGTTAAAATAAGGTTTCTTATGTTTTAATTAAAAACTCATTTTTCATTCATTTTCATTTCATTTTCTACTGTAACTGATGATTTCAGGAATATAATGTATTACTTTACAGGAACATAACATACATTTTGTCTACAATTGTTAATATTTCCTTGCTTCTGATATATTTTAAGGATCATTGCTGACATATTCAAAGGTCACACAGAATAAAAATTCAAATTTGCTCCTGTTTTTGTCATAAGAATGATAAAATTTATTTTGAGATGATGTGACATCACTAATGATATTGATATGTTATATATATTATTTAAAGGATTATTTATCCCAAGTTTATTTTTAATTGTATCTTAATATTATAATTTTTGCTGACAACGCAACATGTTAAATATTTGATTTCCTTGCCTTTACAGAGGGAGCAAGAGCCTCAAGAAGCATGGGTAAAGCCATGGCAAACAATCCCTCCACCACCCACCTACGGGGAGCTGAGGGAACAATGGCCTGCTGACACAGAAGATTGTGGGCAGGTACTTCAGATTTTTATATAAACCAAATGTTAAAAAAATTGTAAAATTAATGTTTATTTTCAAAAGAAAAACTATCAAATTTTAAATACGTACAATTTATATGCACACTATTGCTATCGTCTCAAACAATTAAAACAGAAAATGCAGCTAATATGTTTAATAAACAATATTAAATTACCTTTTTTTTACTTAGATCTTGCATTTAGCTCAAAGCAGTAGTAACAAAAATATTCATATAAAAACTCGGATTTATAATTTCGGCTATGGCGGCTTATCTTAATTTTAATTATATTAATTACCTGCAACTGTCAGTCATAAAATGCACAAATATGCACGTGCATACTACAAACTCTATTCCATCATCCATCATATTTTACTTGTGAAAGTTTAAATATATATAATATATAAGTTAGTATGTATGGATGTTTGTTACTCTTTCACGGAACGTGAACGGATCTGGATGAAATTTGGCACAGAGATAGATTATAGTCGGGAATACACATAAGCTACTTTTGAACACATAGGCTACTTTTTATACCGGAAAAATGTACGGTTCCCGTGGAATAGGTTTGTTTTGCTAGAGGCGAACCCGAGTGAAGTTGCTAGTATAAGATAATTCTTTAACAATAAAAGGAGTTCTTTTTTGTCATTTTATGCGCGTGGATTTATTTAACGCGACTTTACTATTCTCCGCGTCATATTAACCTGTTTCGGACGACCAGAACCAGGGTATGTCTAGTACCCGGAGGTCGACCTGGGACAATCTCCCAGACGTTCTTGGCGTACACGGCAGTATGTCCGTTCGCTGGTAATGTACGCCACCACGCACCCCTGAATGCGTAGCTTGGGTCCCGATCCACTAGGGTTTCTTCGTTGACAGGAGACTATACTTAGAGGCGATGAAATAAAACACAATTTTTCCTTTTTTCTCTCTTGGTTTCGGTTCTTCCTTTTCCTTTTAGTTGTTGCCTCTTCGGTGGCTGTCTTGCGACTGACTCGAATCGAGAAATGGCTCGCCTTTTATTTGGCCCGTTAATACCTTACAGAGAGCCGCGTACTTTGAGCTCATTTTTCGAATAAAATTTCCCTAAACCGAAACCTTGAGAGTCCTTTTATTTTATGTTTTCAGTAAAACACCTTACACATATTTATTTATTTACATGCCTTACATACTATTATACAATATTAAAACATAATATTCAATATATAATAATTAATTAAAAAAGTCTTAAAACAAAAATATCTAAATTTCTAGGTTGCTACATTTTTACTATACATTTTCCCTTATAACTTTTGAACGGATAGTCCTATCGACCTAATTCTTGTTTTATTATAAGTTTTATAATAAAATCTATTATTTAAAACATAAACTATTATGCTATTGCAAGAAACAAAAAATCTCGTTTTCAAGTTACGTAATTATATGCTAACATTTTACTTACGTACCTATTCCTTTCAAATTAATGTTAAATAGTCTTATATGATTCAAATAAGCAAAAAATACTCTAAACTAACCTTATTATACTAATTAGAACTTATTTTAACATAATAAATCTAATAAGAATGAGATTTCATATTTACAACAATTATTCATAATACGCTAAAATGACATTGTCCCTATATTAATACACACGTTACTCGAAGATAGGTTTTCCGTCGCCGACAAACCTTTAAAACAATGAACCAGTTAAATTGTAAAATAAATAATCTGACTAATATTTTATATACGACAGTTTGAAATAAGCTAGAATCCTGTTAGGCACCTAGAGACACACCCAAGTGTAGCAAGCGTTAGTCACTGGTAAGTACTATAGGTTTTTGAAGTTATACGTCTTTTGGTACGTTTGGAAAAAATTATGAGAGTATAATTTTTACCATGCGCGCGCACACTGACAGCCGAAAAGCGACACGATAAAATTAGTTGAAAGCGACATGATAAAGTTAGCTGCATTCCTTTTACAAACAGAGAGTTTTGACGTACGGGATGAAATCTTCAGCTAATTTTGTTCTGTTACGCCAAAGAAGTATAACTTCTTACGTGCGTACATAAGTACGCATACACGATTTTTTTTTAATTTAACCATGTGCTCTTCTTATATTCAGCAAGTGGTTAAGAACGTAATGTTCGAGTTTGAGGACACGCAGTGGAGTGACATAAGCTATTTATATTTCCTTTTCTTATATAGGATAATAGTATTTATGTATTGTTGCATAAAGGTGATATTCGGGTGGCGCGGGCCGCTGCTGACGGAGGCCTCGTCGCAGAAGGAGCTGACGGGGTGCGCCGTGCTGCTGCGCTACCTGTGCGACACGGCCGCCGCGCCGCTGCAGCGCGCCCTCGTCGAGCGGGAGGACGCGCTCGCGGGCGATGTCAGTACTTGTACTATACTCTATTCACGGAGTAAACCATGCAAAGCGCTTTCTCTGTCCCACATTACCATACAAATACCATTCCATTGATAAGGACAGAAAACTGTCTACTAACACTTGCAACTGGTTTGAAATCATAGGGCTCGTTCATGTTGCTAATGCTTTAGTGAGGAGTTTTTAATAATTTGTTATAAAATAAAACCAATATACAAATAAAATCAACATTAAAGTAGAATTAAATGTATTTTTAAATATTTGTATACATTATTTATTAATTTTCTCTTTCCGACGTTTCACTGTCATCTCCTACATTGACAATAAATCAGGTAACTACACGAGAGGCGTCTGAACAGTACGGAATGCAACGACGGACTTATTATGACTTGCATTGCCGCGGCCTAAACATCTTATCTGCAACTAATCACGTAGAAGCGCTAAATTGCTCAGTGTTCGGTTCATTCGGCGAATACAGTATAGGATATATACAGCATAGCTTCAACAGACTATACACATTCTATTAGTCTCATATAATATAATAAGGGCCTACATACACGATGATTTTTTAACGCGCCTTCGCAATCAACTTTTAAGTTTATCACGCAGAATATGCGAAGACGGCGTACGTTCGTGAGACGTGCGTCATCGGTAAGTTTATCAACGGCGGTGACGGCGCGTTAAAAAGTCACTGTGTGCTTACGCCTTAAGTATGCAGTGTACGTAGGCTGCAATATTTTATTGCATTACACTTAAACAATACTCATACCTATTAAGATAAATTTTATATATTATATTCTTCAAATAAACCTTTATAAACTTTTGACATTTCCTTAAATTAATGAGAGATTTTTTCTAACTTTGATTTCAAAAACGGAAATCATTCATTTATACTATACATACATCTAATGCTGATTCCAAACTTTTTTTCCATTAAAGGTGTCATACAACATAAGAGAAAATTTAGCGACTCTCATCAAGATAGAACTCGACAATGTGCCCATAGACAAGTTAGAGATCGCTCGCGATGAGGCCCAGAAGTGCTTGAAGAGCATAATTTCCGGTGAAGAAATTATCGACATGGAACGGATGATACGGCTGTTGAAGAAACAGCTGAGGGAGAGCATGGCCAGCCTCGAGTCGGACCCGCATCACGCCGTTGCCTTCAGGTGTATTGGTGATGCGCTCTACTCACAGAATGAACAAGATGTGAGTATCTCATCTTACTATTCACTAATAATTAAGTGGGTGTTATGGCATAGATATAAGCTGTGGGCAATTGGATAAATATCTGTATAAGCTTTGGGGTTTACTTGACCTTTTTTTTTGTTGTCGGGAAATGCATTTAGGCATATCACCTGATCCCCCAGGTGGTGATGTGGGGCTCACCGGCTAGAAGAGCCGGTACTACCCACTAAAACCCGACATCCTGATAAAACTAAAATTGTACCTATTAATTAAATTACTTAAACAAAATATTTGGAGGAGGAAAAATTATTTATTTATATGGATCTCCAACAGTATACATAATTATTTAACATTAACAATATAGCTACCTAATTCTAATTTATATTTATGTATTACTAATTATAGGAGAACACATCATTCGCAAAAAAAAACAGTGTTTTATAATGCCTAAAAGTAACAATAAAAAACACAAAAAAATGAATACAAAAAGAAACAAAATAACAATAATTAAATTAAACTTAACAATTACATTAAGAAAATACTGTAAAGTTTAATAAAACTATAAACTAATTAAATACAATATATTCTAGTTAATATTTGTATATTTCATGATACTAAACAATTCATTTACAGTTCATCTCTCGTGTAAATCCTCAACTCACTCTACACGAGCTATTAGAAGAACACGCGGAATACTGGCTCAGATTGATGCAAAAGTATTTCACTGATGACGTTGTAACAATCATCGGTTCTCCAAGCATCGAACTGCAGACCAAGTAAATAGAGAACGACTAACAAAAACTTGCAACTCATTTATATATACATATGTATGTCTAATGGTGCTTCCTCACAGGTGTTAAAAAATGTAAGATAACATTACATGACATTTTTAACATTCAGTAACATGTTAACTATTGCTAGATGCTCTCAAAGCTTCCACACTAATAAAAAATGTTGTTGAACATTTCCTAACATTTTATAACCATTCTGCAAACCCCACTGTTGCCTGGGTTTAATGTTCTAACAAAAAATACAAACTGTTATATTTTGCTTCAGATTGTTTTATTGGCAAATGTTTTTAACACAAGAAAATATTTAATAACTTTTGTTATAAAATGTTAGGTTAGTTTTTTTTGTGCAACTATTGTTCACTAACAAATGTTCACTATTACTAAAATTTTTAACCACTGTGTAAAAGCACCATTACAGAATTGGATAGTTGACACCATTAATTAATTTAAATCAACTGTTTAGTTTCTCACTGGCTCTTCTCAGCAGAACTGCTTTCCGAGCTGGTGGTAGCTTCCCCACTCTTTAAATTATATTGATGATTCAAAAGTCCATAAATAATATTTAAATTAAATATAATTGAATAAAGTTTTATTTTATTTCAAATTCAAATACTTTTTTGAAATGTCAAAACATGATACCCCTGTTGACTAAATATTTACTGTTCTTAAAGCAACTAAAAAACTAATTTTACAGTTAATTGAAAAATTAATTAGGTTTCCACGGCTAAAATAGTATTTTTAGAGATGTTGCATCTTCGAATTTATTGCTTAATGGTACATTGATTTTTTACTTTTTAGTTATATAGTACATTAATGGTTAGAATACATTAACAGTTTTAAATATAACTATCATTTCGGATTTGTTCGCGGATTTATTTTGATTTTTGGTTCCTGACGTTTTAAAATCGAAAAAAATAGTTTTATGTAAAATGTCAAATATTCGCGTAAATCTAAGAAAGTATTAGTTTTAAATATTTTAATAAATTTTTGATTTTAGAATGGCTGAAGAAGAAAAAAAGAGGATAGAAGAACAAAGAGCGCAATTAGGTGAAAAAGGTTTAGCTGAGAAGGCGAAGCAACTGGAGGAGGCGATGGAGTTTAATGATGTATGTTTTATAAAAAATACTAGCATTGCCCGCGGCTCCGCCCGCGTTCAGATGACCAAAAACCGAATTCATAGGTTTTATGTTATATTTTAGCCAATGTATACAAAAACTTAACAAATTATATATTAAAACCTTCCTCATGAATCCCTATCTATTAAAAAAAACCGCATCAAAATCCGTTGCGTAGTTTTAAAGATCTAAGCATACATAGGGACAGGCAGGCAGCGGGAAGCGACTTTGTTTTATACTATGTAGTGATAAAAATATAAATAAAAGTAAAAAAAGCCGAAAAGAAGAAAACCGTTGAGTCTTTCGGCGCGCAGAAGAGTCGCCGTGTGCGGCGATGTATATATGTTGTTCATACGCGGCTGTAACTATAGCAAGATGTGTCGGAAAAAAGTCTTATTACACTTTTCTCGGTCTCGCTCCCGTCCTCTCAGAGTACGTAACGCACGATAAGAAATTTCCAATAGATATCAGTTATTCTTATGTGTCGTGTGACTCCCCCAGCGGCCTCCGCCGGCGGGCACGCTGGCGGCGGTGCCGGTGCCGTCGTGCGAGCGCCTGCGCTGCCACGCGCTGCGCAGCTGGTGCTCGGGCGAGCCCTGCGCGCTGTTCGACCTGAGCGCCGTGCCGCTCTACACGAGGCTGCACTCGCTTAGCACTAACTTTGTCTATGTGAGTATCTTGACACGTCTGCCTAGTGTTCTTGTAGGTCTGGAAGTCTTGGGTTCGAGTCCCGGGTCATTCTGGTAAGAAATTCGCAATAACGACCCCGAGGTTGGTGGTGTTACACTGATGAAAGCCTCGGACAGCACGTGAAGCTGTTGGTCCCGATCCTGATCTCTTAACGCGAGTGACGAATCGACGTCTCACCTGATTATGAAAAAGAAAGGAATAGAGAGTATAATTATTGTCTGCGCGCATACGAGCTGCAGCCTGCACTATAATATCTTCTGTGCGCATATGACTAATCTCATTGAGATAGCCACTGTAGCTGAAATGGATTAAGAGGATATGTCTGTATGTGTAAAAATAGATTTTTAACGACCAAGGCCGCCTTCAAATTCATTCAGAAGTAATTATTATACTTATTACTCTTAAAAGTGAAATTTACCCTTGATATTTATTTCGGATCACCATATTTATTAAAAAGAATCATGGTAAATGCAATAATAAGACAGGCCTAAAGCGAGTACAATATCTCAAAAAATTGTAATTGAAACAATGAAAATGTTTATCAATTAAATTTACAATAAGCTTATGACATTTATATTAGCGTCAGACAATCTGAAATAACACAAACCTATTCAAAAAAACGAAATCGAAGTGTTTCTTTATAATGTCAAAATAACAGCTTTTTACTAAATACATATAGAAGTTTAAATGGTACTTATAATAAAAGAATCTTTTTTAATTTTTTTGTCTGTCTATTTGTTCCGACTAATTTCCGAAACGGCTGAACCGATATTGATGGGACTTTCACTGGCAGATAGCTGATGTTATAAGGAGTGATTTAGGCTTTATATATATATGGCTAGTTATAAATATAAAAACTTTGTAACAAAATTTCCAGATAAACCTAATCCTGGACACGTCACAAGTGGACCAAGTGACGCGCAAGTGGCTGCCGCTGCAGCTGGACGCGCTGGCGGAGTGCCCGGTGCGGCGCGGCGGCGCGCTCGTGCCGCACGAGGACGTCATCTCCGCCACCGAGCAGCTCACCGTCACCTTCTCCAGCGACATCGGCTTCGACCGCCCCGGCAACTTCTCTGTTGGACAGTTTGGGAACTTCGTTCATATTGAGACTAGGGTAAGGGTTTGAAATGGTTTGGAAAATTGAGTTTTTAAACAATTTCTTCATATTAAAACTAGACGTTGGCTTATGGAAATTTGTAGCTTTGCTTTGTAACGACAATGGTGAGTCAATGGGAGACTTAAATAAACATATTAGTCGCATAAGTTTAGCTCCATTTATAGGGAAGAGTTTTTTATGAGAAATATTTGCATGAGTAAATATTGAAAAATTAGCCAAGTCAATATCTTGTACACTGTGTGACAAATGATTAAAAAAAATCACTTAAACGTTTTTTTTTATATTCATGATGTATAAATACATCCAGAACAACAATATGTGGCAGTAAATAAACATTACTATTAGATGAAAACTATAGCTTTATATAATTTTTCATTTTTTTTTGTAAGTTATATTATTTCTTTTTCTATATTTCAGTGTGAACCAGCGGACTATGAAAAAGTAGTAGATCATCTATATGAAGTACTCTACATGTCGGAGATAACAAAAGAGCGACTGCTAGTGTTTGCTCAGAGACTGCTCAATGACGTAGCTCAGGTACCTAAATCTTAAAAAAATAACGTTTCTAAAGTTTGCGAGTGTTTTTGAGCTTAACAGTATGGATTTAGATATTCACACTATAAATATTTAAAATTATGATAAAATTTACTAGTTTGACCTTTAAATCACTAATTTTAAAATTGGTTTCGTATTTTCAAAAATAGTGGAAAAAGATGTATTGGAGCTTTAATGGAAATGGCTTTTGATTGGGAAAAAGAAATATTTTTATAGTTGTACTTAAAAATAATTTGTGTTTTCAAGCAAAAAATGGTGATTGGGTAGCGTGAATCTGACAAAAACTTATCATTTTACAATTCATGAATATTATTATTTGCATGATCATTTTATAAAATGTAATTAAAATAGATACAACTTATAAAATTAAAAAAAATCATTTAAAAATATTATAAACAATTCTACATTCTCATAGGTAAGAAGAAACGGTCACAAAATGGCATACGATATCCTCCGAGACTCTTTGTACAGTGAAGACAGCAACATGCACTGGTGTTCTGTTCTTAGACAACAAAAATTCCTCAAAGATCTCATAGAGCAGTTAAATGCAGGCGGTGACTCCGCAGAGGCAGCTATTAAGGAAGCTAAGCAGACTTTGAAAAATATAACACAAAATCCCTGGCTTCATCTTGCTACGGACTTAGAGCGGTACAAGTTGAGTGCAGAACCGTGGAAGAAGTTTGCTAGAGATAATCAAGATAAGCCTAAAGAGTGAGTTGATTTGGGTTTTCAGTAGCTTTTTGTTGGATGATCGGGTCGTCAGATTTTTATATATGTAAAATTAGTATTGCACAATATTATTATAATATATCAATCTTCTATGTATGTATATAAAAATCAATTGTTGTTGGTTAGTTTCGCTACAACTCAAAAACGGCTGGACCCATTTGAATGATTTTTTTTTGTTTTGTTGGGGGTGTGTTAGGAGTAATTTGAGTATTTAGGGAAACTCCATAAGCACAGCTAAAAAATCGAAAAGTTCAGAACTGTTTATTTTATATGGAAATTACTATTTCGGCTTACTTTCAATAGATGGCGTTAGTGGCGGACCTATCATCTAGTACAATGCGTCTCAGTTTAAGTTTATTCTATAGTAACCGTACCTAGAAACGTTCATATATTTTATTTTTAAACTTTTTTTGTTCATAGGCTCAGATAAAATAGGTCATATCCATGGTCCTATAGAGTTTTATTAATTATTCATAAATAGTACCGAACCTTAAAGTCTGGAGTCGAGTCTGAAATGGCCTCGGCGAAGCGAGAAAGCTTAAAACTAATATATAATGTGCAGGCCCCAGCTGTACTGGGACGCGGAGCTGATGTCGGGCGCGGGCGCGGGCGCGGGCGGCGGCGCCGTGGTGGGCGTGGGCGGCGTGGAGTCGTGCTTCGTGGTGCAGGCGGGCGCCGGCCCGCGCGGCTACACGCTGCCGCTCGCCGCGCCGCTCGCCGTCGCGCTCAACTACTTCACGCAGCTCGAGGTGACCGTGTATATAGTCATTAGTAGGGACTAGGGATGCGCCGAATATGGGTTCAACCGAATGCGAATATTCGGTCCAAAATGTACCGAACCGAACATTCGGCCGAAATATTATGTTCATTTTTACGTAGTAAACGTGTTAATACATGTACGTATTTCTGATAACGGTGGTGCAGTAAATGTACAAAAAATAACTTTTATTTGTTGGAGAACAAATATTGATTTAAGAATATTAAAAACTGAATTTTGTAGATTTTTTAAATATTTGTTATTTCAATTTGTCAATAAATGATAGTTACGCAAAGTAGTGTGTCTTCATAGTATTCTTATACTGTGTGCTTCTTAGTGTGTATCTTATTCGGCATTTTAACCGAATATTCGGCCAAATACGAAAACAAAAAAGCACCGAACATACCGAATACGAATATTCGGCCGAACATTCGGCGCATCTCTAATAATTAGGGCTTTTGAGTTCATAAGCTACATGTTATGTATACTGACAGGAACAAGTGAAATGCTTGGTAGTTGAATACGCACTGTTTTATTGCTCGACAAGCTTCGCGTTGTGGGCGCAACCACTAAGTACATTTTTTAAGTTTACCCATACCACATAAGTATATAACACTACGTAAACTGGAATTACATAGTGGATACATTCATTATGACATGAAAAATTGTAACAATGGGATTGGTCGGCTGTGTTATATGAGACTAGTCGAAGTGTATCAAATACTTATATATGTCTATTTTCTGCTTAATATCACGTAAATATTTATACAATAGATTTTAGGGAAATCCTGCTAGACCACTATAAGTTTTATATAAGTAAAGTACGTGTGATAGTCGGGAGCAATCAATATATTGTTTTAATATACTGATAAGTGTTTATAAATGTTTAATACAATGACATCCAGGGTCCGATGTGGCGTCACATCCGCGGCTGCGGGCTGGCGTACAGCTACGGCGTGCGGCCCGCGCCCGCCGAGGCGCGCCTCGTGTTCTCGCTGTACCGCGCCACCAACGCCGTCGCCGCCTACACTAAAGCCAAGAGCATTGTGGTAACATGTGAATATTTATTGTTAGAAACTAGCGACTTACACTCACTTCGCTCGGGTTCGTCCCTATGTACGTTTTATTTTTTTGGAGCAGAACCCTAATTCTTTTTCTAAAATAAAAGTAGCCTATGTTACTGCCTATAACATCAGCTATCTTCCAGTGAAAATCCCATCAAAATCCAGCCAGCCATCCAGCAGTCCAGCCGTTTCAGAGATTATCCCAAACAAACAGTCAGACCGACAGACAAAAAATTAAAAAAAAGTGTTTTCTTATAAGTACCATATATAATTTAATATGTATTCAGTAAAACGCTGTTATTTTGATATTACAAACAGACACTTCAATTTTATTTATCTGTATAGATGTGATTAAATAAAAAATGCATGTGTTTTACGACTCAAAACGTTTTAAGTATAATTTATAAGTCAGATACTTTGCAGTTTTCACATACACACGCTTAGACAAGTACATGTCATGAGAGAAAAACTAAACAGTGCTACCAACTAATTAATATAATTACATTGCCATTTTATAACAGTGAGAGCTTAGAAGACATAATTTGTCTTATTGAAAACATAGCCTCGGAACATTTATTCCATAAACAGTTGTGTGGAATTAAGACATTTTGACACATTGTGTGTAATATAATAATGTAAGTAATTACACTTAAAATTCTAAAAACTCTGTCTAGAATAACTATTTTAGATAGTTTTGTAATGGATTCGCTATATTAAAAATGCTTGTACAAGTCTATGTCTATAAAGTAAATGAGTAAAGTAATATTTCAACATATACTTTGAAATAACAGATTCGATGTTCTTTATCATTATTTTTCTTTCCTTTTTTATATTATAAAGGCAGTTTACATCAAGCAAAAAAAAAACAGAATATTCCGTGTACTCACAGCACCTAGGGCAAAGCTTCAATCAAACCCATTTTCCATCGTTTTCTCAAAAGTAATTACTGTAGTAGTATTAAGTAATTCTGACCACTTAAAAAGTTTTTTACTGTAAAATAGACATTAATACTACATTTGTCTCTTCAGGAAGAGTATCTAGCAGATGGCAAGTTCGATGAGGACCTTTTCGCTTCAGCGAAGAGTACTGCACTGTTCGAAGTGGTTGAGAACGAGAAGTGTCCCGCCGACGTCGTGAAGCAGTCGCTCGTCAACTACGTGAGGCGTGCCGGGGAGACTTACAACAAGTATGTTTGTGATTAACATAGGATTTCCTACCTGAAATATGGTTTTTTTAGCAAATGGACCATGTAGCTAGGTATATACGAAATCCATTCATGTTTTAAATTTTTTTTAAAGCTGTTTTTGTTGTTTTATAAGACTATGGAACATTTTGTGTGTTCATTCACTTAATTCGATTATAGAACTCTCAAAATAAAAGAACAAATAATATTTGAAAATATTCGCTTAGTGAAAGAAAAGGAAATATTCTTGCCATTTGGGACTATATTATACGATATACAATTTTTACGTTATATTTACACTAATATTATAAAGATCGTAAGTTTATATGTAGGAGGTAATCTATAAGACTACTGATCCGATTCTGAAAGTTCTTTCAAATGTATTTACAGACAGAAATTATATGTTTAATTGAAGTCAAAAAAATGGCCGTTTAATTACTTTATAAGTTACTACCGACTCACTCTCGCTTCGCTCGGGTTCCTCCATAGCTTGATTCCCAATACAAACTTTCATCCCCACTTTCACCCCCTTAAAGGATGATTTCCGGAATAAAAAGTATCTTATCCCAATAAATCCCAATAAAAAGTATCCCAGGGTCTCAAACTAACTTCTTACCAAATTTCATCTAAATCAGTTCACTAGATCCAGAGATTACCCGCTACAACGTCACAAACTCACAAACTTTACCTCTTTATAATATTAGTATAGATTATTAGGCATCTAGGCGCATCTGAACACCGGCCAGGTAACGAGTACGAGGGTAAGTCGCTAGTCTATATATAATTATAATATTCTATGGGTATAGGCCTTAACGGGACTTTAAATAAAGTAGTGGGCTGTATATATAAATTACATGTAATCAAATTGAGCGTATAATACGAGTGTCCGTAGTCCAGCGCGTAGATAGACGTAATGTCGTGTCGCAAACGCGCCGAAAATATGCATAACTAGTGACTCACCCTCACATCGCTTGTGTTCGTCCCTAGGTACCTTTTAATTTTTTTTACCGGTATCCTAATTTTTTTTTAATAAAAGTACCCTATGTTACTCCCTATAACATCAGCTATCTTCCAGTGAAAGTGCCGTCAAAATCAGTACAGCCGGTTCAGAGATTATCCGGAACAAATAGACAGACAAAAATTTAAAAAAATATATTTTTCAAAGTAGCTTATATAATTTCATATGCATTTAGTAAAAAGCTGTAATTTTGACATTACAAACAGACACTTCAATTTTATTTATCTGTATAGATAATAATAAACTGTTTATCCAGGGATCTAGTGTGCGCGATCGCAGCGGTGACGGCCGGCGAGGCGCACGCGGCGGCGGCGCGCTGGCTGCCGGGCCTGTTCGCCGCGCGCGCCCGCGCCGCCGTCGTGTGCCACCCCGGCAAGGTGGCCGACCTGCAGGCCGCCTTCCGCAAGTCAGTATATGCATTTATCTGCCTCAGTGTCAGAGGTCCTGGGTTCGAGTCTCGGGTCGGGCCAAGTTTAGTTATTGAGTCTTTCTGTTTAGTAAGCCTCAGTAACAGCCCGGAGTTGGGAAGTTGGCGGTGATTCACCCCCGTGCCTCGGGAGAGCACGTAAAGTTGGTCCTGCGCCTTAACTCTCACCGATCGTGTCTCGCGTCGTCCCACCGGAGTATGAAAGTGACAGGAACAGAGAGTGCACGTTGTGTCTGCGCGTACACTTGTGCACTATAATATCTCCTTCGCAGTTGGCTAGTCTCAATGAGACTGGCCGCCGTGGTCGATATCTATCAGAGAAACTTATTATTATATGCCTTTAATCTATACTAATGAGACAGAGTTTGTTTGGACGCACTCATCTCAGTAACTACTAATCCGATTTGAAAAATTCTTTTTTTTTTATGATATAGCTCGTTTATTGTGGAAGGCTATATATAGGTTTATCATCATGCTACAACCTAAGGGAGCAGAGCAGTAATCATAAATGTCAATAAATCGGGCAGATTTACCATACATTATTACTAATAGCAAAGCCAGTTTTTTTTATAGTTTTAGCGCGAGCGAAACCGCGGGTTCTGCTAGTAAGTAGGTATCTACTTGACACTAGTGTATACTAGTAATGATGATCAAGTCGGTCTGACCGATTTCAGCCACACCGGTCAATCCCACTGAAGTTAGCCAACTGCCCAGGAGATAGTATAGTGCAGGAGTGTACTCTTTACTCCCGTCATTCATACTCCTGTGGAACTACTTCAGTAGCAGGGCCGACAGCTTTACGTGCTCAGAGGCATAGGGCTGTAACACCGTAAACTCTCCAACTCCGTCCGGGCTGTTACTGAGACTTTCTTAACTCAAATACTTGATAACTAAACTTGACCAAAACCGGGACACCAACCCAGGATCTGCGTTTCTGCAACTCTCTGTACTAATAATAGTAGAAGTAGTAGTGGCACCCAACAAAACTTTGCTTTTGACTTGCAACATACCGCTTGAAGTACATGAAATAAATCATCTTCCACATTATTTGAATTTTAATATAGTGTCATTCATTAACACACACTTTGTTATCTCAAGATAAGTTATTTATACACATTTAATTCTCAAATTTCTCTAGTGTTTATCAATTTATTTTATCTATGTTATATATAATACGAAATGTCTTTCTTTTACAGGATTAATATCGAGTTGGATGCTTACGAGTCCATGGAAGCATCACCTTTTAATAAATAAGCATTAAAGCATTTTGAGAAACAAAAATACAATATTATTATAAAACTTACTTTTAAGTGTAATGATGTAATTTTTTGTATTGCTTTACTGTTACTTTTTAAATTTATAAAATATATTGGTATACTTTACAAAACACTGCTAGGCTGTGCCTTAAAAAATATATAGCTGCATGTTTAAAATTGTTTTCTTTATACCAGTAAATGGATTTAATGCATTTATAATTGTTTATTTTCGGATAATAAAATAAAACTCTAATCGTTTTGATGATGTTATTTTAATCACCATTTATCTTAAAGCTAGGTCTATACAAAAAATATAACTTAAATATAGTCAGATATTTAGTGAACATCAATAAATCATCTCACAACCGCTGCAACATCTCCTATATAAAATTCGAACCTTTCCATAGAAACATTGATTCTATAACGTTATATACCCATGAATATTTACCAACACTTCTATCGGTTAACAAAATATTGAGAACATAGAGGGTATTGACCAATCATTTAACTAGTTCTCATGAAACTAATATCGGACTTCTATTTGAGCTCCCCACTACAAAAGCACCACATGCTATAACACATTTATATGAACAAAACTAGATTTTGTTAAGATTTTAATTTGTTAATGTAATACTGGATTTTTTTACTTGCCTTTTGTTTTATTGTGTAAATACTGGCCTAAAAATAATTAACTTTGCGATATCAATAAAATAGGCCCTTGACACCATCTCATCATACCTAAATGTCACGACTTCCAGAGCATTATGAAATATACGATAAAACGTACGTTATAATTCAAATTTATAATTTAATCGTAATTAGATTACACTAATTAAAAATAAATTGTACATGCGAAGATTAATATTTACACTTTATTTTGTAAATATAACATTAGAAGATACTTCAAAGCTGCTATACAACATCTGGCATGCATTTTGGAAAGCATGCTAAAGCACCGATAGTATAATGCCGGCTGTACATACTCGCCGAGACAGGCCAAGACACACTGTACATGGAGTATGTATGGACTGTGCAGTCGGTATATAGAGCTCTCGGCTCGCCTCGCCACCTCGGTCCCGCGCGTCAGTTTTTGCACCCGTGTCAAAGTGTCTCATTCGGTCTCGTGAGGAAAACGAGAACGAACGTCTGAACACTCGTTTAGTAGCAATTTTAGCAACATCCAGGTCCGTCATGGTGGGTACGGTGAAGGTGTCCGTAGTTCAACTGATACAAGTGTGTACATAGTAGGCCTGGCAGAGAGCCTCGAAAGCACCAAAAGTTGAGTCGAGGGGCTCTCGACGAGTGTGTACAGCCGGCATGAACAAATTTATCATATGGAATTTAATAAACATATCAGACCAATTATGTATAATGATCACATAAGCGCATATTACTGATGTATAATAAACGTTTGTTATAAAAATAATTTTGACAAAATAGAACGAATGTAGTTTTAGATTTTCACATGCTACTTAAAATAGCTTCTAGCCTTAGTATTTTAACAGATGCCATCAATAAAACGAAGATAATGCTACTTTAGTATTTTAAAGATTTGGTATAACAATAAAATTACCTAATCTTATATTATGCCACTAAGAACATCTAATAATTACAGATTTCTATAAACGACGAATAATTTTAATAATTGTTATAAATACATTCTAATAGAAGAGGCGGCCCCATTTACATTAAAATATGCTTTTTTTTTTAATCAACACAATAGAAAAATAAGTGATTTACTTGCTCGCAATTTTTGTTTAACGCCTCCCATCAACCACAAAATTTTAGAAGTAACGAAATATTCCGTAATATATAAATACATAAACCAACAAATAATGTCAGAATAACAACCAATCATAGACCTGTTGATAGATTAAAAATCCAAATGCCTTTTATTATAAATATTTTAAACCAATAAGCATTGTGATGTCGATTGAAGCTTAAAAATAAGTTAAAATTGTATTAATAAAACCTTATAACAAAACTACTGCTTAATATAAAAATATATTGTGGAAACTTAAGACATATCTCATAACAAAGGCAAAACAGTAAAGTGATGGTAAATTAAATTACACTAACAATATATTCATATTAATTAACCTACGCTAATTATATGTAATTAGCCCTTATTAGTAACAAGTCAAGTGAGGTGATGTCTGTACAAGCTGGAATGGTAAAGCTGCAATTGCTACACTGGATAAATATTTCTCGTATCATATACCAATAATGTGTAATTTACTTCGAATAGTTCAAGAATTTACAATTCATAGGCAATCCGAAGATTTCAATTTGTTTTATGTTCTTTTTTTTGCATTAGTTAAAACCTAACTTTGGTTTCCAACATTGCCTAGCAACAGCAACTAAAATTATTGCGATTCATCAAACCAAATAATCTATACCGATAATAGATAGTTGTCACTGGATGTTTTTATTTCTACAAAATATTATTTATTAATAAACAGTATATTTTTATAATTAAAAATATTTAGACAATCAGTGTTGTATATTATAGTGAGACATGTGCATTTATTTGTAATGTAGGCACAATTCCTTAGTAGTTTCTACTTCAGGTCACGATTACGATCTGTACACAGTATGACTGCTATAATTATAGTAAATCAAATTGTTAAATAACGATAAAATAATAGGTCGTAGCCGTCAATACATTTTGAATATACAATATTAATTTATCCCCTCTCCACGCGGCCCCGCCACATTCACTGGCTAAAGGCGCTTATTATAAGCCTTTAAGTCTAACATTCTGTTCTTCATCGTAACTTTTTAATTACGCTCACTGTGAGCCAATACCCTACAATTTAACGTCATAGTATATTTTTTAAACTAATCTCAGGACCATTCGATTTACTTAACTCTTATAAGGTATTCATAGTATTACTATTCCTTAAATTTCGTACCTTTGATAGCAAAATGGCTACCAATCACGTTTGTTTATCTACCCTTAAACTTGGTCCTGTGGGGCCGGATGTTGCATATAACCTTAGATGATAGAGTTGGTGTCAATGGGCGGCGCGTGATTACGCAACGCTTCTTGTATGTATTTACTGATATTTCCTTCCGCGATGAGGTGGAAGAAGTATAAATGTTCGAACCCTTTCAGGGATATAGAGCGTAGTGCGGGTAGTCGCAGCAGTAGGGAAGCGAATCTGCCCTCCTCCGAGCTGTGCACTCGTCTACAATACTCATCCAAGCAGGAGAACATCTGCAAAATTTCACCAATATATTAATTTTGTGCTTAAGATAATGTCAAATTACTTATATGTTTATGTTTTGTATATACCTTCTCCCTTAGGACGTCGACGTCTTGACGGTTCTTCAGTCCTTTGACATCTGCAATTTAAGAAGAATTAAAGTTATTTTCCTTAATAAAATTTTTACTTTTAATAGTATAACTTTCCTTATAAAATTAATTTATTTTATCATAATTGGGTTCTAAAAGTAAGTTATCATTATGAATTTTGGTCGGTACCCGAAATATTTAAAAAAATATATGCAAAGGCGTCATGCCAATTTTGTATTCATTCATGTAAAACTGATATTTGATTATTCTTGTACAGAGGCTCCTTAAAATTCAAGTACTTGCATTGCTGTTCGATAAAAAAAATAAAAAATGAATTGTTTACATTAAAAAGAAAACCTATACCAGCATTTATCATATTTACAATGTAAATATTAAATTTTGCGTGTTTCTTACTCGCTTGACAGATTTGAGTGAGGTTAGAAATGGAGTTAGTTACTATTAGCGTGAGTGGAGCCGCGGACAAAAACTATTATCAAAAACTAAATTTAAAAACTTAATACTTTCTTAAATTTACGCGAATATTTGTCATTTAAAAAAAAACAGTTTTCGGATTCTCGCGAATTATGTAGTTTGATTTTCTAGTGCTTTAAAGCAATCACGCTTCCAGGGAAGAATCAAACATCGATAACCGAAAATCTATGTAAATCCGCGAAAATATCCGAAAAGATAGTATTATTTTAAATTCTAAAACTTTGCAACTATGTCCAAAAGCTAATCAACAAAGCTAGAAAGTCCTAGTTATCATAAACATGTAATCGTATCAGTAAGCAAGTGTACAAGCGTACCGGGGTTGAGCAGCACGATGGCCTTGAGCGCGACGTACTCGGCCTGGTCCATGCGCAGCGCGCGCATCTTCAGCGACAGCTCGGACAGCACGCGGTCGAAGATCTGCCCCACGCCCGCCTGCAGCGCGCTGTTGCGGTGCAGCGTCATGCCTGCGACACCACACGACATTATTTATTTTATATAAGACTAGCGAATACAAATAGAAGCAAATATATAGAATATATAAAATTACATAATATATAAAACCACGTTATAAAATGGGGAATGTTGTGAGTTCAACGCCTATTTTATTTAGTTCCAATCTTTCAAGATAATTTTAATCTACTTTCTTTTAAACTTTTGACTTTCAAATTTTGCATTCAGTTCTGATAATGATGTCTCCTGACCGATTCCGGTCACTGCGGCCAATCTCATTGAGACTAGCCGACTGCGCACGAGATATTATAGTGCACAAGTGTACGCGCAGACACAAGGGCACTCTCTATTCCTGTCACTCACATACTCTGGTGGTACGACCACTCGACACGACCAGTGAGTGTCGGCGCAGGACCGACGGCTTTACGTGCTCTCCGAGGCACGGGGGTGAAGCACCGCCAACTTCCCAACTCCGGGCTGTTACTGAGGCTTACTATACAGAAAGACTAAATTACTAAACTTGGCCCGACCCGAGACTCGAACTCAGGACCTCCGGGTGTGCAGGCGTACATGCTAGCCACTACACCACCGAGGCAGTTTGATAATAATACTCTATTATGATAGAAATAAAATAATACTGCAGTGAGGATTGTCTCCTTTAGATTCAGATGAGAATACATTAATTTGATAACCTCAAAATATTCTCAAGATAGATAAATAAAAGTGATAATAAAAGAGTTAAAAGATATTTAATGGAACTCTTCAATGGCTACCACATTGAAGTCTCATTAAATATTTCATACCACTTTTACTATCTAAAAAAACTATCGTATTTGAGCTTATTCGGTTTGTTTTGACGTCAAAAATGTGTTCTTTCCAATTATGTATTTTGTCTACACATATTATAAACGCGAAATCTTGTATGTAAGTGTATGTTTGTGTTTCACGCTGAAACGGCTGAACAGATTAGGATAAAATTCAGTACACAAGGAGACTATGACTTTCACTAGCAGCTGCTGTTATCCACACACATATTTGTGTGTAAATCGTCGCTACTTATATTAAAGTTATTTAGTTACCAGGCATAAGGCACATGAGCTGCGGGGGCGCAGCGCTGCGCGTGCCGTCCATGTTCTCTCGCTCGTCTTCCAAATACTGGAATTATATAACAAAAGTGTCATTAGAACTAAGTATTTACTACTGGTATGGTTTATTTTTAAGAAATATAGTGTTGAATAACAAATAATTGTACTTTATTTGTTCTCAAGTATATTAACTGAGTGTCCATTTTAAAAAAGTCATAAAATATGGGTTGACATATAGGTTATAAGTTAATCCCCCCCAACGTGCGTTCACCTTGTCGTGGTGGTGGGGGGGGGGGCTCAGTAGTGCCCGGCAATCTAGCCGGGTGCGAAGCCAAGAAACGCACAGGGAGGTGGCCCGCTTTGGTGGGCGGTGGGAGGCGGCCCTCTTCAGAGGGCGGTGTACCATGCGGGTTATTCCTGGTGCTTCTCTGATAGCAGAGTGGACCTTGGAGCAACCCCATGGTTGTTGTGGTCTGCTTCGGCAGACCTGCCGTCGGGGCGTCGTAGTTGAATGCGTAAGCGATCCTGCGACGCCCCATTGAGACGGGGGAAGGTTTTGTTGGGTTTTAGTGGCTAGTACTGGCTTCGCCGGTGAGTCCCACACTTCGTGCGTAAATGCATTTCCCAAAGTTAAAAAAAAAAAAAAAATAGGTTCCCCCCCAACGTGCGTTCACCTTGTCGTGGTGGGGGGGCTCAGTAGCAGTAGCGAAGCTAAGAAACGCACAGGGAGGTTGCCCACTTCGGTGGGCGGTGGGAGGTGGCCCTCTTCGGAGGGCGGTGTACCATGCGGGTTGCTCCTGGTACTTCTCTGATAGCAGAGTGGACTGTGGAGCAACCCCATGGTTGTGGTGGTCTGCTTCGGCGGACCTGCCGTCGGGGCGTCATAGTTGAATGCGTAAGTGATCCTGCGACGCCCCATTAAGACGGGGGCAGGTTTTGTTGGGTTTTAGTGGGTCGTACTGGCTTCGCCAGTGAATCCCACACTTCGTGCGTAAATGCATTTCCCAACGTTAAAAAAAATAGGTTATAAGTTAATAGAGAAAAAATGATAAATTTTAAAATAGACTATGATTATAGAAAAATAAAAACAAAGTAAACATCTTTAACTTGGCACAAAATAAAGATTTCTCGTGAAAGAATTAGTTGTCCAACTAAACATTGCCAAATTATTGTGTAATGAAAAATAAATATTTAGCTAAAATGGACACATACCTATGTACTTATAACAAAAAAATCTTACGTAGATAACAAGATTTTTTAGCTAACCCTTCAATATTTGGGCAAAAAAGAAATAACTTTTTTTTTATTTTGTAAATATAATTTGTCACTTCTTTACTGTTTCATTAACTTTTTATAAATTGTACAATTCCCATCCATTGTTTCAAAGCTTACCTACATATATTTTTTAAATTATTATTATATTCCTTCAAAAATTGACAAAACAAAGAACTAAAAGATACCACGTACTTCTATTGAGCGCCAAGCGATGGCAAACAGTAGGAGTTCGTTCCAGCTGCTTTTGATGAGCAGCACCTGGTCCTCCAGCAGCAGCTGGCTGAAATGTGGGATGTCGCGCGCCCACACTACCAGTGCCGCGATCTGCTTATTTCCTGAAATGGTATAATATTACTCATTACTAATCGGGTTGACAATCTTTATTTAGGGTTCCGTACAGGAAGGGTGCCAACGGGGGACCCGATATTACTAAGCCTCCGATGTCTGTCTGTTTGTCAGCAGGCTGTATCTCATGAACCGTAATATGTAGAAAGTTGAAATTTTGACAGAGTGTGAATGTTGCTATTGCCGTATTTATATATATACAAATAGTAAATAACCAAGATAGGGAATTCCAAAATGGCCGCCATTCAAATAAAAAAATCTATTAGTACATAGTGTTATATATCTTGTACGGAAGCCATCGTGTACGAGTTTAACTTTACGGGTTTGAACATTTCACATTCGGGTTACGAGTTAACATCCTACATATTCGCGTGAAATTCGTCACGACTATAACGACTTTCAGTTCCAAGTACTTAGTACGTTTAGTTTACTGAACTAACGAAATTAGTTATAATTATAAATTTAAAATTTAAAAAACCCCCAACGCAAATTAATTGTCATTTAACGATTACACCGGCACGCGTGAAGCACTTAATCGAGTAATCATACGCTAAAATGCCTTACATCATTTTGAGAAAAGAGACTTACACTGCTGGACCGATATTAACCCAACATACAGAACCACCGCAAGGAAACTGGCTTTCAAATGGAAAAAAACCGCATCAAAATCGGTCAATCCGTTTAAGAGCTACTATGCCACAGACAGATACACACACACACACACACACACACACACACACACACGGACATACATACATCGACGTCAAACTTATAACAACCCTCTTTTTGCGTCGGGGGTTAAAAACCATTTTCTTCATTGTTATTAGTAAAGTTCTGGCTGATGTTTTTCCCTTGTAGAGATCCTTACAAAAAGATAAGGGAACAAAACGAAAATAAGACTTTTCGACTATATTATCTTCAAAACTAGACATTTACTAACTACAATTTTCTAAATAATACAGAATATAGTGCTTTACTCGTACTGAGTTTGTACAGAAAAACTAACATAAACCTTGAAACTTTTTAGTCTTTAGAATTGGACTTAAAAAAATTCTCCATTTTTGACTAGTTTATCAAATTCAATTAAAAAAACATCAAAAGAGTTATCAATGGAGATTTGAACGGATAAGATTAATAGTCTATGATTTTCGTTTGTTTCTCAGCTACGAGTATTTATTATATCTACTGATTTGACAAATAAAAAAAATGTCGTAAGAATCTTAAAAAAAAAATACTTTTTTATTTTTTACATAATAAAATCGCTTAGAGAGAAATTTTAACGCAAACCCAGCCAATATGATGCGATATCGCTCATCGACAAAAACACACTTTTGAGTATTACAAATATATTACATCAGCTCTTGTTTATTCCACTATCAAATAAAAACTTGTCCTCACAATGCAGAGGTAACATTACTAATGATCAATTTATTTGATACAAATTGAATTATTCGAATCGTTATATTACAAAATGTGTATTTTTTTAAGAAAGATAAAAAATCCATTAAAACTAACTATGCTTGACTTTAAAATTAGTTAATGTAGAGTCACCAATATAAATGTTTTTAAATTATTTCTGTACCTATAACTTTATAGTTCTTTTATTATTAAAGGAACTGAATGTAATAAAATATAATCAACGTTTTATCTCAATTCCTAGTAAAATGTAAATTATTCAACAAACAATTAATATGTAAATTAACAAGTATATTGTAAATTTTAAGACATTTAATTGAAAAGAAGTTAGAATACAGATAGAATTTTCAGTGCCTAATGTTTTTGATAAATCAGTGAATATTTAATTATCACTAATTAACTATTGGCAATTAGAGTCAGGATTTCTTTAATTATAATATATTTACGCAATTTCACAAAACGTTCATTAAATTTCTCATATATGTGTATATTTATCTCATATTCTGTAGAATATAATTTTATAAAACTTCAAAAGATTGCATTACCACCTTGCTATATTTTTATGCCGGTAATGCGAATTATAAATTTATTTTTAATTGGTTTTATATTCGATACGTCTCAGAAAATCAATAATAAAGAAACCAATATCCATACTAATATATAAATGCACAAGTAACTCTAGTCTGTCTGTTTGTGTGTTAACGCTTAATCCACTGAACCGATTTAGACAAATTTGGTATGGACATAGCTGAGATTCTGGGAAGGACATAGGATAGAGGGATATAAAACTATATATATATATATATATATATATACACACACACACACACACACACACACACACACACACACACACACACACACACACACACACACACACACACACACACACACACACGCTCGACAGACATACACCGATTCGATTCTTTTTTGTACCTAGTAAATAATGTTACAAGTTTAATCAATAAAAAGTGCTTAGAAAATTCCAGTCTAATTAAACCTTATCCATGTACCCATAGGTTATCAGTGTTCTGAGATTGTAATCAAACATTCACCGCGAATTGAGGGCGAACAACAAAAAAGGTACACCTCAATAAAACCCTATATCAAAGGTAACACAAAATCTATACAGATTAATAAAATTAAAGTATGGATGTTTATAATGTAAAAATAACAGCTATTTATTACATATGAAATTATATACGGTAATTATAAGAACAAAAATAATTTTGTTTCGGCCCAGGGACGCACTCGAGCGAAGCAAGGGCAAGTCGCTAGTGTCTAATATAAAATAATTGCTTAGATCAATGTTATACATATTTATATTACATATTTACATATCTTTTATTCAAAAAGATATATTAAAGGCGTTTGTTTGGAACATAAGATAAATCCACATTCCGAACTGGTCATAATTATTATGCATATTACGTTCGGTATGTAAATATTTATCAAATATGTATTCATATTAGTATTTTGTTATTGAATTTTAATCAAGACTTTCTTGTTTTATTTATAAAATAAAAATTAAAAAACAAAAATAAAGTTGAAATTCAATACTCTTAAGTGTTTAAACAATCGATGACTGTTATTTGAAATCAACTAAAATAAGAATATGACATAAGCATGCTCCTTTAAATTATCATACATTTATGAAACCTAATACTCGTGTTGTTTAAGGACAATAATATTTTTTCTGTGAATTTTACCGCCCGTGTTACTTTACTGAGGCTTTTTGCTGCGTGAAGTCTTTATTATTTTGTTGAAAGGTTAAATATAATTACTGTATAAAAAGAAAAAATATCGAATAGCTAAATTTAAATAGAGTGAACGAAACGAGATACAACTTACCATTTTTGCTAAGTTTCACCATAATATATAATATTAAATAAATATTTTTTCATTCATAGGTGTTTATGTATACATACATATATGTATGTATAAATGGTTTAGGGTTAGAAAGTAAAAAAAATAATTTACCTATCTGACATAGGCTAGAGACGGGCGCACGGTACCGCGGCGGCACGTTGGTGTCAGGTCCCACACGCAAGAATTGAAACTCTTCAGATGGATCCGCCACAAGGGACTCTATTTCTAAAAGTCGTTCGATTGACAGCTCCTGAAAATGTAATTTACCTATATAGCTATATTAATTATAGCATCTTACTAAATTAATTTATATTTTAGAAATTCAGTTAGAATACATATTAATATTATAAAAGAAAGTGTGTATGTTTATTTGTTTGTTTGTCCTTCTTTCACGTCAAAACGGAGTAACGGATTGGCGTGATTTTTTTGGGCGGAAATAGTTGGAGGGCTGGAGAGTGACATAGGCTACTTTTTACAGCGGGAGATTATCTAAATCCCACGGGAATACACGTTATAATACAATCCAAAAAAATATTTATAATCAGAATTACTTGAAACTTGGTATTATTGCTCTTGAATAAAATTAAATAAATACGTGTTTTAGCATTTTTCGAAATTCATCTTATAAGGGGGTAAAATAGGGGATGAAAGTGTGTATGAAACTACCTTTTTAGAGTTCTTTCTGTAGTTTTAGCGCGAGCGAAGCCGCGGGTTCTGCTAGTAAATAATTATAGAATGAAACGTTATTTCGTTATAATATTACATCTGTTACCTTATAATTTTATAAGTATGTACAAATTAGTAATATATGGACTGTAGTGACTATGTATTATCTGTAAATATAATAAAATTCTATTTACAGATAATACATAGAAAATCTTATTGAAATAGACATTATTATCAATACAGAGGCCGAATCTATAGTTTTTAGAATTTTTGTCTGTCTGTCTGGGATCACATCACGAGAAAACCACTGGACAAATTTTGATAAAATTTGGTATGAAGATAGCTGGTTATCCGGGTCAACATATAGTATACTTTTTACAGCGGGAAAATATCTCATCTCTGAGAATATATTATAATTTGTATTTAATTAACATTATAATTTATTTCCTTTGAGCTTTGACGACGGACGTAATGTTAAGGGTACCTATACAACAAATTATGCCTATAACCTTGTTTAATTAATGAAGTGATATCAAATAATAAATGTATGTGAATTACTATATTACTAACAACTATAAATGGTATACTTAACAATATATAGATTATATAGATACTGTACAATATTTTTAGGTTACTAAATATACCTATATGCAATATTAAATAACTAACAAGGTAATACTGAAAAACTATAACATCAGTAATTATGTAATATTGTATTTTTGTACTTTTAAGGACGTAGTGTCAAGGCTATAGAATAAATTATACTTATAATCTTGATAAAATTAACGAAGTGAAATTAATAAGCCATATAAGTTCGTAAAGTAGGTATTTTATTACTTTTATAATATAAATAAAACATCAAGCAAGGCATAACTTGCTGTATATGTTTAATTATAATAGTTGAATTATCATGAAAAGAGGGTGTGACGGCTTCGTGACCATATGGTACACTGTGCCTTGGGTCGGGGGTTTTATTCCATCACGAGCCAAATCTGTACGTTTACTTTCATACATACTAGTGAATGGCTAAAAATAATATCACGGAGAGAATGAAAAATATAACATACTTTTGTTTACGGTTTAAGAACTTATTTCTCAACAACAAGAATATAATTCTCTTTAAATATTTGCGAAAAGACACATACTAATAATAAATATAAGCATGTAACAGACGGTACACAAAAAATAAAAAGGTACACCGTAGGATTGATATTATTTAAAAACAGTAAAAGCACTCTGGTCCAATTTTCTTAATAATAACAATTTTCTAGTTAAAATTACTGTTTCCCACTAAGTATTATCACAGTCTATAAATCATTTTTTTTTGTACACTGTGGTGTTATTGTCTAAAGTCGATATATGTATCTATATTTATCTCAACGTCAACATATCAGAACATTGTATCTTTGTTATTTGTATACCCAGTAAAAGATAATAAATTACTTTATAAATCAGAGTATTCCGTTTAATATATATACTTACACTAGCATTGCCCGCGGCTCCGCCCGCGTTCAGATGATCAAAAACCAAATTCTTAGGTTTTACATATTAGTATACTCTTACAATGCAGTTTTTGTATTTTTTCTCAGAAATGAGACATTTTCCCGCGGTAAAAAGTATCCTATATGTTGACCCGGATAACCAGCTATCACCATACCAAATTTCATTAAAATCCCTCCAGTGGTTTTTCTGTGATGCGGTCACAGACAGATTGACGGAGAGACAGACAAAAATTCTAAAAACTATAGATTCGGCATCTGTATCGATAATAATGTTTATTTCAATAAGATTTACCAAAAAATATTTAATGTACAGATTCGGCTTAGTTACAATTTTATTATATGTATAGATTTTCTTGTACAAACTGTTGTGGTTTTAGGAATAAACTTATATATTAAAAAAAATCTTCGCTTAACCGATAATGTGAAAATTTACCTTACGTTTAAACACTTAGGTATAAAAGTATGGGCGGTGATCTCTGGTCTTCTAACCCTCCTATAGAAATATTAACATTATTAACATTCGACACATTCATTAGTAATTAATAATTATACAATATATTTTATAGTTAGCAAAGTTTATATTTGCGCGTCTATATTGTTAATTGTTTTTTACTAGTGGCTGCATAATAGGCACTTGTATATAATATTACTTGGCATTTTATCATCATGTTCCTTATTGATATTTTTCTTTAATATACTATTCAATATTTATGCCTATGTCTATAGGTGGTTATTTTCAAGGCTTTGCTCTTACGATTATTCTTTTTAATTTAATAGCATAGTTTAGTTTATTTATTTCACATGAATATTTGACAAGACGGGTATTGTGGACGACTGATATGTTATAGTGCTATTTTTTACGAAGTCTGTTCAGGACTATTTTTCTTGAAAATACCTAGTAATTAGTAAGCAAAACCAAAAACTGCAAGTATTTACAAAGCACAAGTTTTTTACTCTTATAACGTTTATTTTTCAAAGGAGTGTACCTATATAAGAAATTTTATAAAGTACTAATGCTTACACACTATCATACCTAATAGTAAAGTAGTAAAATCTGATAAACAAGACGCCATTTAAACATCCCCGGAAGTGGCAGCTGGTCTAACAAAAGGTGTGTGTTTGGACACGTCGCACATATTCAAAACTTGTATTTGATAACATCACATGAATGACCTCGTTTTAAACAATCATAAAAAAAAATATATATGGGACACTAAAATTTCCCCGTATGAAGTGGCTATATCTTTTTTTATCTATAAAAATAGGTTGTAAATATATTGTACTAATAATTAAAATACTAAATAAGTAGAATATAATTCAGAAAAAAATATTACGTATGAATAAAGTTATTAAAATTTGTTGTTTTGCTAGAAGATAACTCTAACAGCCAATTAATATTCATGAAGTCTAAATAAATTTGATAGACAAGTACCAAATAAACAAGGAAATCTGCACGCGTCGCCGCTCACATTATTTTTAGTACAGTCATTGTTCTTAATTACCTGCGACACTTTTATTGGTTATCCAACGCTTATTTACTACATGTCCTTTAACTATTTTATTTTTCTATTTCAAATATAGTAATCGTATAAATATATTTTTTTGTTATAAAAGAGTGTGCTTAATTTTATATACATATAAACTAGCATTGCCCGCGGCTCCGCCCGCGTTCAAATGACCAAAAACCAAATTCTTAGGTTTTACATATTAGTATACTCTTACATTGCAGTTGTTGTATTTTTTGTCAGACCGGATATCCAGCTACCATCATACTGAATTTCATCAAAATCCCTCCAGTGGTTTTCCCATGATGCGGTAACAGACAGACAGACAGACAGGCAAAAATTCTAAAAACTATACATTCGGCCTCTGTATCGATAATAATGTATATTTCAATAAGATTTTCCAAGAAATATATAATGTACAGATTCGGCTTAGTTACAATTTTATTATAGGTATGTATACGCATAAAATGTTTTTCAATTTAAATTCAAAACATAAACATTTATAGAAAGAGACGAAAAGGCTTTTAAAATATTATATATTTTCATAAGTACGTAAGTAAATGATTTTATTTGCTTAAAGCAAGCAGTATTTATTAATATCTCTATCGAGGTTTCCGTCGAGATTTTCTTTATTTGTAAACAGAAATTGTTCTCAGTGGCAATATTTTTTGGTTATATGATATCGTTAATACTAAAAACTTGACTTATATAATTATTTTTATTAAACAACATATTATTACTGCCAGAAAAGCAAAGTGTTAATTTATTCTACCTAATGTTAGTATAAAAATTTTACTCAATGAACATCTTACAATAGTTGATTCAAATGTATTTTTAAATAGCCTTAGACTTGAAAATTAAACTCTCATGCTACTTCAAGCTCTCAACTTGGGGACGAAGTTCTTATCACTTTACTGTCAGGAAGGTCAAACAACTAACGAATGTGGTTAATAACAAAAATGAAATCCTCTTTATTTGAGATATTCATAGCCGCCATACTAGCTATACTAGGACGCTTTAAAAAAACCATAAAATACGAAGTAGGAAAGCATAAAAAATATTTTTTATATTTGTTATTAAAAAATATTTCATTTCTTGACCTCAAAAATTCGATAAAGATTTTTTAGGTTTTACTACATCCTTTCCAATACAAAGGCATTTTTTTACTAAATCGTAAATTAAAAGTGCTTGTAAAAATTCATTCCAATGATATATCATTGAAGTTATTAAACAAAATTTGGTTCTAATCATACAAAAGATATTTATGTTCACCGAAGTATTAATCTCGATTCTTGACTAATCCTATTGGTCCTCATATATGTAAATCAGTCATAAATCGTTGGAAACCAATAAATAAACATACAATTACACCATCTATAAAAAAAATATTAGTTGCAAGGCTTACATACCACTCACGACAAGACAATAAAAAATGCTTTTAAAATATATATATAATAATAAAATTAATAACCTTTCATGCGCTAAATGAAAAAAAGAAACATAAAAATCACAAGCCTCACACAAATTGAATTATATAGGTACTGAACTGTATATTCAATCTATACATATAATAAAATTGTAACTAAGCTGAATCTGTACATTAAATATTTTTTTGGAAAATCTTATCGAAATACACTTTATTATCGATACAGAGGTCGAATCTGTAGTTTTTAGAATTTTTGTCTGTCTGTCTGTCTGTCTGTCCGTCTGTCTGTTACCGCATCACGGGAAAACTACTGGAGGGATTTTGATGAAATTCGGTATGGTGATAGCTGGTTATCCGGGTCAACATATAGGATACTTTTTACCGCAGAAAATATCTCATTTCTGAGAAAAAATACAAAAATTACAATGTAAGAGTATACTAATATGTAAAGCCTAAGAATTTGGTTTTTGATCATCTGAACGCGGGCGGAGCCGCGGGCAATGCTAGTTGTAAATAAAAAAAGAGATTACCTGGACTGAGCTGCTGGGGTGCGCGTCCTCCGCGCCTCGTGCGGCCCTTTGCCGTTCCTCCTGCACCGCCTCTCGCTTCATCCCGCATGCGAGACATTTTTGATAGCGGCAATATTGACAACGGTTTCTCTGACGCTTGTCGATTATACAATTCCTTTCTTCGCGACATGCATAAGTAAGGTCTTTTCGTACAGTCCGTTTAAAGAAACCCTTACAACCTTCGCAACTGTAAGTGGAAATGAATATTTACTATATTCTAAACTCTTAAAAAATCGCAATACTTTAGTGAAACTTGACTGGATCAGTAGAATCAGATGGATGAAAAAAAATTGAGTTTATTAATTCAATGGCTTGTCTCATATTTAAATTATTACATTGCGTTGCAGCATTAGATCCTATATTATAATATTACCTATTATATAACAGATAGATATGTAATTTTTCATGTAAAGTATTTATATAGGTACCTTGACATGACATATTTGTACTATTTCAATTTTATCCTTCGTCTATATATATATGAATGAATCCCTATTTCACTTGGTCACGCCATCACACGTGAACGGCTGGACCGATTTAACTATTTTTTTGTTGTGTTTGTTATTGTCGGGAGAAGGTTGTTATGAAAGAAAAAATTGAAAAATTAACGAATAAAATAAATAAAATGTATATGGCTAACGCTGGCTAATAACTATTTATATCTATTTAAAACGTACCCGAGCGAATCGAGGGTGAGCCGCTAGTTAATGTTATAATTGTAATTTCGAAATATATAATTCTAATATATATTTGTTAAATATATTAAGATTGTCTCATATAATATAAACCTTCAAGCACTTGTACTCGATAAGAAAAGAAATACCTATATTAATATCATAATGGACGAAGATATCGCATATCTTACATATAAAAAATTTAACCGAATGTTTGGTAACACGAGGTTCTCGATTCGATCGAATCTTCTTTTTTAAATAAGTATATTTCGTTTGCAACTGAATGTCATAATTTAAGTATAGAAATTAATATAATATATTATTTAAGGGATATAGCTATTAAGTTCAAAATAAAAATGAGTTACAAAATTATACATTACTTATTATTTGCTTTGTAAAACAAAGGCATCAATCCAGGTCAAACTAACTGCCTGGGCGTAGCGAGTTGTTTGCACATGTTACTAATATATTGACATAGTCAATAGGTAATAACAGCAAATAAAAAAATATGACCGAATTTAATCCTCCTTTTCTAAGACAGTTAAAAAAATATTTTCAAACCATACCAAAAATTAAAAAAACAGCCTGGCGAAATCAAGGCAGACTGCAAGTTATATGAAATTATAAATATTTCGACATAAAACCGTTTTTACTCAAATGACGTCAGACATAAAGATGGCGAGCTTATTTTAAAATTATGTTCAATTGTCGTTGCCTAATATGGTCAACACTGTATTTTTGCAAATTCAACATTGTGGTCCAGAATGGTATTCGCTACCTGACAAAGAAATTTATTTCAGAAATTCAAAAAGTTTTCTTTTTAATTGAATTAATTGGTTTAAGAAGAAGAAATATACTATCAACTACCATTATTGCCTCAAATATCAGAAGCTGACGTTAATCTTTTCATACAATCTAAACGAGATATATGTATATTGTATGTATATGTATATATATATACATACATACACCTATTACATAGTAGAATTATACTATAGTATATTTAATTTGTTTTTTAATTATCATATAAAATCTTTATTTATTTTAGAACTTTATACGTTATTTTAGAACAAAGAAAAACGAAAGTGATTGTCCAGTTGAGCAATACAAGATGTACATATATCGTCCTCAATCCTGAGTAATCACGAACGAGTGAGTCGCAGCTCGCAAGAAAGTGCGCACTTAAGCAATTCCCTCTGCTAAGTCATTAATAACGTCATTACTCTACGAGGATGACACGAATCACCTTAGGTATGTGCTCACTACCAATAGTGATACATAATATATCCTGTTCACTTTGAGCAAATGAACGTTCTTAAATCATTTTTACATTATTACGAGCACATATAATGTAAAACTACAACATCTCAACGACTGCAAAAACATATTATATTCTAATCTATACTAATACTATAAAGAGGTAAAGTTTGTAAGTTTGTGAGATTGACAGTTTGTGACGTTGTAGGGGGTAATCTCTGGATTTACTGAACCGATTTAGATGAAATTTAGTAAAAAGATAGTTTGATACCATGGGAAGGACATAGGATACTTTTTATTCCAGACATCACCCCTTAAGGGGATGAAAGTTTGTATTGGGAAACAAGCTAGGGATGAACCCGAGCGAAGCGAGGGTGAGTCGCTAGTCTAGTATAAATTAAGTATACATAAAGGTGCACTATGCACCTATACGCATACACGAGAAGCTTATACAATGTACCTAATTGATAAAACAATATTTCAAAGTCACTAGGAAAGTGAAAGTCACAACACAGTCAAATCTTTTTATCAAAAGCGATAAAAATATCAAAGGCTATCATGATGTATATGCAAAAATTCAAACCTTATTTATAAAGAGCAAATAGTTTTTAGGGTTCCGTAAGTAGAAGGCAAAAAGGGTTAATTCACTTATTTTTAACCGCTCTAATTTTTTAATTAGAAAGTGTTTTTTATGCGAATTGCTATAAAATGTTCTAATCAATTTAGGAAAGTTATCTATACATACTCGTATAATAAAATCGTAACTAAGCCGAATCTGTACATTAAATAATTTTTGGAAAATCTTATTGAAATAGACATTATTATCGATACAGAGACCGAATGTATAGTTTTAAGAATTTTTGTCTGTCTGTCTGTCTGTCTGTTACGGCCACAGAAAAACTACTGGAGGGATTTTGATGAAATTTGGTATAGTGATATCTGGTTATCCGGGTTAACATATAGGATACTTTTTACTGCAGGGAAATATCACATCTCTGAGAAATCTATACTTAGCCAAATAAAATAAAGCTGGCACTTAATACATGTGATTTAGAAAGGAAAAAATATTCAATGGATATTTATTTAAGCTTGTGAGTTATCTATCAATGGATAGGTCTTTAAAAATAGCATAGAAGTCTAATTACTTGCTGACTTGTAAGCTTCTCTTTTTAGAAATTATTGTTTCTTCATCTTACTTTTAAAGTACCTACATATAAGAAAAAAAATTCTTAAAAGAATGAATTTTTGTAGCTCGGAAATTTTTTATGAAAACTATTTTGGAGAAAAGAAGGCTTTTGAGATATGGGACATTTTCAGTTACCCACTATGATCACATCAATATCACGTTTAGCAGCCGCTTCTAAGCTTTGCTTTTCAGAGTAGGTATCTTTGAGAAAACAAACCTATTTTTGCTAAATGAATATTATAAAATTTAAAGTTAGTGCATTCAGCACATGTGCACGAGGCAGACACGCACTTATCCAACATTTTTTCATAATATTGTTTTTTTTTATTTTGCTTACTTTACAGCCTTATTTATAAGATCTTCAATTTATTTTTTAATTTGTATTCAATTAATTACAAAATAAAACTCATAAATGTTCATCTTAAAATAATTTACATTTAATTTAACGAAGATAAGGACATACTCATTACACACAGACTCTTTGATTGTAGCTTCTTAGGTAATTTCAGAATGTTATTTTTTGTGTTGAACGCGCACATCGCACACGCAACTTAAGGATATAGGTGCTTAAGCAATAACACCACTTTCACCTTGTCATTTTAAAAGATTTTATAGCTTTATACTAATAAATAATATGTTTTACAATCATTGAGATGGTAATGTATCCAGCATCCACAGCATGCGCCGTATACATTATGCATCGAGTGAAAAAAGCCTTATTTAAAAAGTAAAAAGTTTTCTTATCGAGACTATAAAACGAAAAGACAAAACCAATACGAAACCTGTTTCGATCCAGATATTTAAGGAACACTTAAAAATATAACATAATGAGACTGTTTCTACCTTTATATTATATATACTAGCGGCTCACCCTCGCTTCGCTCGGGTTCGCCTCTAGAAAAACACTAATAGAAATCTATTAGTTCCCACGGGAACTGTTCATTTTTCCCGGATGAAAAGTAACCGGTTGCTTGACCAGCAATATAAGGTATCAGAATGTTAAATTTTACTAAATTAGGTGCATAAGTTTTATAAGTTATAATAGTTTTTTAACTATCCCACGGGAACCATTATATTTTCCGGGATAAAAAATATCTAAGACGTTGTCCGGGGATATAAGGTACCACCATGCAAAATTTCATTTAAATCGGTCCAATAGATTCGGAGATTAGCCCGTACAAACAGACAAACAGACAGAGAAACAAAAAAATTGAAAAAAGTCTGGATTTGTTCTATTTGTCTTCTTACATCCCCCTGACTCGCGATGGCTTTGATGTATTAGCGTATTTCATGTATAACTTTGGTGTTTCTATACCGATTTCTATGATTCTTTTTTATGGAATAGTTTATAATGTTAACTTTATTAATTAGGGATGACTGAGAGTGTTATAAACGTAAGAGTAGACAAATATAAATCAGAAAGCTTCGAACTGCTAAGCTATCGGGAGTTACACGTGTTATTGTGAGTCAACCATAAAAGATAGACATATGCTGTCGTTGGATATTTTTTATATAATTTTAAGGAGAACATTTCCGTCATACATGATTTCTGTGTAGCTTTAACCATTAAGGTAGCACACGCGACGGAAGCTTAAAAAATGGAGTAACTTCTCCCGTTTTCCCAACATTTCCCTTCACTGCTCTGCTCCTATTGATTGTAGCGTGATGAAAAGTATACTATAACCAGCTCAGGAGTATGAAAAATAATTGTACTAAGTTTCGTTAAAATCCGTCGAGTAGTTTTTGTTTCTATAACGGTTATACAGACAGACAGACAGACAGACAGACAGACAAAAATTTTACTGATTGCATTTTTGGCATCAGTATCGATCCCCAATCATCCCCTGATAGTTATTTTGGAAATATATTTCATGTACAGAATTGACCTCTCTACAGATTTATTATAAGTATAGATGAATGTATATATTAGCGACTTACTCTCGCTTCGCTTGTGTGCGAATAATTCCGTAATACATTGTTTTCATAATAACTCAAAAAATATATTATAATTTGAAGAAATAAATATGAAAATTTTAATGAAACGAAAATTCGAATTCTTGAGTAATTTTTAAGAGTTTTCGATTTTCGCGCTGGAATCTACCAATAGTATCTACCTAAAGGAAACACGAAACAAAAACGCTATGTTTAACTTTATAAAAACTTTAAAATAACCGACTACCAGGTACTTAAATTTAAAAAATAACTAAACGAGGGTTTTCATTTAGAATAGATACCTAATCAGATATTTTCGAAGTCGGTGCCAGCCGATGCAAGGCAAATCTAATATATTTCAATACGTAAAATACTTTACAAATTGATGTACATATAATATTTTAACTATAAATTAGAGTTCATACCTAATCATATTTATCTATTAGATATTCATATCTTAAAATATTGTCGGCCAGGTCAGTTTATTTTATATTTTTTATATTTTTAAATTTATTAGAACATTTTGTGCTTCTGCCTGCAATCGTTTATGCAGTCGGCATGATTTTTAATATTTCCGCCAATTTACACAAAACCTTAATAAATTATACACCTAAACCTTCCCTATGAATCACTCCGTTCATTGGTGAAAACCGTACGAAAATCTGTTCGGTAGTTTTTGAATTTGTCGCGTTCAGACAGGCAGATGGGATGGAGGACTTTGTTTTATAATATGTCGTGAAGACTCAGGACTATTTATTTTATGCAGGAGATCCAAAGTCTCAAAATTTTCAAAGTCAAATTCGACATTGTTGTTTCTGATCAATATAATTGATTATTATGTACTTAAAATAAATTTTAAAATACCTAATATCTACAAGGCTATAACTAAGTAAATAAAAATAACAACTAACCTATTAAAATAGTAGACATATAAATAAATATGTGTGATGTTTACATATTTTCTCAAATTAATATAAAAGTAACGTCTCTATTAAATGCGTTAGTTTATAAAACACGTGGGTAAAGTGAGCGACAAAAAAAATATATTTCAAAATTATGTAAATACTTTGCAAAACCATTTTATACCCATGATCCATTTTACCTGCCCTCGTCTGAATGATTTTCAACCAAGTATTTTCAAGGTGAAAATGAGACATTTTGTCTCATGTATGACATTACAGCCGGTCGGCGATCGATAGAATTGTAAATTGTTACACTAATACATAACTTCATAATGTACAAAGGTGGAATAGCATAGCATATACAAACGTCGCTTCCCACGCATTAGCAGCTGTAATAAACTGTTGAAATTGTTCAAATTAGAACACCAAAGAATAATTTAATTTTCCTATATTTATTTACCAACCGACAGCGACATACAACGTACCAACAACCTATACAAAATATTAACTATAGTTGCTCTACAGAATCTACATAGTTACTTGTACATATATAGCTGCTGTCTAGAAGTCTAGACAGGGCTGTGTGTACTTGCTACACTTATAAAAGTATTATACTAACACAGCACTAGTGCATGTAGACCATTAACTTTATTAAAATACAGAGTAGTTATTTGAAATTAATGTAAAGTATACACTTTACTATACTATTACTTCCAAACTAAATCAAAATACAGCAAATAATAAATTTAATTGGATGTATCAACAATCAATTTAAAATACAGCAGCCAGACTATTTATTGAATTCGTATAATAAAATTAAAAGAAGTAATCCAATGGGAAAAAATCATTAAATTTAACTTAGTGGCATTTTTTTAAATATATTAATTATAAAGGTATTTTTTCCAATAGGGCGCGCAAGTTGATTATAGCTTTATTTTACTAGCTTTTTCTCGCGTCTCTGCTCGCGTAATATATTGGTTTATTTTATTAATCCCTACACGACCGCGGACACGCTGGCGTGTCAGTTAACAATTGATTTCTCAGAATTTTAATTAATTTCTTAGAAATTTACCTGGAGGTGTTAATATATTTCACTCCATAAAATAGTTTCATCCAACGTTAAAAATCTAACGAAAATAAGGTATAACATGTATTGTATTATAAGGCCAAATGTCTATTTATAACTTACATTGATATATCATTTTCTTTCCTCATTTTGGTATTTTATTTCTTATATCAATATATTATTAGTGTTTACGAGTACTTATACCATAATCTCTTAAAAAAAATTTACCTATACACTCCATAATGTTTTCCTGAAGCTCTATCGCCACATATAGAGCAGAGATGTTTGGAACCGCTGAGCGGATGATTGGGAGGGAAGTTCCTCATAGAAGGAGGGGAGGTGGCGTCGTCACGCATGCCGTCTAGCATTGCCGTGTCCGGTTTCATCTCCGGCGGAGACATTGGCGACATAAACCCCGCCTCGATGTTCAGCCCTGTAAAACCGTTTACTTTAAGAATTATGTTATAATAATAATTTATAATATGAAATATGTATTCACAAAATCTTTGTTTAAAACAAATAGACTGTAAGCTAAGAGAAAACTAAGTCAATTTTTATTAGGTAAACACAGAAGTCATATTTTGATTTAAAACCAATGTTCTATCAATATACATATACCACCTATACATTAGCTATAGCTACATATATTAGAACATAATTTATCACGATAAATAATGGCCCAGAAAATAAAGAGAAATGTTGTCGACGAATCAGAAAAACCCGATCAAACCGGTCCACGAAACTCAGCTTCGTGGTGTGGTAAAAATAAGTAAACCAGCACTCCTCTCGGTAAAATTTCAATATAATACTCTATATTTAATATCAATCATATTTATTATAAATTCTTCTTAGATGTGAACATGGCGAAATAAGAAAAAATTAAGTAGGTACCAACAAAATAAGAAAGAAAGTTGATCCCCGCCTTTACACCTACGTCAAATATCGAACCGAAGTGATATAATCAAACACACGAATTCTAAGTAAGGAACTCAAATATCCAGGAAAGCTGACACTGCGTCATTTGGTCGCCTATTTGTTTATAAAGCAAAATTGATAGTCATAGCACGAGGGCACAAAAGAATACTTTTAATTCGAACAAATACTTAATATAAGCACCACGAAGGCTGTAATCAGAATCACATAAATAATTTTCACAGACGTCATTTAAGAGTACAAAGCTTTTAGATTATGCTGAATTCATGAGGAAGCCGTTTATGATAATAGCCATTTATTATTCAACATTATAAATTATAATTGCCAAATGAAAAACACGATTCAGAGGCACCACGACAAAAGGAGACTTCAAAGTTGCCATAAAGAGAGATGAAAAATAAACGCCAGCTAAACTTCACGAAGGAGTCCTGTCAAAATTTAAATGACAGGCTTACGTGTTACAGTTTTGTTTTTTACATAATACTTGTTTTCTTTTATAACAAAAAATATAATATTTATTATAAAAATAATTTTTGAAAACCTTTCAAGATATAAGTATCTATATACGTGAAGTATTTATTTATAAAAATATTCATTGTTAAAATATTATAGGATGTAGTAATCACGTAAATTTTTTTTCTATCTGTTTATGAGCGTAGATTTTTTAGTTTTATTGTTTGATAATGATAATACGATCTAAGCGGGCTCACACCAAAGTGTAGCCACTATCAGCTGGTGACAACGAGACAGGCAATCTAGTTAATAATTTAATTACAAATTTCCCAATTAGTATAATAGTATTAAGCTTTTCTTAGATATTTTGATTATATTAATAATTATTTAGTATCTAATATTGATAATAATACAAAAGCTTCTACATAATTTCCCCAACGCTATTTTAAGCTCAAGTTAAATACTTTAAATAAAAGACGTAAATTCAATTTGAAAAATAATAATTATTTTTCTGTGGTTATTCTGTGTGTGTAAACTATACTATATATAAAACTGGTATTGCTCGCTATATCAGGAATTTCCAGTACGATTTTAAAAATTCGACAGCTTACTTATCGAGGAAGGTTATAAGCTGTTACCAACACAACCAATTAGACGACAAATTGTAGGCAAGAACGAAAGGGAAAACAATGGTATGCGACACAAGTGCGGTGATATTCAACACGAGTGAAACCGCGGACCGCACCTAGCTGTCTAATAAAACAATAAAACCTTAATAACCATTAAGGCTGTCAGTTTTGATTGACATATTTTTTTATCAATAGATAAGCCTCTGTTTGACAAAGATCATAATATACAGTCTATTTAATACCTACGTGTCTGTGGGTGCGCTTATTATTGTGAATTGCTTGTAAAAAGCTGGCCGCATCTCTGTTCAATCGGGGTTTTCCAATACTCAAAAGAATTTGTGGTGATACCTACCGCGCTTTTATTGGGATCTAACACAACTAGTTGCATTGGATATCCTGCTTTATACATATGTATAGAGATAAGACAAATGTAGAGATATAGAGATAGAGAGATATAGAGATAGAGATATAATAATAGAGAGTGCATATTTTGTGCTCGCGAACAGACTTGTACACTATAATATATCCAACGCAGATGTTATTAACCTTGATGTTATGTTGTTAACCTTAGTTAAACTTAGGAGATTATTAGTACTTTAAAATATATTATTTCCGTCTCAGTCCTACGTAGTATCCCCAGGTCAACAGATCTTCGTGAGATTTTTTTTATATTATAAAAAAAATATTTTCATGCACTTTTCTATTATTCAATTAATAATTAATCGAAGTTCAATCAAGAATCATCAAGAATTTTTGTAAGAGAAAAAGTTGGGCGTCTCATCAAAATGAAGCTACTCACGGAAAATTAGCTTGATACTAATCACTTGTAAAAATGGACCAGGGATCTCGGACTAATACCTACGAGTATGTCGTATTATCTCTTTAACCATTTGTCCAAATTATATGCAGTCAAAGGGAAAAGTCTTATGTTTTAAACATTTTAGACGATAAATTTACTTATTTTGATAAGAATTCGTAATTGCTAATAATATGACCAATAAACATGACCTACGGATTTAAATTATTTCTTAACATGAAAAAGTAAAAAACTTAAATATAAAAGTAAGACATATGCTGTCGCTGACTTTTTTGTAGGCATTTTTAAGCTTTACAACTTTTTTCTAGAACATAATCATATATCTCACATCGTTAAGGCAGCGTTCGTAAGAAACGTTTTCATTCGATCGTTTTTCTCCGACTTACTTTGCAAATCCGACTACCAAGAAAAAGTCTGTTCATTCTTCGGATTTATATATAGCTTATGACACTCAAAAATAACGTGACTTTCTATTGGTAAAAGAATTTTCAAAATCGGTTCAGTAGATCCAGAGATTACCCCCTACAACGTCACAAACTCACAATCTCACAAACTTTACCTCTTTATAATATTAGTATAGATGAGTTATTCGTTGTTCGTAATTTTTACACGAAAGTGTTCAGATAATTATACCAATGGAAACTGGGCGAATGCATTGTCTAGTGATATATAATAATATATAGCATTACGTCATGCCTAACGTGGCTCCATCTTTAACTGAAATACTAAGCCTATGTTACAAATAAGTATAGATACTATTTGCAAAGAAAGTGTCAAGGGTCCGTTGAACACGGCCGGCGCGGCGGCCGCACTGATCTATTCCATATTAACGACAGCAGTATTACGGTATTAACGAAACAAATTTCGAGCAGTAAAGTTGTAAATAAACCAAAAATATTTAGAATTTCGTTTGCAAAAATACGTGTCTCTTTCTATTGCGTTAATGAATGGACCATTAAAATATGTGTGATTAAAAGCTTGAAAAGATGAAGAATCGAAATATTTTTTATATTTTTATTTATGAAGGATACAAAAAAAGGTTTCATGTTAACATATTTTGGTTTAAGGAAAATTTATAACGCTCATAACAAAAAAAAAGTACAAGATCAAATTAATAAACAATACCTACATACTTCAGTTACAAACAGAAGTCGATATTTAACGAAGTCTTAGAATATTCCTTTGATTATATGTATATACATACATATTGTAATAAAATTTTTGAAGTACTAAGCCTATCGGTATATTGTTATTTGTTTGCAACTCAACATTTTATAGGTGTTTTGTTTTATTCTTTTGATCTTTATTTATTTTGATCTTTCTTAAGAAAGGAAATTATTTGCAATTATCAAACAATAACACTTTTTTGTATAACGTTTTACTGAAGGTATTTTCATTTATCCAACCAATTTTAGAATTTATCGTATTTTACACGGTAACTTTATTATATTACATCATTTACCTACTGAGGAAAAAAATTCTATAGCTCAATTATATAAGTTGGACGCGTATATTACTTCAAAGTACCTATGTGCATAAAATCAAGGTTACTGATCTTAAAATGAAATCCAATTTGGTTAAGCCTTTAACACTGGAAAATTACAATTTTAACGAGATTAACCGTAGTGTAAAGGGTAGACGTGTTAAATCATTTTGTCCACGAAATTACATAACGAAGTAATTGTCAGTTTATAGTATAAACTAGCATTGCCCGCGGCTCCGCCCGCGTTCACATGACCAAATTCCAAATTCTTAGGTTTTACATATTAGTATACTCTTACAATGCAGTTTTTGTACTTTTTTTAAATGAGGCATTTTCCCGCGGTAAATAGTATCCTATATGTTGACCCGGATAACCAGCAATCACCATACCAAATTTCATCGAAATCCCTCCAGTGGTTTTTCTGTGATGCGGTAACAGACAGACAGACAGACAGACAAAAATTCTAAAAACTACAGATTCGGCCTCTGTATCGCTAATAATGTTTATTTCAATAAGATTTTCAAAAAAATATATGTTATTCCAGACTATAATCTATGTCTGTGCCAAATTTCATCCAGATCCGTTCAGCCCTTCTGGCGTGAAAGTGTAACAAACATCCATACTCACAAACTTTCATATTTATAATATTAATACAGATATGGCGCGTGGTGTAATTCTCATTTTCGAACTTTAATTAAATCCAGCCTGTACAGATGAGTACAGATAAAACCTTGAACATATGAATGAACTAATATTTTGAACCAATAAGTGATGAAGACAGAATATTAAATAATCAATTATATATTATAGATATATTTTAAATAATCAAACGAAACATTTAAGTAATCTACTTCACTTATAAAAGTACAATAAGAATGAGTAGCTCTACAGTTTTGATTATTTTACACAAATACTTGACCCCAAAGCTATATTTCAATTTAAATAGGTATATGTATTTAAAATAGGTACCAGCCATTGTAGCTCTAAGTGCCGAAGACTCAAACCGGATAGCGCAGCGAAATATGTAGAAAAACCCGACAAGACAAACTGATAACAAATATATTATGATCACGAATAATTTTTTATATAACCTCCTGGGACCCGAACTATAAATTATTGAATTTAAGCAGCGTTTTTCTATTAACTGAGCTAATTGACGTTACACTAATGCAAAACTATCAATTAAATATTACACAAATATCTATTTCAGGATTTTCAGGTGGTATCAAATATGATACTTTGGGACACATAAGAAAAAAAACTATTTTATTTCAATGTTAGTTTTTTTTTAAATCAGTATAATTTTCACATCTAATGGCAATGAAAAGTTTTATAACAATTCCTAGTGAAATTAAAACATAAATAATAAATATACATCACACTCCTAACATATAAAAGTCAACGCTATACAACCTTCGGTACCTTATTTTTCATTAAAATGGCCGTTCCGTTACATACTCTTTCTCTTACGATATCCAAAAGTGGTGAAGAGGTAAAATCCATGTAAATTGAAGTGCCTACTGGTATGGTATCCTGCAAATGCTATCCTACTATCTTGCTAATTGTTCAGGTATTGGGTACAAAGCCGATTCCACTTTACCTTTACTTTAGATATTACTAGACCTTTAGGTATAAATCCAATGGTAAATCATCAGAATTCACTGCGATATAAAGTTTTATTCCTTCTGGGTTTGGTTTACCTTTCACCAGTTGTTTTTTGACCCATCTTTTTGTGTAAGGTAAGATCTGCTTATCGATGGAGACATTTTTGTCGCGAACATTTTTACGGCACGCTCTCTTAATCTCTAAAACTATTGATCGTATTTTTCAGAAGCAGTCGTTAGATTGCGTAGATTCTAAAACATCAGCTTCATTTACGACTTTTAAGTACGATCGAATCTCAGTATAACGTCTTTTAGTCATTGCAGATGCCATTAAGTCGCACTAGTTTCTAAAAGCCAGAATTGTTTTATCCTTGGCATACCTAACAGTCATACTGCTACAGTCATAACCATGCTACTCCCAAAAAACGTTAAATTTCTGCAGCAGCAGAGTTCACTGATTTTTCTGTGCGCACAAAGGACATGACATTTGACCAAAAATCCATGTTTGTAAAGAATTCAGCATTCAAGTACCATTCAAAATATTCCAATATCTTTTTAGATATCAGGCTTCAGGTTGTTCTCTGAGAAATTTTCACTGCACCTGATGTGAATGCGTTAAAAATGGCTTTAAAATCAGTTGTATGCTTCCAAATTACTAGCCTACCTGTAGAAATATGCCTCGTTGAACGGGGCAGTAGTTGAAGCGGCTCATCATCAGAGGAATCGTAATCACTATTTGGTTCCTGCAAACTTGGCTGTTCCTCAATCTTATCTATATCCTGGTCCTGTATGCCATCCTCGTCCACGTCAGAGTCCTTCTTTTCATCATCGGAGACGTTGGAGTTCAATAATTCATTGGGAATTGTTTCGTCAGATATACCGGAAATCACTGTAAATGGTGAAAATTATTTCCAATAGTGCCCAAAGTATCACATTTGATATGCTCAATTTATCGTATGATATTCACGTTAAAATAAAATTTTACGTTATTTACTTACGGAAAATCCAAAGAAGAGAGCTTAACCTTTATAAACAATAGTAAATTACTTAGGAATCCATAATTTAATAATTACTTACCCTTACGTAAAGTTGACATGGCGAAAACTTTGAATTTTTGAAAAATAACTGTCCTACCCGCTTAAACTTTAAGTACTTTGAAGTACGAAAATTGTAGTTATAAATCATTAAAGGTCTACTCTATGGCTTAAATAAAAAAAAATTAGGAAAATATAACAGATGACGCTTTCACGAAGTTTTTAATTCAAGTATCAAATATGATACTCTGGTTCCCAAGAGGATAATGCATATTTTTGCATTAGAATCTAGTGTTGAATGGAGAAACTTAAGAAGAGGTAATAAACTAATTGTAAGTATCGAGCATACAAATATAATTTTACCCATTTTTGCTGTAAGTTTTGTTTTGATAACAGTATAATTTTCCTCCCCTACTTTTAACATATTAAGATAGTCATTGAAAAAGGAAATATTATTCAACATAAGCATACTGATTGATTGAACAATAAGTACGAGACAAGACAAAAATACCTACAGCTATTACAAATTACATATTCATAAACTTTATTGTCAATTACAGTGGATTCTGACCTGTCTACTTTTCCTATTTGAATTATTTATATTGTAAGTATAAGACAAATTATGTTTTTGAACTATGTAGAGTATTGCGTAGATAATAAAATAATGTTTATTTACATTGCATGTCGATAGAGCAGTCAACTGTTGACATATTCGAAGGAGGACCGTGAGACTGCAGCATATTAGCAGTGGGCGCAGGCGCCGCAGGCGGCGGCTGCTGCGGGCCTGGGGGTGCCGGCCGCGCCCAGTTGATCAGCGCAGTCACTGACATTGTCGGCTTGTCTTTCTTCGCCACGCTAGACATGGCCACGCACTAACATCCTCACATCACTGCACTACGCTCTACTTGACACAACTACACAATTTTTTCTGACAAGTCCCATATGATTAGTGATAGTGATCGATCTGGAACGTAGCCTTGAAGTTAAATACCTATTGAAAACGTTTTAATTAAAAGTGAACACAAATTCGCCTGCAAATACCCAAGTGCGCAGCGCGAGTCACGACGGCTCGTCACAGACACCGGGGACAAAGCAGACGTAGTGACATTGTGATAGCGGCTGTTAATGCACCCGATGCGCCGACGCACCGTTGGCGATATCGCAATGCACTGCGTCAACAATGCGTCGCGAGCTCCAGCAGTGAAGGTTAGCTTGTGACTAATGCGCGCTTAAATTCAACGAACTCGAAATTGACAAAAAATGTACCCGACGACTTCCGCGCGGTTACCGCATGAAGGTTTCAACTCAACAGGCTCGCTCAAGGTCCGCATACAATCTACGTGAATAAATCTCATTTTATGTCGAAAAACTAGTTGTTGTAATCGATTTTTTTTTGCTTATTGAGTTGTAAATGACATATAGATGAATCGAGTTATATTTTAGATATTTTTATAGTGGCGTTAGAATAGGAATCATCTGAATAATTGGACTTGTTAGCAGTCGACCTTCGTAATCGGTCCTGATGTTGTAATTAAATTTTGCGTCACTCATGGACTGAACACCTCGCTCTAGCCTCTAACATTATATTTTTCGCTATGTCACTCTGCTGATGCTATTTAAATCAATGCTATTTAAATAAGTACTAGAGTACTTACCGCCGTATAAAATTGAAAAGCACGAAAATGATATAAAACTTAGAATTAATTACCAATGTTTATTGCATTTTTATCATCCTTTATCACTAATCCGCTTAGTGTTGTGCTTTCCCACAAGTACTTACTAAGACCACGATATAATTATTATGCTAACAGTAAAATAAATATTATTATTTATTTTACCTACCTTATTTATATAAGGTATATTAATACAGACTTATCGACTCAGTTCAATATGAACCTACAGAAATATTAAATAAAAGTAGACGCAGTGATAATGGTACATCATTTGAAGAATTAACTTTATACATATACCTACTACCAATTCTGGAAATTAAATTTATGAATATATTACGGATGCGACATACTCGTATGCGCAGGAAAATATCTAAGACTTGCTGTACGAATAAAAACAGACAATCGTATCTGTTTTATTTAAAGACTTCATTTATCATGCAATTATTCATATTATATTTAGCTTCCTTCACACATACCCTACATATGGACGGCCTTGGATTAAGTGCGTACACGCCTCCACGTGCCTAAGTGTTTATCAAAAATAAATAACGACATTTTACTAAGCTACATCACAATTAAAAATAGATATATATATATATATATATATATATATATATATATAAACAATTAGCTCTATTAAAAAAACAGTTGTTTACTTGACTGATTTATTAAAATTGAATTAATATGCACATGTAATATTATGTTTATAATCATCATGCATTTAGTGGTAAGTATTTTTGACAAGCCGATCCTATGAAACCGATAGCCCCGTGAGAGCATTTTGTTACGGTGTGATACAACGCAAGCCAACCCAATATGTACGAGTTTAAGTATACAAAAATAAGAAACCAATAATATAATAAATTCTTCAAGATATCGCTCGCCTATACTTGGATGATGCCTTACTTCAGGATCCATATAAATGTAGTTTCTGAAACCACGCTCAGCTAAGATAATGAAGAATCTAAAGATACGGGTATAAATTTTTACCACGTATGGTAATTAAATTCAGTATGGTTAATAGCTTATAGAGTCTATCTATACATATAATAAAACAGTAACTTAGAGAAATCTGTACATGAAATATTTTTAAGAACAATGACTGTAACGTATCGTGTACAGAACATAGACCCCAAAACAATAGTTATAAAAAAAATTGTGAGTTTATCTGTATGTCTGTTTGTTTGTTTGTTCGCGTTTCACGCAAAAAGTACTGGACCGATTTTGACTAAATTTTGTGTAGAGATAACATATTACAACATTTAGGATATTTTTTTACTACAGAAAAATCTTTTACTCCCACGGGAAAACACAATAACTGGTTCTATCGAGTCGTCCTTAGAAAATTTGGCTAACGCTGGCTAAAATGATATATTAACACAGTGTATTCGAAAATTGTTTGTCTTAAAATAGCCTACAAAAAGCATGCAATAGCATAAGTCTGTCTCCTAAGGTACACTCGCATTAGATTTATCAGCCACGGATATGCTTGATGATATCTTTATGTAGTCTTCTTGCTGTTGCTTATTTTCTAGTACCGTCTTCTTCTGTATTATTGGTTCAAGCTTTTGTTATAAAGGTCTAGTATCTCGTTGCATATTTTCGTATTGAGTCAGTAAGCTAGGGCCGATATTTTCTGTGTCCCTTGCTCTACCATATTTACTAAAAATGGTCCACGATTCATTCTTTTTCTAAAAAAAAAGTGAAATTAAACAAATAAATCTGATCCGTTATACCACATCGATTTGATGAACCCAATTACGTCTACGAACTGATGAACTTCGATATAGTGAAATTTTATATAGCGTAGCCCATCTAAAAAGCTCTAACTTGAAAAATGTTTATTAAAACACAAGAAGCTTTGTAATGACTAGGATAAAAATAAAATAATATTAAGATGAAAAGACTCCAATCACCACTAGCAAAAAAGTTAATTTTAAATTGGGTTTTAGAGAAATATAAGAGTTTAAAAAATGACTCAACAAAAAAGACTCAACTAAAAATTTAAAAATGTTTCAACAACAAAACAACAATTCTAAATAAAAACAAAAACTTTTCTCACTTTCCTATGAACACTGGTTCAAGTCAAAATGTTGCTTTAATTTACTTAGCACTAATCATCAAAATGGCGACAAGTTTAATAATGTTGTACATGCATTTCGCGTGTAATACTGACAGTAACTAGCTATGTTCCTATTTCGGTGGAGGAGAATCGCGCTCTTTCATACAACAAAAAGGGGTTTTAGTGTCACCTAGCATTGAGAAATGTAACTATTTTTGTATCTGTTTTATTGGTTACTAGCTAGTAAATTAAGGAATCCGATGGTATGCGTAACTAAAAAGATGAGATTTTTGAATTAGCTCTGTTTAGATCTAGGTGTGCGATATATATGTATGTAGTAGTACATAATGCTATGTACCTTCTTCAACTTGTTCTAATCGTTTTAGATCGCGTTTTACGCAGTCAGGTTTTTTTTATGTTTATACTTAATTTATTTTTATTCACAGCTCTTTAGTTTCGGTCAATTAGACTTTTTGTTTTATTTAACAATTTCTTATCCTAAATTAATTATAAAAATACAAGTTATATATATTTTTGTAATCGTTTCTTAAAAACCTATATTTTGATACCCCATTTGATTAATTCGGATGATTTTTTTTTCTAGACAGAAATGGGTGTCTTAGATCCGCCATTTTGATTTTTAATAATATCTATATACCCTATGACACTCGTGTTATCAAGACGAATCGAACGATGAATCATCAAAATCGATTAAGCCGTTTACTAATTACGATGGAACATAGAATCGGACATACATACAAACACATAACCCTCCTTTGGGCCTCGCTGCAGTTGAGTAAAAATAAGCCGAAAATATATAAGTAATGTATGAATCGAACCAAAAAGCATTACAATGTAATAAAAAAAACCGACTGCATAAACGCTAACTGAAAAGATGAAAACAAGTTCACGAAAGAATATAGTATTATGCAGTCGAGGACACGCGTTTCATCCTTGCCGCGAGATGTATGTATGTATATTGTATAGTATATATGTAGGTACTTATTACTTCCAATATACATAATTTACTTTGTAACCCAATCATCTTACGAAAATTGTCTCTATTATAATTTATAATCTAATAATTTCATAAGAGCTGCAACTTTCACTTAATAAATCGCATTCGCATTATTCAGTAATGATCTCTTTAGCGATCGCAGATTACTGCCAGCAAGAATGTTTCCACTTTCTTTACTTTCTTTATAGCAAGCGATAATCATGAATGCAAACGTGCAACGTTCGTTGCATGAGAATGTGAAACAGAGCTAGCTTGACGGCCGGCAAGTAGTATCGATCGGAGGCGACCTTGATTTGATGTACCGCCAACTACGTACAATTATAAGCATTGACAACACAGCCAGCCGTCCGTCCGGCCAGCTTATCACGCTCTGTTTTTATGTAGAGAATTTCTCAAAATATTAATGAAATAATACTTTCTTAGATTTACGCGAATGTTTGACATTATTAAATAAAACTATCTTTTCGGATTATTTCGCGGATTTATTTTGATTTTTGGTTCCCGACGTTTCGAATGCTTTACAGCATCCATGGTCACGGGAGAGACTGACTCAGTCTCTCCCGTGACCATGGATGCTGTAAAGCATTCGAAACGTCGGGAACCAAAAATCAAAATAAATCCGCGAAATAATCCGAAAAGATAGTTTTATTTAATAATATTAATGAAATATTGATACAAAAGCAGAAAACACAAGGGTTTGAATAGTCCGTTAAAAACAAGGTCAGACGTCCGTCCTAGAGCTGATCCGAGCAGCGCGGGTAGCTGGTGCGGTGAGTCAAAGGCGCGGGGGCGGTGCGACGCGTGCACTTGCCGCGAGATATAGGTAAATGGAACGCAGAGAACCGAGCTACAGGGGCCTGCGACCTTGGCGATTCTCTGACGACTACAGGTGGTTTTTGTTTGTAATCTGTTAATACACGATCGCCGGCTCTCAAATCTCAATGCTTCACTACGCGCTGGGGCTGTCGATAGACGCGCAGGGCACTGCAACCGGAACTTGTTCGAACAATGTTTGTTTATTTTTGTACTCAAGTCACGCGGATTATGTACGAAACATTAAATTAGTTATGAAATCATACCCGTTTACCTATTGAAGTTATCCTTTTATGCAATCCGATATTTTGAGAGGATTAGTTTAGTTTTACGTAGCTTTTATTTATAAGTATTAGTAGTAGTAGAGAGTAAAAACTAAAGATTTCTTTATCATATTTCGGATCCCTTAATTTTGCTCCATGAAGGATGTTTCGAACACTTTTTTATTACCCATGATCAAGAGTATGAGTATAAATACAAGAATATGAGTATAATACTTTGACGTCCGTAACAGTATAGCATGAGTTATGGAGTTTTAATGTGTTTTAAAATATAATTGAGATTCTCATAACTACTATTACGTAAAAATGAAAACGCGAATGTTAGAAACATGACAGTAAATATGTATTACATATAACATAGCAAAGTGTTATATAATGTCGACAGCAGAGAGACCTTGACCGTGACCAAGCAACACTTCCCGAGGCGTGACGCGACTCGTTCGCGCCCGCGATTAGCCGTCGACGATAACGATTATATTTTAATAACATTCGATGTACATAGGTAGGTACAATACAATTTAAACAAACCCTTAAATCTGGCATTTCACTTATACACTATTTTAAAACGTATGTAATATAAGCAGTTACTTGCTAATATATCAGGGAAATAAAAGGATCATCCCTTTTAGCTCTGTAATGCGATATATAACAAGACTATTTTTAACAGACTTCCAAAAATGAGAAGGTTCTATGTTCGTCTGTACCTATGTATATTTTTTTATGTATGTATATTCACCGATTTCTCGGAGACGGCTTGAGTGATTTTGCTACTTTAAATTAAGTTAGATCCCAAGGTGGTCCCATAAAATTTTCTTTGAAATAGAGTATACTGTATTCGAGAAAATCAGAAAAAATACGTTTTTTTATCTACTTCTAATTGTTATATCGACTTGAAACTTTGCAAATCTTTGTATTTCTGATGATAATACAGTTATTTGGTGTCATTGAGCTGATCTGATGTTACCATCAGAAGGATAGTAGAACTCTTCAATGGCTTCTAGGACATACTTTAGTTTGGGCTTATTTGATTTCATTTGGCAAGCCCATTTACGTTAGAATTATATTTTAAGAGTCTGAATTTTAGTAACTAATAAAAGTGAGTTTTTTTTTAGCTTGTAAGACTTCACATAAGTTTAGCACTGATTTCGAAAATATCTGATTAGGTATGTAAATGTATGTAGTTATTGCTTAAATAGATAAGGTACCTACCTAGGTGCGATTTTTTAAATTTTTAAAATCATTTTTGTAAAATTGTGAGTAGGCACTGTCTGAAACAAGTATATAACGCCTTCGAGACGTGTAAAATCTTAGTCTCTCCCGCGACCACGATTGCTGTAAAGCATTCAAATCGTCGGAAACCAAAATTCTAAATAAATCCGCGAAATAATCCGAAAAGATAGTTTTATTTAAAATTACAACCCTTTGAGCTTCGACAAAGTCTGATAAAAAAAAGCAAAAGTAAGTTCGCAACCGTGAAAAGCTAATACGTACCTAATATTTGTCATAAAATAAATTTAAACAGTGTATTAGTATGCCAAAAGTAAGTTAGCATGAGGGCGGCAACGAATTCTAATAAACCAGAAGACCTTGACAATGATACAATCCTCTTGAATAACCACCTAATGAAATCGCGTCAACATAATATTTCTAACTCGCAAGTAGCAACATTATATGTAGATCGCGTAGGTACATTATAGACAGATATTGTATTTACAGAATCGAGTTATCATTAAATAGAACATATCAATTATTTAAAATAAAAATATTTTTTATCTACATAAAATATCCATAGACACACAATACGTAACGATTTAATAACATCTAGCTTAGTTTTTTTAAAACTATAATAAAAATATTAAAAAAAAAGAGTCAATAGGTACAAATATATGTTGCGTTTTATATAATTAAAATATAATATTTGCTTTAAAGTAAACGTGAGCACAAATCGTGTAATAAACTTTTATGCTGCAACAAAATGTTTTTTTACTGGGTTTGTACTTAGTACTTGTAGAAAAATAGACAAAATATCTACACTAATATATGTCGGTAAATATGATTAAGTGCAAAGTTATTGGTTTAAATTGATAAGCAGACAACCTATAGAAATATAACTTTTTAAACGTAGACATATATATATATATATTGTTTGGCTGATAATGGGATCAAAGATGTATTGTATATTTTTGTTATGAAATGTGTGTGACATTAAGTTAGGGAAATAGTATTGAAATTTGTACAGGACCACCTTTGAGATAAAACCTATACATTAAAAAAAGAATTCTGAAAATCGATTCACTATTTGGTAAGATATCTCGTAACATATCCAAAAAATACAATAAAAATACAGATGAATTGAAATGTGTTTTCAATATTGACGTAAGAGACGAAAGACGACTAACTAGTCTTCACAAATGCCAATGGAACTTATTTTATCCTTATCTGAGTTTCATTTTAAGCGGTTGAGTAGATTAAAATTTAAAACGCAGCTCAAGTTTCCCTATTATTCGATATCATACAAATCGATATTATAAGCTGTGGTTAGACTTTAGAGTAATATATAAAAGTATAGAGAAGGTAACTGCTTAATAAACAAGCAATAGATTGAAAAAATATATATTAATTCTGATATATTTTTTGTACATTTTAAAAAAATACAAATTGTTTCATTTGTGTGAGTTTACAGCCTACAGGTGCGAGTTTAAATACAAAAAATATATTCTTTTAAGTAAAAAAAAAAATTAAATACTAATCAATGGGATGGACATAATGATATTGAAACAAAGTTTATATTACGTGAATTATGTTTCGCAAATTTTGCCTTTGTAATATTAGGACGAAGTCAAAGATTCTACCAGTAAACTCCAAGACACGAAAATGACGACGCGGGGCCAAGGGTTGTCACAAGTACCTTCACAATTTTTACTAATCTTTTTTTATTTAACGACATTATTATCATTAATATGCGTTTATTATGTACAATATATTACGTCATCCATAATATATGGATTTAAATGTGTACATATTATCATTTTTGTAATTACAAAATTCTTAAACACTTTATTCGTCCACCATTTTATTCATATTGTTGGAACATGACAATAAAAATAACGCTAATTATTAAAGAGTTATAATATTTGTCTTTCTTTCATGCACGAAAATAATGGAATATCAGTTGCTTATGTCAAATCACGACTTGCAATCATTCACGGCTTATGTCATAATATTATGTCATACTTTAGTGTATACTAAAATATTTTTTGTCAGACACGCCCTGAAAGTTATGTCCCGATGACAAAATGCATTTTGGATGTAGATTGCCTCAACCAAGTCTTGACCCGCACAATTTATAAAAGTTTAAGATACTACTACCCTTTAGCCTCTATGCAAGAAGGCATATACCTACAACTTTTCTATAAAAAAAACTCAAATAGAGTCAATTACTCAAAACTCAATTAGAGTCCAAGTTTATTTCTTAACTATCTTACTTGATTTTCTGTTTGAATATAATTGTTTGATACAAACATACTTACATACAAACATACTTCGGAAAAATATTTTTATGGAACTTCATTAATTTTGTTAAGATTCGCTTCAACAACTGCACAAATTGTGCGTCTCATTACGAAACACGTGGTTTTTTAATATATCTGTTTACACTGAAATAGATTTATAGTGTACATTTAAAAATATTTTAGTAAATATAAAGAAAGATAACTTTGAACACTACTTGTCAAATTTTCAAGGTAAGCAAAAATGGTTTTTTTTTTGCAGTTTAATAACTGTTGAGGTACCCAGCTTCATCAATGCTCCGTTTGGCACGCTTTCGACAGTTCGTTACATCATCCTGACGTCAAGCTATCAGACGGGGGAATTTAATGTCTTATCTCGTTAAAAAAATGAAGATACACATCTATGGAAATGCAATAAATACAACGATAGAAAAGATAAACGTGTTCACTCCAATAGAGTCAATACACTGGCAACCTTGCAACGTTCTTTATGACTTATGTCAGATAAAGACATAGGGCGTAAAATCACTAAAAACATTGCAACTTTTTATGTACGTAGCTAGGAGCGCTATCATAATAATTCTTTATCGCCTAAAATATGTTTACCAGTAAATTCGATCGATTTTATGACAATAATTAGAAATGTCTTTTGTTCCGCTTTAAAACCCCCTTTACAATTCGCAGTTAGACTAAATGTTACATACTTAACAATCACCATATTACACATTTTTTTTAAAGGTCTAAACCGCATAATATCCGAAACTTGGAAAACGTACTAGTATAATAACGATATTCTACAATTCTGACTTATTTTAATTTTGACTATTCTGTAATTATTGTTGAGCAAAAATAAATATTTAAAGAATTTCACATTTTAAGCTTTCGGATTCTTTGAGTACAAGACTCGTATACGATGGATCATGGAGGTATGCGCGGTGCATTCACAGTCAAATGGCGAGGGCGCATGGGTGCCGCCGTAACGTAGGTCATCAAGACTGATCAAAATTTACGATGTATGACTGTGTTGAATGCCGGTCACCGATCGTACATCGATTTTCAAATGCGTCGCGACCGGCGCCGGACACGCGACGGATACGAGCGGCGTCACTGCTCTGACTGCCGCGCCGCGTCTCCGCCCTCCCCCGCTCCGCCGTTTGTTTTGCTGTATTTTCGTTGTTAATCATTCTCCTTGACCTTGTGCGACGTCGAGTGGTCCACTGCACACCACTACCCACCCCTCACCCTGCTATCCACCCGCGCTGCCTGTCGCGACGCATCACACGTGATGCTCCCTTAAAACGCATCATGCAATTTGGCCACAAATATTTCTCTGCTAATACCTACAAACATATATGTACAACATTTTTTTCCAAATACATTATAAGAAGGGAGTAATATCTAATACATACTTCACTTATACGTCGTATTTTTGCTTTTGGTATTAATGTTGTGTGTCCCACTTCTTGGGAAAATCTTGGCAAAAATTTTGCGAAATTACTTAACATTTTCGTACATTCATTGAGAAGCAATAGGCAGGTAATATTTAAGTTTTCTTAATTGTTAAAGATACCTTAGGGCCTAAGCCTATAAATTGTACAAATAGATCTTTTCTGCACGATAAAAGTCGTATAAATAGCAGCTACATTTCCCCATAGTAAGTAGCTGAAATACAACTATGCAAGCCTTTTGACAATATAATAATTTGGTGTCACCGAGCGTATCGGACGATTGAGGTAGGAGGTGGATAGTGAAACTCTTGAATGGCTTCAATGGCAAATAAGATACTTAATTAGTCTCCGAATTTCTGTTCCTTTTGATAAGTCAAATACTTTAGACTTGGGTGTCAGCAAATAAGTTTTGCATTTAAAGCATATTTTTTGTTTCATCACAAGACAACATAATACATACGATTATAGCACAGATAGCCCATCCCATTCCAAAAAAATTGGACAGCGCTAACTCAGGCTATTCTTCTTCTTATATGGTTGGACCATTTTGGTTTTGTTTGGTAAACAGATAAATAAAATTGAAGTCTCTGTTTGTAAAGTCAAAATAACAGCTTTTTACTAAATGCATATGAAATTATATATGGTACTTACAAGCTTTTGCCTGTCTGTCTGTATGTTCCAGTTAATCTCCAAAACGGCTAGACTGATGTTGACGGGATTTTCATTGACAGGTAACTGCTCATCAGTTACAGATAAGGAGTAACATATACTACATACTTTTATTTTAGAAAAATAATTAGGGTTTGGCTCAAAAAAATTAAAACGTAACTAGAGACAAGTCGCTAGTAGATAATAATAGATGTCGTTCATCCGCAAACTATCGGACTAATTTATTTATTAACCCCCAACGCAAAAAGAGAGGAGTTATAAGTTTAACTGTTTAACGTGTACCTGAATATCTGTGGCATCGTAGCGCCCAAACGGTTGAACCGATTTTAATTTAGTTTTTTTTTGTTTGAAAGCGGGCTTGGTCGAGAGTGTGGAGTTAGAAATCAATAAAATCTGTTTAGCCGTTTGCAGCTTTTTTCTAGACGGTATAAAGATATGAACAATTTCCATAGATCTAATCGATTCGAAACTTGGTATCCCGTTACTTTAATGACATTGCAATGATTTAACTTTGGGCTGACGCTGCACCGTCACCTGGAATCTGCGAGTCGATTAAAAAAAAATCAGTCGAATGGAGGACCTCCTCCTTTTAAAAAAAGTTGGTTGAAAAGGGCTGAATAGAGTTTTCATTCATTGCAACATACAATTATTTTCGTTTGAGACATTTCATCCGTACCGCTTTAACTTTTTGTTTTTTTTTTCAATTTTTAAATTAATTAAAGTATGAATAATTAAAATTTCATAATTTGTAAATTGAAATTATTTTTAGTCTGGTTTTCACATCCATTGGTAATCCGAGAAATAATTATTTACATTTTGATATAGGGGGCAATTCATTAATTACGTAAGGGACAATTTGGCCATTTTTGATCCCCCCATCCCCATGTAAGATTTCCCGTTCTCCCCCTCTCACTTCTTACGTAAGATTTTATCTGGTTTAAGAAAAGATCAATTACACTAAAACTCATAATTTGACGTAAATCAAAGATTTTCATTTTTAGGGTTTCGTATCCAAAGGGTAAAACGGGATCCTATTACTAAGACTCCAGTGTCCGTCTGTCTGTCTGTCCGCTTGTCACCAGGCTGTATCTCATGCACCGTGATAGTTAGACAGTTAAAATTTCCAAGGTTTTGTATTTCTGTTGCCCATAAAACAACAAATACTAAAAAACTGAATAAAATAAATATTTAAGAGGGCTCCTATACAACAAACGTGATTTTTTTGCTAGTTTTTGCTCGATATTGATAACGGCAACAGGTAGACGCTTGAAATACTCAAAGAATATTTAGTTATATATTCACTTAAAAACTAAATAATTAAATTAAAATAAAACAAATATTTAAGGGAGGCTCCCATACAACAAACGTGTATTTTTATAGATAATGGTACGGAACCTTTCGTGCGAGACCGACTCGCACTTGGCCGGTTTTTATTGCAATTAATAATAATTGTACATTAAAAAAGAAAAATTGATCTAGAGTTGTTTTCCCCAATTCTTAGCTCTCAAATACCCAATACTCTATGCTAGAAATCGGACATTTCGACTTATAAAATATTACGTAAGAATGGCTTTTACGGAATGACGGAACCGCGGGAAAAACGCTAATAAATATATATATGTATTTACAAACAATGTTATTGTATATTTTATATAAACCCTGGCCATATACTTGCAAATATAGTCCAATAGATATGTATGTGACCCATTATCTACTTTAAACAAAAGGACCCAAAATTCCATTTAAAAAACATATAAAATTACAATGTCCACATATTGTAATTTTATATTTTTATGCACTTTTTTTATTTTATTTAAATGAGTTATGGCAGATAATATGTATGTGATATGTAGGTAACATTATAAAAAAATTTGTTAAATTGTAACTTATTAAATATGTAACATATTATATTATATAGTGTGATCTGCTAATGTCATATTAATAGCCATAACCTTAATAATTGTAATTCCATTTTCCCATTGGAATGTTATATCATGAAAAGCCCCTATAGGAAATTAAGAAAGAAGAGAAAAGAAATGTATGTAAAGAAAATATACATAAAGTATATTAGTTATATTTTTATATACCAATATTATAAAAAGACAGTTTGTGTGTTTAAACCTGTTATTTTCAGGAACTACTAATCCGATTTGTAAAGTTCTTTTTGCATTAGATAGCCCATTTATTGAAGAAGGCTATAAGGCTATATATAATCATGTTACTACCCAAGGGAGCGGAGCAGGATAATCATAAATGTTAACAAATCGGGCAGACTTCGATACATTATTATAAACTGTAAAGGGAAGGGAAAGAAGAATTTGTTTTCTTGTACTTTGAATGCGGGTTCTGCTAGTGACATATATATTCATTTAATATTCTTTTCTAACTGAATTCATTAACATATTAAAAAAATTATACATTTGGAAATCTACAAATGAAAATAAGCAATAACTTTTTTTCTAATACAAAAAAATATTATTACAAAAATAAAATAAAAATTACTATGCCTACACACTTAAATTGTTAGTACACATACTTAATTACTAAAGGCACAATTGTGATTGAAAATTGAAATTAAATATATGAATTAGTTTGCTTGTAGAATTATTATTTTGATACAATAAAGTGAATTTGTCATACTTATAGCGCCATCTATGTATCACACATGTTACTAAGCTAATATCATCTGTAATCTATATACCTATAAAAAAATCAATTGCTGTTCATTAGTCTCGCTAAAACTCAAAAACGGCTGAACCGATTTAAATAATTCTTTTTTTTGTTTTGTTGGGGGTGTGTCAGGTGTGGCTTAAAAATAAAAAAAATAGGGCAAATCCAAAAAAACTGCTGGAAATTCGAAAAGTTTAGAGATGTTTATTTTGTATGGGAATCACTAACCGCTAAAACGTACCTAGCGAAGAACCCGAGCATAGCGAGGGTGAGTCGCTAGTTAATGATTAAATTTACAAAATATTTAGGAAAAATAATATTGTGGGCAATCCAAGCAAGTATTATTTTTATTTAAACACTATATTGGTGTTAGTAGTGCCTAAATATGTTATGTATATAGCATCCTTGAGCTCATAAAACAGGAATAAAAGTTACTTACTACATGCAAATTAATATAATATTAAATAGTAAACATGCACATAAAAGTATTGTTTTACGCGAGATTAGATTTACGCGAATATTTGAAATTTTAAATAAAACAATCTTTATATTATATCGTTATATTATAAATTAGCGACTAACCTCGCTTCGCTCAGGTTCGTCCCTAGGTTTATTCCCTGTACAAATTTTCATCCCCATTTTCACCCCCTTAAGGGATGATTTTCAGGATAAAAAGTATCTGATGTCCTTCTCAGGGTCTCAAACTATGTTCTTACCAAATTTCATCTAAATGGGTTCAGTAGATCGAGAGATTACCCCCTACAACATCACAAACATAAAATCACAATTCACAAACTTTACCTCTTTATAATATTAATATAGAAGTATAGATGAACCCTTAGACATTTATAAAACATCTTGAGAAGAGGCTCCAAAGGCAATCGCAAATGTTAAACAAAAAATTATCTGGAATTACTTTTTTCCAAATGAAAATCTTGATATAATAAAATGATATTGAAAATATGTATTTTGATAAAATATGCTAATATATTTATTTTGAGCTATTTTTTAACAATCACATTAGTCATTTTCTGTATTTTTTTACAAACTATTATTATCATAGTATATTATGTATTACTAAGTATCACTAAGCATTGGCTAGTATAGTTTATCTACATTATATTATTTACAGTAATGGAATTCAATCAATTTCAATTCTCTCAAATCGGAAGACGACAGATTTAAATCAGTCAGTTTTATTCATATTATGTTGTAAATAAATAGGACTTAAGTAAGTTTTGTATGTTTTAGGGGACCAAAGATTTGTCATGACCTATTACTACGCTATAGAAGACAAATAAAATTATTTATACTACTATAACTAAACAATTGCACTTGCCTGGTTCTCTCGAGGGCTCCATCCTCGCCCGTAATTTATTTATCTCCTACAACACCACTTTCATATAATAATTCAGTCACAACGATGAACCTGTCAGTAACAAGGTCGTTGAACTAAATATACCTACAAATGCAAATAATACACTATTGCCACAAACTTCATATAATTAAGGAATAAACACAATACTAAAGTTTTTTTAAGTAATTATATATAAAAAATGTAACTGATTCTATTTAGTATACATTAATTTTTCATAGTCTCAACCCGCAAATGACAAAACTAAATACATATAGCGTCACGTCATCCAAACGTCATTTCAATCTAATATTTCAGAAAGCAGACCTCAATCAATGATAGATTTTACAATCATTACAATTTAAATTTTATGTATATAATTTGCCTATTTAAATACATACAATAAAAGCAATGATCCAAAACGTAAGTAATAAATAAAAATCACATTGAGTTTTTTTTCTAATCTATACATAATAAAATTCTAATTAAGTCGAATCTGTACATTAAATATTTTTTGGAAAATCTTATTGAAATAGACATTATTATGGATACAGAGGCCGATTCCGTAGTTTTTAGATTTTTTTTTCTGTCTGTCTGTCTGTTACCGCATCACAGAAAAACCACTGGAGGGAGTATGATGAAATTTGGTATGGTGATAGCTGGTTATCCGGGTCAACATATTATAGGATTCATTTTACCGTGGGAAAATATCTCATTTCTGAGAGAAAATACAAATTATGGTCATAGAGTATGTACCTAGTATATATTTATATAATACTAGCATTGTCCGCGTCTCCGCCTGCGTTCATGTTTATTTCAATAGGATTTTCTAAAAAATATTTTATGTACAGATTCGGCTTAGTGACAATTTTATTATATGTATAGACTAGCATTGCCCGCGGCTCTGCCCGCGTTCAGATGACCAAAAACAGACAAACAGACAGACAGACAGAATGCTAGTTAAAAATATAACTAATTCTTTTTATGAAAATATTAACAATTATTTATATCTTTAGTCAAATGAAATGAAATAATTTCAAACTCTTATATAAAGCTTTCTTGTTTAACTGCTAAGAGGAAGAATTTTGCCTTCTTGTCCCGCCAGATGTCGCGACCACTATAGCCCTCAGTATATTTTGAAGCTCTATAGCGGGGATGGTTTTTTTTTCATTTTATATAAAATTTTAATGAAAATGATAAATTGTGCAGTGCTAGGATGCAAAGAAAACGAATATCCTTTGTTCCCAAAAGACAAAATTGAAGAAATTGTGGGCTAAAGCAATAAGACGACAAAAATTGGCAAAACCACAATCTTTATATTTAACTTAAGTGTCTCGGTGGTGTAGTGGCTAGCATGTACAGCTACACAACCGGAGTTCTTGAGTTTGACTCCCGGGCTTAGCTAAGTTTAATTATTGAGTCTTTCTGTATAGTAAGTCTCAGTAGCAAGCCCGGAGTTGGGAAGCTGGTGGTTTTTCACCCCCGTGCCTCGGAGTCGGTCCTGCTCCTTAACTGTCACCAGTCGTATCTTGTATTCTTCCCACCGGAGTATGAGAGTGACAGGAATAGGGAGTGTACCTACTTCTGTCTGCGCGGACACTTATGCACTATATATTATAATATCTCCTGTGCAGTTTGTCTCAATGAAATTAGCCGCCATAGCCGGAATCGGTCAGGAGGACATTATTATTATTATATTTAAGGCTATGTGAACATTATTTTTTATGTTTTGTAGTTTTTGTTTTACAGAGTTTCATACAAACTCTCATCCCCCATTTTACTCCCTTATAGGATTGAATTTCGAAAAATGGTTAAACACGTATTTATTTAATTGTATTAAAGAGCGTTAATACTAATTGTAACTTTCTTTCCTGTTTTTATTAAGGGGGTCCCTTAAGGGATGAAAAAAAATCAAAAATATTTCTTATTTTTTATCTTAAAGCTAAACAACACTTTCTGTATATTTCACATTAAGAATTACAGAGTTTCATACAATCTTTACTCACCTATTTTACCCACTTAGGGGATGGATTTTGAAAAATTCTTTCTTATCAGATGCCTACATCATAAAAGGAATACTTCCTCCAAATTTCACGTTTCTACGACCAGCGGCTTAGGCCGTGTGTTGATCCATCAGTCAGTCTAGACCATCACAGGATGCACCTTTCCTTCTTAATTCTTCCATTAGCTGGTATAACTTCTAGGTACAATACACTACGCAGGTAAGATGCGAATACAATAGAAGCAAAAAACCAGGTATAAAAGAGATATCACAATAAATTGTTTTTTACAAAAGTTTTGTTTTAATAAAAGAGTTTTTTAAATACATTAAGTCCGTTGTTGGGATATCCTTTTAAGTAAATATATACCTGTGCCAGGATGTCCTGCCCTTCCGTAGAAAATTTCTTAAATTTTTTATAAATCAATAGTCTTTCATATATTAACAAAAACTTATCAATAATAGCAAAAATAGTGTGTTTGTACGTATGTGTGTTCATAAAATGTTGGAGTGGATGTTTAGGTAATTTTATCGAATAAAGCTTCTATTAAGACTCTAATAAGACTAAATGTAAATAGGCGATACGTGTGGCGCCCTCCTTTCGAGAAATCTTCCCCTTTGTTACATTGATAAAATAGAGAGAGAGAGAGAGAGTAGAAGTGTGCTGAATATGGCAACTGGCAACACTTGGTACTTTTAAATATTTTTAATTTTTAAAGAGTCCTCCTGAATCATAAATCTGAAATCATTAAATTTTATACTGTTATTTGATCGTGGCGCGCGGCTCTTTGAGTCAAAGTATACTGTCTAGTGTGTAATTATTGTAATTATACTTTAGTTAGTCTTCAAGACATTAGTGTTCCTATAAAGAAAGTTCAAGATATAAGTACATTAGATTTCTTATATATCTACAATATGGAAAACAAAGGTGATTTCGAGTATCCTCATACTTTTATACTTCTTGGAGCTTCGGGCGATCTTGCTAAGAAGAAAATTTATCCTACCATTTGGTACTTGTATCGCGATAATCTTTTACCAAAAAATACCAGATTTATTGGTTATTCCCGATCAAAGTTGACTGTAGAAGACATAAAAGAAAACTCAAAAAAATATATTAAAATGCGTCCAGGCGACGAAAATAAACTTGAAGAGTTTTGGGAAGCCAATTATTATATTCCAGGTTCTTATGACAAAAGAAGTGATTATGAACATCTTAATCAACACATATCTAAGTATGAAACGGCCCCCGTGTGCAACAGAATATTCTATTTAGCTGTTCCTCCTAACGTATTTGAAGATGTAACTGTTAATATCAGAAATGCTTGCTTAGCAATCAAAGGATTCACTCGAGTTATTATAGAAAAACCTTTTGGGAGGGATGCTGAGAGTTCTGAGAAATTGAACAATCATTTAGCTAGTTTATTTAAAGAAGAACAAATTTATAGAATTGATCATTATCTTGGAAAAGAGATGGTGCAAAATTTATTGACCATTAGATTTGCTAATCAAATTTTCAGCCCATCATGGAATAGGGAAAATATTGCTTCTGTTCTTATATCTTTTAAAGAACCTTTTGGTACAGAAGGTAGAGGTGGGTATTTTGATAATTTTGGGATTATAAGGGATGTAATGCAAAACCACTTACTACAAATTCTTTCACTTGTTGCTATGGAAAAGCCAGTAACTTTGAATCCAAATGACATAAGAGATGAAAAAGTTAAGGTTCTTAGGCATATAAAGCCCATAGAGCTTGAAGATTTACTGGTAGGACAATATGTTGGAAATCCGAATGGGCAGGGAGAAGAGAAACTTGGTTACTTGGAAGATCCTACTGTGCCTCAGAATTCTATTACTCCAACTTATGCATTAGCTACTATGTATATCAATAATACAAGATGGCAGGGTGTTCCATTTATATTACGTTGTGGAAAAGCTCTCAATGAACGGAAAGCAGAAGTAAGAGTTCAATTTAAAGATGTGCCAGGAGATATCTTTGGACAGACAAAGAGAAATGAATTGGTAATCAGAGTTCAACCAGGTGAAGCATTGTATTTGAAATTTATGTGTAAATCCCCTGGAATGAAATTCGATTTAATAGAAACTGAGTTAGACCTTACATATAGCCTTCGATATAAAGAGACCGATGTACCTGATGCATATGAAAGATTAATACTTGATGTTTTCACTGGAACTCAAATGCATTTTGTTAGAAATGATGAACTACAAGAAGCTTGGCGTATATTTACACCAATGTTAAAAAAATTAGAGGAGCACCATATAAAACCTTTGCCTTACATATATGGCTCTCGTGGTCCTTCTGAAGCTGATACCATGCTGGCTAAACGTGACTTTAAATATTCAGGTTCTTATAAATGGCAAAAGCCCTCGGTATGTTAAAGAAATTAAAGCATTCATTATGAGGTGTAGGTATATTTTAGCATGTTTTTTATTGTTTTTGGCAAAATATTAGATTAAGAAAAGACTTAGAAAGTAAACTTTATATGTTAACATTCCATTTTTGTACTGGTATGTTGTATTTTTTACTAAGGTCATTTTAAGGTCAAATTGCTACTTCTATTTAAACAAGAATTATATATTATATTTAACTGCTGCTAAAAATGAAATGAACATCTTGATAGTTATAGAAAATATTAGCTTCACATAAAATGAGACTTAAGGTCATAGTACAGTTCTTGTTATGAAAGTATATGCATTGCTTGTCACATTTCATTGATTATGCAGAGGTCAAATATTTCACCTTGAAATGTAGATTTACCGTTTTCATTTAATTGTAGGATTTCTTGATTTATCCCTATAATGAGTGAAAATATTATTAAACTAAGCCTTAGTTGCATTTATATTTTTTGGCAAAAACCTAATTTATTACTATATTTATATATTATATTATACATATACATTGTGATACTTGGCTGTAGACGATGAATAAGCAAATTTCAATTTGCATTATTACTATTGTTTATCATGGCGTGAATGGTTCATCATAGATTACATTCACATGAAGTATTAACTATCATGGTATAGATTATTTAATAATCTACTAATTCTATCAAAATGGCATAGTAATTAAATTGTGAAGCACAATATACTTTGAAAATGAAACATTTTATAAATTTGTGATAGTAATCGTTTAGCAAATTTATTTTATTTTATGTAAATTACTGTGAATCTGTCGACGACCACCGAGCCACAGGTGCCTCGGTTAACAAATAACTTCTTAGAAATTAACCGCGAGTGTTAATAAATTACAAATTTTTACAAGTTACAAATTTTTTATGGAACAATATTACTTGCATAATATTTTATTATAATGTTAACTTATTGGGCCAATTAAACGGATTACTAATTTGTGTAACTGAGTTTTAATAGCTTATTTTAAATATTATTATTAATATAATATTACATATTTAAGTACAAGATTTGTTTCAAAATTGCTAATTGTTACAAGATATAATAAAACATGGATGTGATATATTTTACAAATATAAAAAATATTTGATTAAACCTTTCATTATATACTTCTGAACTAAAAATAAAGTAAGCATTTTATATTATTTACAATGAACATATTTTCTTAAGTATATAATTACTAGTGAGTGATTTTTTGAATCTTTACACATGTTTACATTTATTAAAAAGAAAACTATTTTTTGTATACATAATTATTAATTATCTTGATATATCAATGGTTGTAAATGGTATTTGTGGTATATACAATACTTATGTTTTTTACAAGTCAATATAAATGCTGAATTTTATTACGTTTTGTTTTTGTTATTTCACTATTATTCTCAATTGTTTACGGTGTCGGATAAGAAATAGTTATTATACGGTCTGGTCTACGGGAAGCTTTCCCGTAGCTGACCCGTGGATCGATTAAATTTAGTTCAAGCTTTCAGATTCACGGGAAAACTTTTCGTACTTCTCAGAATTTTTACATTTACAATAAATAAGTTCTTAAAACCAAATTATATGATATTTGTTTTTAAATAAAATTAAAATAATAGTAACATAACATCAAATTATGGAAGGTGACCACAAGGACTAGCACGTCACTGATTTAAAAATAATTGCAATTTTGATTTTTAGGATTATTGAAAATTATGAATACTAGCTATTAATTATTGATAGAAATAATTTTATTGTTTATTTTTGAAATTAAATAGCATTATTAAAATTTAAATAACGTGATTAATATAGGTACATGTTTTTCTTTATAAAATTTACTTATCTTTATATATATAATTCTTCTGTGAGTGTGTATGTCACTGAACTTCTCTCAAACGACTGGACCGATTTTGATGAAATTTTTTGTGTGTGTTCAAGGGGATCTGGGAATGGTTTAGATTCACAATTTGAATAATAATTTTTATCAAAAAAATTATTAAAAAAAGTTTGAAATTTTCAAATTAAAGACGTGTAGACAGGACAACGTCTGCCGGGTCCGCTAGTTATAATATAAATCAAATAATAAAATTTGGCTTAATAATTCAGTTGACCTTTGAGCTTTTTTACATTTTTCACATAACCATGGTTTCGGTATAGTTTTTAAAGAGAAACATTTAAATATATAATCTATACTTATAATAAAATTGTAACTAAGCCGAATTTGTTTTAAATATTTTTTGGAAAATCTTATTGAAATAAACATTATTATCGATACCGATGCCGAATCTATAGTTTTTAGAATTTTTGTCTGTCTGTCTGTCTGTTACCGCATCACAGAGAACCCACTGGAGGGATTTTAATGAAATTTATTATGGTGATAGCTGGTTATCCGGGTCAACATATAGGATACTTTTTACCGCGGGAAAATGTCTCATTTCTGAGCAATAATACAAAAACTGCAATTTAAGAGTAATATCTAAGAATTAGGCTTTTGGTCATCTGAACGCGGGCGGAGCCGCGGGCAATGCTAGTCGTATATAAAGTTAATGACGATGACAATAAGGAAGCATATTGATGAAATAAAACATGAAAAATCTGTAGGTATATACTTTCTGATTTTATCAGCGTATTATCTAATATAATGTTTTAGTATTAGTACCTATCTAATTATTGATAATTTTGCCAGTAGTTTAGTATTTAAGTAGCTTTTCTAAGCTGCTTTTACACTTAATTATCTAACAAAACTGAAAATAGGAATGTTAAATCCTACTTAGTTAATTCACTTTTTATTACAATATAGTTAACGTTTAGGTACATGAGTTCGCACATACAAATTTAATGATACGGATGTTTAATAATGATTAATTGATTACGTCATTGTGTAATACATAACCAACTGTTGTTCGCAGTTTCGCGTGTACCTACTATTTAATTCGTTTTATTTTAATGCCTTTTTTATAAAATTAACGATATCTATAAATTACATCAGCTTACCAAATACAGTAGGTACTACAGTTGCAGTGTTTAGTAGAGGCTGTTTTAGCCAAGCCTAAATTACAACATAACTACGAGCTTGGTAGTATGCGTAAATGTATTTCCTAACTCTAGAAAAGCACAAACATGTCCATCACACGGGAACCGTTCATTTTTCCGGGATGAAAAGTAACCTGTCATCAGCATGCCAAAATTTACAAAATTAGGTACATAAGTTGTTGTGTACTAAGCTGTATAAGTTGTTATAGTTTTATAACTATCCCACGGAAACTCTTTAATTTTCTGGAATGAAAAGTGTCTTAGATGTTGACCGGGGATATAAGGTACTACCATGCAAAATTTCATTTAAATCGGTTCAATAGTTTCGGAGATTAGCTTGTACAAACAGACAAACAGCTCGCTCGGGTTCGAATAATACAAGAGATAATACAACGTATTCGTAGGTATACCTACGAATACGTTGTATTATCTCTTTAACCATTTGTTCAAATTATATACAGTAAAAGGGAAAGGCAGGCAGTGGTAACGCGCTCGCTTGGGAAACCGAGTGAAGCGGGTTCAAATCCCGGGTCTTGCACCTCTGATATTTTCATGTGCGAATCATTTCTAACATGATTTCCACTTGCCTTACGGTGAAGGAAAACATCGTGAGGAAACCTGCATGTCTGAGAGAACTTAGCAAGTTTTCGAAAGACATGTGAAGTCCGCCAACCCGCACTTGGCCAGCGTGGTGGACTATGGCCTGATCCCCCTCGTATTGAATGAAGGCCCGTGACCAGCAGTGGGACGTTAAAAAGGGCTGAATACATACAATACATACATACAAAAGGGAAAAGTCTTTTGTTTTAAACATTTTAGACGATAAATTTACTTATTTTGATAAGAATTTATATGTAATTGTTGATAATGTGACCAATAAACATGACCTACCGATTTAAATTATTTTTTTAATATAAAAAACTACTTTTTGTGACTTAAATATAAAAGTTAGACATATGCTGTCGCTGACTTTTTTGTAGGCATTATTAAGTTCTACAACTTTTCTCTAGAACATAATCATACCTATATCTCTCATCGTCAAGGTAGCGTTCGTATGAAACATTTTCGTTCGACCGTTTTTTCTCCGACTTACTTTGCAAATGCAACTACCATGAAAAAGTCTTTTCATTCTTTGGGTTAATATATAGCCTATGACACTCAGAAAGAACGTGGCTTTCTATTGGTAAAATAATTTTGAAAATTGGATCAGTAGTTCCAGAGATTACCACCCACAACGTCACAAACTCACAATATCACAAACTTTACCTCTTTGTAATATTAGTATAGATGTAGAAAGAAATCCTGCAAAGCTAATTTTCCGATATGCGTATACATAAAGCGAACACGATTATCCGATATAATTCATTCAAATTAAACAAGCGGTAACATTGATAATATTTTAAAATGAAATAAATTACTTATTTTGGAAAAAAAAAAACTTTTAAAATAGACAGAGCGTCTTAACACCTCCAGTTTTTATATAATTTATAATATCGACGATATGTATTATTATATATTATATACAAATTAGTTTTATTTTTTTATTTACAAATAGTTATATTTTTTTCTATCAACACTGAATCTAGTGCCCTCTGCTGGTGTACTTGAAAACTAATTCACGTCCCAAGCACACGTTTTATTTGTCATCCATGGTTCCAAGCATTAACAGTAACACACTTCGGCATTGTGCGCCAAAGTACGGCATTATGCTCTGTAATTGGGAAACAAGGATTGATTCACGGACTCTTTTTTACCTACCCTACCCCAGCCTGCAAATTTATGATATTTGCAATGAAAAAAATACTAATCGATAGATTTTCAATAGCTCAATTTAACTACGTAGCCCTTTCAAATTGCTCACCTTTAATTATTTAATTAAAAATCAATAAAGTCTTTGAAAAAAAATTAATTTATCTGTATATTCAAACTCCTATATCTTTTGATGTATACAATATTTCAAATTGCTCAAAGTTCTAAAACACTGCTCAAGTTGCATTTGTAATTGCTCAAGTAGAGTTTTTACCAGCTCCACTTTCGCTGATTATTAAATAATTAAAAGTATAGTTGTAATAAATGTAACGTAGGTTAAGTGAGCGTGCGCATGCGCACCGCGCATTGTCGGTCGGCCTCGGCGGGCTTGGACAATCGTTCCAATTCAACGTCTTAATTCTTACACATAAAGTTACAAAATAAAGTTACCTTTTAGTCATGATTTGATTTTTGTATAAATTGAACATAATGAATAAGTCAATAAATAATAAAAATACCTGATAATAGATGATGTTGTGCTTGGAGTATTACAGTTTCATTTCACTATGATGAGGTTCTGAAACACTTGATTTTGTTTGCCTTGCGACTCGCGTTACTGTTTGCGCGCATGCGCAGCACTCACCTATCTATACGTTAAATTTATTCAAACTATTTATATTTATTTAATAATTAAGGAAAGTGGAGCTGGTGAGAACTCTACTTGAGCAATTACAAATGCAACTTGAGCAGTATTTTAGAACTTTGAGCAATTTAAAATATTGTATATATCAAAAGATATAGAAATTTGAATATACGGATAAATGATTTTTTTTTCAAGGACTTTATTGATTTTTAATTTTATAATTAATGGTGAGCAATTTGGACGGGCTACGTAGTTGAATTGAGCTATTAAAAATCTATCGATTAGTATTTTTTTCATTGCGAATATCATAAATTTGCAGGCTGGGGTAGGGTAGGTCTCTTTTTTTCAGAATATCATATAATTTTTATTTTGAGGGTATGCATAATCTGTAACAACTACGACTTGGTAAAACCTTAGGTCTCATGCACACCACGTTTCGTAAAAGCATCACGGACAGTACAAACATAATATATGTACATACATTATAGCTGTAATACACAATACAAATATGTTCGTATGTTTGTCAATACGTATCGACGACGCGTTATCATTAAGCCATCAGACAAGACAAGTCATCGGGTATAAGCCTTTATTTATTTCCATAATTATGATTAATGTTTACTGTAATGTAAAGCATTCGGAACGTTGGCAACAAAAAAACCTAAATAAAACCACGTTAAAATCGGAAAAGATTTATTTAGAACATAAATATATGGATGTTAAGATATATTTGTAAAGGGCGATCTAGAGGTCCTGCATAGACTTCAAAATATATGTCTCAGTGACTCTATCTATCTATCTATCTACGCGTATGATGTAAATGGGAATAAAAATAAAAGTTCCAGAAATGAGACACACAATAATATGTCCAAGCTATTAAAACTTTTTTTTGGACTACAGATAATATATTTAATACTATAGAATGACAACTGTTAATAATATTCTGTGTCTGTCAGCTGAGTTTAGTTTACGTCGTGCAAGCTATGGTGGTGTTTATGATTAAAAATCTTAAATTATTGAAAATTTGAGCAGTGTTGTGCATTATGTTGTTTCAAATTATAACAAAATATTTCATAAAATGAATTTAAACAGCTCACTTATTCGTTTATAATAAGTCAAGTGTAGATATGTGATGTTCATTGGATGATATCCGCGTTGTTTGTGTAAGTAATGTATCTTTGTTGTTAGATGGCAAAAAAACAACACGTTTTATTTTAATTATCAACAAAATCTTCAGAACATTTTTTTTTCATCAATGTATTTTTTATATGTCGTAATTGAAATAAAGGCTTGCTCCTACATAAATTGCAAGTACAATCGATTTCATTTGTTCAATACTTATGACGTCTATGTTTATTTTGGGCAGCATATTTAATATTGTGGCTTGATATCATATATATCAAAATGTTTAAAATAACTGAATCATAACAGTAGAAATTGGTTTTTATTGAATATCTAACTCTTATTATATAATAGTTATTATTATAAAAAATATAAAACTGTTTGAAGTAATGTATTACTTATTTGGGGTCACAAAGATAAAGAAGATTACTGTAAGTAGTTGGCAATAATTATTATTTTAATAATAGATAATATATTTATACACAAGATACTAGAATAACTTAAAAGTTACAGGTAATATATGAAAATATTACCCTTTAATGTAATAAGTATTAGTCTTATTTAGTATTAAGATGGTTATTATTTCAATTTTTTTGCAGATTTTATGTATTAATGCAGATATGATTGAGCAACATAATACTAATATTTAATAGAAGTTTTGTAAAAGGCACAATCATGCTTTACGTATTCCATGTGGATGCTGGTCAAATGACCACTTATGACATGAATCTGACCTTACAAAGGTAAGCAAATTGGATGACTGCACAATTTAGTAATATAACCTTTTATAAAAAATATAACTTTTACATTAAATGATTTCTATAACAAGTTTAATTGCATTGTTTAATTTTAGTGTTGGAAGTTTAAAAGCAGCAATTGAAAGAAAAGCTAAGATTCCTGCATCATCCCTTGTGCTTTTAGTGAGTGGGGGAGAAGTCTTACAATCAGATCATATGGTATCTTCTTACAGTGCCGGTACAGACACAAACCCTATATATATGTTCAGCAAGCCATCAGTTAAGGAAAGTCATTTGCAGCAATCTAGTAAGTTTAATAATAAATTTCATTTATAAGACAGCACAGTGTTTAGTATGGTAAAGATTCTTTGATATATATTTTGGTAAATAGTATTAAAGTATTGACATTGTTTTATTGAGTATATTTCACTAATTTTAAAATGATTTCAATTTACATATTTTATGATTTCAGTGTGTGACCTAAGCCCAATTGTGGAATTGAGCACTGGAGAGTTTCGAAGTGATAGTCGCAGTGCGTTTGATGGCAAATCTGTAGCTGAATTAGGAGCGGCTGTTGAGAAATGTTGCATGCTGCCACGCACCATGGACACTGTGATAGCTTGTGCAAATTTAGCAAAGCAGTTCAGTGATCTTGCACATGATGTCTACCGTGGCTGTGATCAGTTAGTACATGAACAACATTTGCAACATCAGGTAAATTAAATTAATATTTTCTGTTGTAAAAGTAACTGTTCCTGCTATTATGCTATTTATCCTGATACAATCATAATAATTATTATCAAACTTTAAGAATATGTCTTTATATTTATTTGTTTCTAATTTAAGTGGTTTTTTCTTGGTTGCAGGGCTGGGCAGCTGTTGTTGCTAATTTGGAAGACATATTTAATGAATTCACTGAAAGGTCTAAGAGTTTCAAAGAGTCATTTAGGAAACACAGACTAAAAAAGGATGAATACAAAGAGCAATTGGAAAAGTAAGTTTGGACATTTATATATAGCCTCTAAACATGAACTTCTTTTAGGAATATAATATAAAAGAGAGGACTGCAAGTTCATCTTATATTTGATTAATTTATATGTTGGTTAACAAGTAATTCAATAAAAGCCAAATTAAATATGGCCAGTTATGCTTAAATTAACATTAAGACTTATTTAACTTCCATTTAATTTCAAATCCAAATAAAAAAAATTATTACAATTTTATGTATGTATGCCATATTTTATATATATCAAATTAACTTGTATGTTATGAAAAAGAAATATTTTTTTTCTACATGACATATAAATGCCATATTTAGATTTCAATTAATAAGTACATATGTGTCTATTTTTTTTTTAACATTTACATAGGTACATACATATATTTATTTTTGAGCAAAATATTAGCTTGAATCAGGTTATTTTTGCAATAGCATTAGCATGATATAAACTAAACACATATATGATTGCAGGTTGAATGAAGTCCTGGAGTCGTTGGGCAAGATTCCAATATTGCCAGCACTTCAGTTAAATGCAGAAGCTCATCGCTTCTCTGCCTTCGATGTGTTTGAAGAAACTGATTTTGAAGGTCACCATTATGGAGTTAACCAGCCATTAGGAAGCAGTTCTGAAAATAGAACTGCAGATTTTGGGGTTGGAGTATTTAAACTATCAGAGGAAGATGGTGAGAATTGATCTTGGTTTAAAATTAATTATTAGTGCAACTTAGAGTTTTATTTATAGTGGTCTACACGAAGTAGTTAAAAAAGACAGGAAGTATCAAATTATTCTACAGCTCCAATATAGTTTAAAATGACTGACAAATACTTTGAAAAAAGAGGCTTTTAGAGTATAGATAGCAGCCTGAGGACCAAGGGTTGACTGCTCAAGGGTTAACTGATTAAGTCAGCTTATGCACTAAAATCCTTTCTGCATGCTTTGATCTGTAAAAGAGACTAAAATTGACAATTGTGGAGTCATTAGTTAAGATGTCTGTCAATCTTATATTATTTATATAAACTCTTTTCCTCATAACTTTTAATATATTTGACGGAGTGTTAGTCATATTTATATGTAGCACTCACAATAGACCAGGCAATGAAATGGTCACAGTCCCCCCCAACGCGCGTTTACCTTGTCGTGGTGAAAGGCTCATTAGCATCCGGCAGTTTTTATTTAGCACTTTTTAACGTCCCACTGCTGGGCACGGGCCTCCCTTCAATACGAGGGGGATCAGGCTATAGTCCACCACGCTGGCCAAGTGCGGGTTGGCGGACTTCACATGGTTTTCGAAAACTTGCTAGGTTCTCTCAGACATGCAGGTTTCCTCACGATGTTTTCCTTCACCGTAAGACAAGTGGTAATCATGTTAAAAATGATTCGCACATGAAAATATCAGAGGTGCGAGACCCGGGATTTGAACTCGCTTCACTCGGTTTCCCAAGCGGGCGCGTTACCACTGGGCTACCACTGCCGGCAGTTTAGCTGGACGCAAGGCCAAGAAACGCCAACTTTAGTGGTCGGATTACCATGCGGGTTGCTCTTAGTACTTCTCTGACGGCAGAGTGGACCGATGGATCAACCCTATGGTTATTGTGGTCTGCTTCGGCAGACCTGCCTTCGCAGCGTTGTGGTTGAGTGCGTAAGCGACCCTGCGAGGCCCCATTAAGTCGGAGGAGGTTTTATTGGGTTTTAGTGGGTAGTACTAGCTTTTCTAGCCCTAGAGTCCCACATAACCACCTGTACGACTACAGGTGGTATGCGTAAATGCATTTCCCAACGAAAAAAAAGAACAGGCATGGTCACAGTGATATCCTACAGCAGCAACTAACAAATAACAAAAAAATATATATCTACATTACAATATTACCTCTTAGTGACAGTATTTATGGAAATAATTCTATTTTAAATAAGTTTACTTGTTTCACTTGTTGAATTATTTTAATTGTGTGGATTAACAAAGCGGAAGTGGGTATTGTAATGACCCCTTTGGTTTAAGTAGAACTGGATATGCTAATGCATTTAGTTCAAGTGCCTAAAGGCGAATTTTGTTTAAATGAATGCATGATTGTATTGTGCTTGCATGAGTTAAAATTACAAATGTAATATGTCTTTCCCTCAAATCCAATCAAATAATTTTAATGTTTAAAATGCACTCAGCGAATATATCGCTTATAATCGGCAAATTACATTAACTTATTTTAGAACTTAATTAAGGTTACATAGGCCAAAACGAAAAACTAGACAAGTCTACAGTTAAATTATGAATAATAAAAAAAATAGCGATGGTACTTGCTATGGAAAGATAATTGCAATTTTTGTTAATTATTATTTTTATATAAAACTAGCATTGACCGCGGCTCCGCCCGCGTTCAGATAACCAAAAACTAAATTCTTAGGTTTTGCATATTAGTATACTCTTACATTGCAGTTTTTGTATTTTTTCTCAGAAATGAAACCTTTTCCCGTGGTAAAAAGTATCCTATATGTTGACCCAGATAACCAGCTATCACCTTACCAAATTTTGTCAAAATCCCTCCAGTGGTTTTTCTGTAATGCGGTAACAGACAGACAGACAAAAATTCTAAAAACTATAGATACGGCCTCTGTATCAATAACGATGTTTATTTCAATAAGATTTTCCAAAAAATATTTAATGTACAGATTCGGCTTAATTACAATTTTATTATATATATATATATATATATATATATATATATATATATATATATATATATACATATGTATTTTAGTGTTTGACCAAAGAAACGCCTCGACTAGCAACGAAGGCGCAACTTCGTCCGAAGGTCACGCCATCGAAGAGTCTGACGAAGGAGTAACCTTTAAGGCGCCGACCTGTGAGAATAAGGACGAACCTACGCTTTTACATTGGATCCTAGCTCAAGGGAATAAGGCGTCTTTACAGGACATTATTGATTATTGTCAGAAAGGTTTAGCTTTGGTAAGTACTTATTGTGTCTTTGTTTCTGAGGTTTTCGTTCTAAATGTTTTGATGGTTTTTTTATTTAGAATAAATATGAATTTCAAGCTATATAATAGCTGTAAATTTAATTTTACTAAAAAAAATAAGTGCAAAGCAAATATGTATGTATATGTAATGAAATTTTTAACTTTTTTTTTATTATTAACAACTATATTTTTTTTATTATGGTTTATTATATTTCATTCCCTAGCATTATTAAATAGAATTAGTTTCAGTCGGTATATGTATACATGTATGTATACAGCGTGGAACAAATGGATGGTACATGGAAGAAAAGTACCTTAAATATTGAAGTTATTTCTTTATTTTCAAACATAATAATAACTGCATTTAATTTTTTTTTAAACGCTTGCCTGAACCGGGAATCAAACCCAAATAAAAATGCAAAAGAGGACACCGTCACTATTTTATCGAATGAATTGATAGGGTCTATGATAAGAATAAAATCTCTCGAACAAACATTGCGTCTCAGAATTAAAGAAAACAATGAAATCTTACAAATTATTTACTAATTATTATTATAATTATTTACTAATTATTGTAATTATTTATTAAAAAATTATCGACTCTAACATCGTGTAACAAAAGCACAGGACATGGAAGAAAAGTATCTTAAATTGTAAAAATATCAATTTGCACCCAAACGAAACATTATTTTATTTTAAAAAATAAGATTAACTGCATTTAATTTTTTTTTAATAGTAAATCTTGTTAACTTCAATATTTAAGGTACTTTTTTCCACGACCCATCAATTTGTTCCACTCTGTATATGAAGTATATGTATATTATCTAAAAAATAAAACCTCGTTCAGATTGACGCCGAACCCCTAAAGGAGCGTGAAGCAGAGCTATATCACATATTGGAATATGCGAATATGCGTGGGTTGAAGCAGATCAAAGGTATAGAGGACCGTCTGTACGGACTAGATCAGTTACTAAATGATCTTAAGAAAACTGAACGAGACCAACATAATCAAGCAGCTTCCCTTATTCAGGTATGTAACAACAGGTAGACATTTTATTATATGCCCATATTTATGTAATGATTTTTTTTAGAATTATATGCAAATATAAAGTAAAATTTATTTGATTCGGTGCTACCGTTGCGTTTCTATCATCGCACCGTTTGCCGTCGGGTTGGATGTCATCCACTCATCCTAGACGCTTGTCATATAAATGTATGGGCACCACGTTAATTTTTGCCTCACACGTGCAAATTGTGGAATGAACTTCCTTTTGAGGTTTTCCCTGAGCGTTAAAATAGCGCATGGTATGTAAATATAGGGCTCATCAAGAGTCGTGCTTTAAGTCCCTTAAAGGTAAAGCATTCTCAACTCCTTTAATATTGCAGGTGCCTAGCCATTCACCATGAGGTGCATCATTTGTTCGTTTGTCCGTTTATCTATAAAAAAAAAAAAAAAATAAGTTTTTTTTTACAATTTTACACAAATTTATTTATAATGTAAACAAAGATAACTATACTCATAGACATATTGTAGAATAGATCTGTGTTAATATAAAGATATTTTTGATATATAATGTACTTAATCCCTCAACGAACGCGGATACGCCGGCGTTACAGGTAACAATAGATTTCTTAGAAATTTAATGAATTTCTTAGAAATTTACCTGGGGGTGTTAAACTTACCAACTTTTCAAAATTGTCAATCAGTTACATCAAACTATGCTAATTATAATTCTTGTAAAAAATATTTTCTACATTTTCTTCATATTTTTTTATTACGTTTTACAGTCACGTGAACGTCTCAACTCTGTTTGCGACTCGTCCGTGCTGCCAACGCTCGTAGAATCTCATTGGCGTCAGTTGGAGAAATTGCTCAAAGGTCACCAATACTTGGTCGATATAAGACGACGAATTGCCAAGTCTAAGGAAGAACTGTCTCATATTTTAAAAGCTAGATTGGAGTAAGTAAACCTAGGTCAATTGTATTATATTTCCTACATGTGCGTAGTTTTGTATAAATATAGTTATACATTTCGTGGAATTGTATAACTTGCCCTCTCTAGATTGACTCGATTTGTTATCTTGTCTGTAACCCAATTTGGGCTGTATCGATGACTTTGAAAAGTTTATATTATATGATACTTTGATATAATCGAATTGATTTAATGTTAAAGTGAGAAGGTGTTGAATACTTGAACTCTTCAGTGGCAAAAATGGCATTCGAGTTTGGAGTCATTCGACTAGTTTTGACTCGACTCAAACATAGTTGTTCAAAAGCGTGTTTTTTTTAAATTTTTTTAAATAATTTTTTTTCATAGATGATTATGCAACACACCGCATATATAATGTCCGTTCTTTTTTTAGCTTGCATTTATATCTCATTATTGTAAATGTTAATGTAAACAAACATTTACACTCTTGCATTGCAAGTAAAATGATTACAATCGTAGGGCGGTGCTGATGATCGAGAACTCGATGTCGGTGCAGGACGCGCACGCGATGCTGTCGTTCCAGTGCTTCAAGCGGCTGTCGCGGTACTTCGGCATCGTGTCGCAGCTGCACCGCGCGCCGCGCGTGTACGTGCGCGCCGTGCACGAGTGCGCGCGGCGCAGGACTTTTTCGGATGCACATTTGAAGGTTTGATGTTTTATATGTTCGATTATAGCTTCGTTTTTGTTGTTATTTAGAAATTAGATGAATTTGATTTGTTAGATTTAATTGTATGTTTTAAATAAAGTTTTTTGTGTGTTTTTGTGGTTTAATTAATATTATAAGTTACGAACAAACGTTTGCATTTCATAGATAGTTAAGATCCTAGCAAATAATGGCATCGCTTCATAGTGCCCATTTTTGTTTAACGTTTTCATTTAATAAATAACAATAATATTTTTTTGTATTCACGGTGCTTTGTTATATGTTTTATTACATTTTCGAAATGAAGTCGCGATGAATAGTTAAATGTTCAATATAAGCAACCATACGGGAGAATAAGTCTCAAGTTTTTGCTGTATTTAAAACTGGTTAAATATAGTAAATCTGTCTAATTTATTGCATTTAAAATTATAAAAAATATATATACATACTTCAATTTTATTATTCAACTATATACAACTTTTAGTGGGCAACAGATCTAGCACAGAAGCTATATAAAATCCACGAAGAGGAAGTAACAAGACGTCAAGAGTTCAACAACCATTTTGATGACCACTTCCTCAAAAGCCTGTTCCCCGGCATGACGGACCTGCCGCCGCCCTTCGCGACGCAGGCGCCGCAGCCCTTCGACTTGAAGTTGCCGCAACTGACCAATGAGGATGTCGAACTCGTGACCACCTCCTTCCCCGACCTGGCCACTGATGTGCCTAAATACGATATGGACGTTATTGTCAAGTTTTTTCAGCAAAGGTGTGTGCTGCTATTTTGTTACATATTTTTTTAATGAAATAAATTTAATGCTTATTAAATCATTAGCTTTATTGAGAGGGTGTTATTAAGTCATTTTTCTATAGTATCTTAAATATTTATAAAATATCTTTTTAACATAATATATAGAAAAAAATTGTTTCTAATCAATATGTATATCTGAATTAATTATTCGTTTTTTACTAAGTTTAATTTTACTAAATTCTTGTTTTTTTATAGGCTAAGTGCATCTGAACATTATGACAAAGATGTAAACGTGCAAGTTGGTTTTGTAAAGTAAGTATTATTTTTTTTATTTGAAATACAAATATTACGATATATGTACTTTTACTTGACATCAATATGATGTGTGACATAATTTTAAAAATTGTGTCAAACAAATTCACCATATTCATTGCTATTGGTCTAAATGTCAATTTTAGAATGAGATAAAATGTTATTTTTTTATGATACTTTCTTAGATTTACGCGAATGTTTGACATTTTGAATAAAACTATCTTTTCGGATATTTTCGCAGATTTATTTTGATTTTTGGTTCCCGTCTCTTAGCCCCGTCGTTCAGTCTCTCCCGTGACCGTGATTGCTGTAGACTACACTGATTTTCGGTTCTCGACGTTTCATATGCTCTGAAGTGTAGAGCATTCGAAACGTCGAGAACCGAAAATCAAACTAAATTTGCGAAAAAAATAGAAAAGGTAGTTTTATTTAAACGGTACGTTTTAACGGTTACTATGAAATAAAAACCTTTGAATTTCTCAATTATTCTGTACTATAATATGCACGTATTATACATATAAACCTTCCTCTTCAACTCTTATCTATTTAAAAAAAACCGTATCAAAATTCGTTGCGTAGTTTTGAAGATCTAAGCATTCATAGGGACAGACAGGCAGCGGGAAGCGATTTTGTTTTATACTATGTAGTGATGTTATTTATTATCTAAACAGGGATTTGGAATCTGATGTGGATTTCGAGAAGCTCAGTAGACAGAGCGGGTGTAAGAAGATCGACACGTCGACGACGTGCGCGCCCGACACCAGCGCCGCGGCCACGCTGACCGAGGTGCGAGTCCCTCCCGAGTTCCTCCACTCCGAGTTCTATATAGAAGAGTCCCTCCCGTCCAGCTTGGAATGGGGCCGCGGACAGGTGCACTTCATATCGTATCATAACCACTCATATAAGTTTATCTATATGGGATATTTAGTTTAATTGATTTTAAATAAAACTATCTTTTCGAGGATTTATTTTTGTTTTTGGTCTCAGATGTTTAGAATGCTTTACAGTAATCATGGTCACGGGAGAGATTATAGTATTATATGTTTCACAAAATTAATTATATCTAATACCTTTAAACGAGCAATTCTTGTATATTTATATATATCGGCGATCTCGGAAACGGCTCTAACGATTTCGCTGGAATTTGGTATGTGAGGGTTTTCAGGGGCGAAAAATCGATCTAAATTAATCTTACGTCTGGGAAAACGAGTGTTTTCGAGTTTTCATGCGGTTTTCTGTCGCATTATTCCACGCAAAATATGGTCGCACTATATTTCGTATACGCTTGGGCTTAAGCATCGTGGTCAAGCGACCAAGGCTCAAGGCAAGTTTGAAAATCACAGGTGTCCCGGTTCGAATCCCGGTCGAATACAAAGTATTTACTTTTGTTTCTTTTTGTATTTATTCAAGTTTTTAGTTTTTTTTTGTTTTTAAGCCAAGTTAAAAAGAAAATTGTACTTTTGACCAAAAACTCCAAGCGAAGATCGGTCGCCCAGGTACTAGTTATTACAGACGGCATCTACCAACTAAACTATACATTAATTTAGAGGAAAAGAGTATTGTATATAAAAATAATAACAAAAAAGATTTTTTTATTATCGTTAAAGTTGTAAAGTACTTTGATGGCAACTCTGAATTCTTCTAAATTAATATATAGCTCGTTAGGAAGATGCCTTCTGCAATAGCTTATGAGACGTCTAAAACTTTAGTCTCTCCCGTGACCATCACCCACTCACCGCCGGGAACCAAAAATCAAAATAAATCCGCGAATAAATCCGAATAGATAGTTTAATTTATATTGTCAAATATTCGCGTAAATCTAAGAAAATATCACGTTATTTGTCAATAACATATTTTATTTTGGATATGGACTAATTAATATGAATATAAATAATTTATAATTTAGATTTATCTAAAGTGGATGTGGGTATGGGAAATATCGGTTTTACTAATTGCAAACAATATGGTGTTAAGCACTTGTTTTAATAAAGACTTATCAATAATTTATTTTACTGTGATATTTAATATTGTGATGGGCTTATCTGAGTGGTCGCGTTCGTAGTTGTTTTTCGTTGCTCCTGTCTTCGCCGGCCCCATTTTTAGTATTAAAGTAGTGGACTTTTATTTTACTTCATTTTGATTTTGGAGTGTATATTTATATAGTATTACCAAATATTAGTTTATATTTATTATTTGTTAGAGTAACACGCTTTTTTTCAATTCTTTATATTTTATTTGACTTTTCACTTGAAAATTTTAACATTAATTTTTATTTGTAGGATAATATGGATACTTATAAAATTAACATCGAAAAGTTACAAGACTTCTTAGTTAAACTGTTTAGTGTGTGTAAAATAAGTATCGTTCTAATAAAAGAAGAATTAACGAAATTAAAAAATGATATAGATGAGCAAAAGAAGTTTATTCATGATGTATATAAATCTGTTAGTGAAGCTTGGGAGAAGCACAACGAAGAGATAGATATAAAATTCCGTGAGCACACACAGAGATTGACAGTAGACCATGAATTAGAATTGAGTGATATGAAGGCAGCTCTTAATGAAAAAGATAATATTATATGTAATTTAAAGAAAGTAACAGAAGATTTGAAGGCAGCACATCAGAAAGAGATAGAGATGCTTGGAAAAGATCATCAAAACACAAAAGAAACACTTGAAAAGACTCGAGAAGAGTTAAGAATTTTAGAGAAGAAAATGGAGGAATCAGATGTACAGAATCAAAAAGATATCAAGGAAATGCAAGAAAAGTTGCATAAAGAATATAAGGCAGAAATCGATTCTTTGAGATCTAGGTATGTTATATGACATTTTTATTAAGGAATATATTTTTAGGAATTAGAAGTTAGATGTTAATAAAAAGTTAAATAAGGTTTAAATGTAACTTAAAATCAATTTAACTATTCTCATAACCATGTGAAAGCTAACCGTTTAATGTGTGTATAGCGTCTAGGCTATTTATTGTAGTTGGATCACAGATCTAAGTGCATTTTTTCTGAACTTTCCTAACAATATTTATAAGCAAATTAAATACAAGAATGAATATTTTTTAATTTTAGATTCCGTCTGGTGGCTCTAACGAATATGGACAGATCGCCGTCGGAATCCAGTCTGGAGAAGATCGAGCGTACAGATGTAATAGAGATCAGTAACCACAATGCTATCGTGATGCAGACTAAAGAGAATGCGGAAATGGAGAAGGAGGACGCGGTGAAGAACGCAGTGGAGAAGTGTCGCGCCGAGTGGGAGCTGAAGTTGAACGCTGAACTGACGCTTATCAAAGCAAAGTATGAAGCGGAGAAACAGGTATGGAAATGTAGTAGGATTATAGTTCCTGCTATTTTATAAAACCACTAGCTTTTTTTTTACAAAATAGCTATGCGTAGCAGTTTAACGATGTTTAGTTGAGTTGTTATAGCGTTAAGATTGAAAATAATTCAAACTCGGCGACAGTTCTGATTTAACAAAGGAAAGTCTAGCTCCCATCTTGTAAAACTGGTAATGATATACAAATATTGTGTAAAAGAACAAGTCATTTTGTAAATCAGCTTATTTTACAATACCACTGCGACATTCATATTTCATTTATAGAATAGATGATTAGCTTTATAAAACAGTTTTAATAGTTTTTACCTTCTACTTATAACTCTTTGCATGAACATTGATGAAAAATATGGTTATTTCATTCACAAATATATTAAAAATATATTATAATTAAACTTGGTATGGGCCACCTTGATGTTTATTTTATTAGTTTGTCTACATATAAAACTTTTTTTTCAATAATTCATTTTCAACATTGGAAATCACTTGTCTGAAGATGAAGGAAAATATCCTGAGGAAACCTAAAAGATATGTGAGTCCTACCCACAGTTGTCTAGCGTAGAGCACTATCTCTGAACCCCCTCACAATCTTCAATGCACGAGAGCTCTTTGCCTAGCAGTGGGATAATAAAAGGGGCTGAATTACAAATTGCAGGTAACAATAAACGACGTGACACGTCGCCTCCTATCCGAGAAGGACCGCCAGCTGGAGCTGCTGCGCGAGCGCGAGCAGGCGCTGAGCCGCGAGTGCACCAAGTACCGCGACACCATACAGCAGCTCACTGACCCGGAGACCAATGACTACGACAGCTTGTTGAAGACGCAGGTATATTTTAAATAAAACTATCTTTTCAGATTAATTATTTAATTATTAAAATGTCAAATATTCGCGTAAATCTAAGAAAGTATTATGTGAACGTAGGTATATACTATGTTAAATGGTATGTTTTATTGTTTCTTTTTGAAGTTATACTTCTTTTGGCACGTTTGGAAAAAATGTAAGAGTAAAATTTTTACGATGCGCGCGCACACCGACAGCCAAAAAGCGACGTGGTGAATTTAGCTGCATTGCTTTTACAAACAAAGAGTTGTGACATACGGGATGAAATCTTCAGCTATTTTTGTTCTGATACGCCAAAGAAGTATGAAGTTACGTGCGTTAGTTATTTTCGTCTTCATGTTTAGTAAACACTTTTGCATTATTTTGTAATAATATTGAGTCGTTTTGAGGTTATTAACTTATTATAAAGCTACGCAAAATTGTATGTAAGCGTTATAGATTACAAATAATGCAAGATACGTTAGAATGAGAAATTTTAAAGTAAAGATTAAGGAAAGCCTACTTATTTGTCATTATCGATCTCTTCGATTATTTGCATACAGAAAACTGATCATTCCACTTTTATTTTTTTTCTAGTTTGCTACTCTCGAAAATGAGAAGGCATTATTGCAACAACAAGTAATGGAGCTGAAGAAGGAACTCGATAAGAAGAATGAAGAGGCAGATAGAAGTAGAGAAGATGATAGTGATGGCAGGTGCGTAATGTATAAATTAAAATAAAAAAAAAAATTCTTTGTTATTTTCGCTTGCTCGAATCATCTATTCGCCATTATAATTGATTCTGCCGTTCAAAAGATTAACGGGTATAAACACACTCAAATATGTATGTAAACAGAACAATTATATTGGGTTGACCATTTCACATGAGACACCTACTTATCAAATACCAGTCATATTTTTCTAATAGTCTCGAAGATGGATAATGACGAAATAATAAGAGTTCAGTTTTAGCCTTTGTTGTTGAAAATTGATCGTCAATTGAAGATATCACACTCACCCTACATAATATATACATGCATCCGACTTGAGTACCTTCCTTTTATGAAATCAGTGAAAAAATGACGAGAATTAGCCAATTCGCTTTCAGGTCATCGCCGAAGCGCGAAGAGTGCAGGCGTCGCGCGCGCTGCCACACGCCGCTGGGGCTGGCGGGCGGCGCGCTCAGCCTGTCCTCGTGCCTGCCCGGACACGCCGTGCTGCTGCTGTGGGACCCCGCGCACCTCAACTACACCGTCATGCAGGTACTCATCCATTACCATACACACCTATTATAATCTATACAGATAAATAAAATTGAAGTGTCTGCTTGTAATGTCAAAATAACAGTGTTCTACTAAATGCATATGAAATTATATATGGTACGGCTGGACTGATTTTGACAGGACTTTCACTGGAAGATAGCTGATGTTATAGGGAGTAACATAGGCTACTTTTATTTTAGAAAAAGGATTAGGTTTCCACTCAAAAAAATTAAAACGTATCTAGGAACGAAACCAAGCGAAGCGAGGGTGAATCGCTAGTAGCGGATATGCGTGTTACGCACTACGCACTTACGCACTATTTTGAATGAAATTAATTAAAGTATGTCTGTCATAACAGTAAAATAAAATTAAGTCTTTTATTTACTCACGGTCATTTATTTTAATTAGTAACATGTAAACTTTAAAGGTGTCTGCCCACTACACAATCATCTGAGTATGTGTTGTGTACATAAAAATTTAAATATTATTAAGTCACAAGTTTATTTATTATGCGTTTTAACAATTTCAGGAAGCATCAATAATGTATTTCGTGCACAGCGATTGTCTCCCCGCACTCGATCTAAGTATACAAGTGAAGAACGAGAGTGATCGTCGCCTCTACGCCATCGCTACCGTCGAGTCCAAGGAGTATTGCTATGCCAAAAAGGTAGTATATTATAGTAGTAAAATGCTTTTGCCACTAGATGAAGTAAACTCATTAAATAATGATTCTGTTGTACCATTAATTCCAAATTTGGGACTCCACAAATATTTTATTGTTTAGTTTATGTTGAAAAATAAAAAAGTTTCGGTAACAATGTTAGTTTTAAAAGTATTTTTTGGCCATGTTCAGATTTTTCTAATGACTATTTTAAGACCTAAAGTGGATAGTATTTTTTAGTTAACGATAACAATTCTAATTACATCACTATCTGTGGTACTTTAATCTATACTTTTATAAATTTATACACAGACTAAAAAGAGGTTTTATCGTTCGAAGTTAGTTCTGCAAATGCCGGTAGGAATTTTTACGAGCATTATAAAAAACCATGTAATTTAAGCAAATACAAAAGATATAGAATATAAAAATATTTTTCAGAGCGGCAATCGTTTCCTGATGCCGCGCGGCTCTCGCTTCTACCGCGTGCGAGTTAAGCCATACAAGCCTCATCTCCCGCACCCGTCCTGTTGCGACAAGCAACACAAACAGGGTAAAACATACATACAAAACTACACAACATACAAAAAGATCATACATTAATATCATACAGTATATTAAAACGTATTATGACCTTAGTGATGCTGTAAATTCAGATGTTCTATTAGCTTTAATTTTCATTGTAAATACCTTTAAATGTTAACATTAAATAAAACTTTAGTAAATAGAGTATCTATGGTCTTTATAGTATTATTACAATTATTTTTCGCGACACATTTCTTTGAACAAAAATGAAATTCAAATGTTCAAATACTACAATGGTTAAACTAATGTATCGGCGATTAATATTTTTCAACTACATAAGTTATAGTAAATCAAACTTAATATGCTTTAAAAATAAAGACACTTTTGTATATAGTACCTTAGCGATACATTAGAGCTTTTACCACTTATTGTCCTGTCTCTTACGTTGTGTTCACCTATTACTAAAACAGTTGGAACGCACTTTTTAGTTCCTTTATTTGCTTTCCCGCTACAATCAATTTAGATTAGTTTAAGGCTCGAAATGAACGGATCTAAATAATTTATGACCGTGATTTTCGGGTTTAGATTTGCATGCAATTGTATTCGTTAGTAAAAAGCACGCTCGTTGCATTGCAGATGCAATGAGGAGCCCCGTGCTCCCAGTGTTCAGCAACCGTCCGCTCAAGAAGTGGTTGACCTACATGCATGTTTCAGGTCTTTGCTTTTAATCCATCCTTCCATTTGTATCAATTATACCCTTTTTATTACGCTTTTTGGATTCTAATTTTGTTGTTTTTTTACTATATTTTTTGTCATAGAATTTAATCACAATCTCTTAATATCATAACAGATCTTATATGTACATGTCGAAACATGTAACAATGTATAGAATTTTGACAAAAACAAATCATTGTCTTCAGATATGCAAAAGTCAGTAGACACGAGTCAATCGACCAGTTCTAATACAGATGAAGCGAGTCGCGTGGAAGTGGCAACGGCGACCCTCATTAATCTGGAGTCGCCGGTGTCCGCGGGTGACCCCGTACCCACCGCCGACCCTTCAGGCCCCTCGGGGTCCACCGGTGACGCGGGCCTCTCAGGCCCCTCGGGCCCAGCGCCTGAAGATCAGCTCGACTCTATAGAGTCCAGTGACCAGTGGCACCCCGCGAGGATGCAAGTATCGACCGTCAGTGCTTTGTGAGTATAACATGTAGTATAATTATGTATTAAGTCTAATGAATGAATGAATGAAAATGACCCCGTAATATACATGTAATATGTTATCATATAAATTTACTTACTATCATATCATAATACAATAATATGTATTTAAAATTATTAGTTAACTTCTTTTAGTTACTATCATGAGATGTAAAGATATATTTTTTATTGATAATAATTATTTTCCAATGATTATTGTTATTTAAAAAAATGTCTTTACATAGCATATTAGGTTTGATTTAATCTTTTCGCAGTGACTTATCTTTGTTATTTCCAATGTATAAAGATATAATAGTCATAATATACAAGTCACGCTTGAAATCTATTTTTAAATAATATATCAGTTGTTTTTATATAAAACAAAGATTACATATATTAACATACATTCAATGACAAGTGGTCAACTTTGGTCTCTGAGTTGCTGAGGTATGCTGAGAATATTGAATAACACTGTTATTAAACGGGGCTATTCCATATTCTCAGCATGCTCTCAGGACCCAAGTAATATTTACTTATGTTTTGTTTGTGTATTTTATGTTTGTAATAATTTATAATGTATAATCTAGTTAGTGTAAGTGGCACCGCCGTTCTAATTGGATGTAAAATAAATAAATATAACTACAAATTAATGCAAATTACCCATATATATATATATATATATATATATATATATATATATATATATATATATATATATATAGCATATCGTTTTAAAATGGCAATGAAGATGCGATAAATTTATCAGTATGTGAAAACTACGTAATCGGTCTAGTACATAATTGCGAAAGTTTGCATGTGCGATGCACTTACAAGGGATGTTATATAACTTATAGTATGTAGTATACGTTAACTGCCTCGGTGGTGTAGTGGCTAGCATGTACGGCTGCACACCCGGAGGTCCTGGGTTCGAGTCCCGGGTCGGGCCAAGTTTAGTTATTGAGTCTTTCTGTATAAGTCAGCCTCAGTAACAGCCCGGAGTTGGGAAGTTGGCGGTGTTTCACCCCCGTGTCTCGGAGAGCACGTAAAGCCGTCGGTCCTGCGCCGACACTCACTGGTCGTGTCTCGTGTCGTTCCACCGGAGTATGAGAGTGGCAGGAATAGAGAGTGCACGTTGTGTCTGCGCGTACACTTGTGCACTATAATATCTCCTGCGCAGTTGGCTAGTCTCAATGAGATTGGCCGCCGTGGCCGGAATCGGTCAGGAGAACATCAGTATATATATGTCATAATAACATTCCAGGACCGACATGGAATGCAGCGTGGGGCGGTGCCCGGGGCCGGAGCCCCTGGAGGTGGCGGAGGAGGCGGCGCCATGACGGCCTACACTCAAGCACGGACGTACTGACACGCCTTGAATGTCCTCCGTGCTGGGAGTGTGACTGTGGGTGTAACAGCTGGCGTGTCATGGCCCTCACTACGAGTTTTAGTTGGCACTCGATAACACGAACGAGTTGTGAGTTATTCCATACTAGTTATAGTCGTATGGATAAAGAATGAGATTGTAAATGGTGTTGTATTTTCAATTCTAGTAAAATAACTATCGCATTTTAACTCATAGTTATTTAGTACAGCTTTAATGAGACGCTATTTTTAATTTTATTCTTTATTAGTACAGGTGTATGGAACAACTCGTAACGTGAAACCGAGACATGGTAAAACTCCTACTAAGGGCACAATTCAAATTGGGAGTCGATTAGTTCTACTCACTTTCTTACAACATTTAAGACACGATGTTATTGTACAGTGTACATGTTGCATATACAATGACCTAATATAATCGATAGCTTACGGCTATTGGTATTGCTGTTACATTGTATGGAGTCCAAATGGAAATAGGATTGATTTAGATGTGTTGAAATATTTCAACTCATTGTTACAGTTAACTTAATTCTTTATCATTCTTTACTATTGTACAAAATTGTGAAATCTTCAAAAATTGATTGATATTATCTTTTTTTATCGAGAATATCGTTGGTGATATCTAAAATGTGGATAGGTAAAAGAATTGTAGATTGTTGGCGAATAGTAATTTTGAATCACCAAACAAAATTTAAAATAAAAATGAATAGTATGTAGACATTTGAGTATTTAAACAGTTTTTAATTATTATAGCTATCAATTACAGAGTTACGTTACTTTATTATACCATGGGGTCTCATCACGAAGAAAGAAAAAATAGTTCAAATAAACATTACATGTATCGATTTGTTATTAAAGTTGTGTTAAATTAATAAAATGTTAATTATTTGCGAATCAACGACATCTGCTATCTATACAAGCAAACAAAAATAGCCCGATTTAACGCTGTTTCTTTGTATGGGTTGGGATTTTATACCGATAGCTATAAGCATTTAAATAATGTTTATCATCCATTAGTGAAGTTAGCTTGGAGTTAAAATGAGAAAAAATGAATAAATCATGCTAGAACTGCTATTTGATTTTCTAGGGATATCTATATATATATATATATGAAACAAAGTCGAGTTTTGTTATAACACTTAACTCGGAGAACTGCTGGACCGATTTTCATGAATTTTGATTATCGAATAGCAGAATCAATATTAAAACATTGGAAAAATTAACGGAAAAAAAAATTACAAGGCTAACGCTTGATGATAACTATTTATATCTATTTCAAACGTATCTAGCGAAGCGAGGGTGCCGCTAGTAATTTGTATAAAAAACGCTAACATATGTGAAATACTTTAAATTTACTCTCAAAATTCTAATTACAATTAAGTCACCGACATCGGTTTATTAAAAAAATGTAGGAATTGATGTTATGAGCAATAATTTATTGCAAATACATTATTAATAATGTTGGTTTAATCTGTTGAGAATCGCAGGCACACCGGTGTGTCAGTTAACAATTAATTTCTTAGAAATTATCCTTGAGTGTATTAAATGATTGTTTAGTTCGATCGTTTGATAAATTCTATTTCTATTTGGACTCCGCCACTAGATAGCGTGTATAAAGAGTTGGACTTGTGATATACTAAGTAAGAAGTTCGAAGCTTGCCCATCAAGCGTTGTTGAGAAAGTTTGTGATATTGTTTCGGTGATCTTGAGATTTAACTTGAATGCGGTGTTATGAATTATATATAATTTTTATAAGATATATTTGTTAGATTTATTCGATTAGCGCGTGGACCGGTGATGGTTGGTTTTATCTTTCACTTAAGTAGTCTTACTAACATATGTATATTCATATGTTCAATGTAAGATTTAAAAATTTACGTATCACTTTTGTATGACATCAAGTTTTCCACCTAGTTAACGTCTTCCATGATTTTAAAAGGTGACATGGAACACAATATTGGAAAATATATCTTTTTTTACATTTACGTAATATGTATAGATATAATTATCGTAAATTTTCATATATTTTGGTATGGATTGGATTTATTGTAAAAATTAATTTTAAACGCTAAACTTCATCGGGATTAACTGTTTAACTTGGACTATATTCCAGATATGAAGTTTAATAATGGAAAAGGTTCGCCTCGAATCGTTTCACAAGAGTGTGGTTTCTTCTAAATAGTACAAATTTATCATTTAGTCTTTGTTAAAGCTTTATGTGATTTGTTTTGCGATTCAATTTCACTCATATTGTTTTTCTATTTGTGTTGTGTATATCTTTAGTTCTTTTTTGTGTTATTTCAATAGAAAATGATAAATATATAAAAATATTATAAATGTAATATTATTGGTGATATATTGTATTATAGCACAAAATTACTCTATTAATGAACACTATTTCATTAGTTCGCTCTAGTTGCGTTATAATTAGATTACGAAAAAATATATCGGTCTTATAAAAATGTCTAATTCAGCTGTAGCTAGCGCCTCGATCCGTAAGATTGTCCTACCCTTAAGTCTATCTCGATATACCTACCTAAGTCATAGCGGTTATATAGCGGGCCTCGGTCCTTTCTTTAAGAATTCTCTTTACGAGCGTGTACTTGTGTAAGCTTCAGAGAGAAAACGCTTAAACAATTGATCTCGCTTCAATATTCTTCGACTCCTAGATAGATTCGACACACTAGATGTAGTTTAATCAGGTAAATGTACGAATTTTACAGTTTCATAGTACCGTTTAATATAAATCGAAGCACAGACTTTTGCGTCCGATAATTGTTTTAGCGATTCTAATTCTATAATATATTTGCTAATTGCGCAAATAGCGATGTTGTTGTATTGTATATTGTGAGGGCATGCTTCGTGTTGAAATTTGTTTGTGGCCTTAAAACGTGGCGCCCGATGTGGGGCACCAACTGTCTCTAAACTGATTTACGATAATACAAGAGCTAGCTTGTATATTATTTTAAATGGGATTAGAGCCATCGGCATTGCCGACTGCTGTGATAGTGCGTGCTGTGCTCTCCTCGGTCCTTCTATTGGTGATTTTAATATTGTATCTTGATTTAGTCATATAAATATATGTTAGGGCCTATTTAAGGACGTACTTTTTAATCTAAAAATACTTGGTCTAGACACTAGATAAGTCAGCTTTGTACTGGTGAAATTGTTTGTCTTTAGGGCCCATTTAAGCAATAAGTTTTTTAAAAAAAATTGGTCGCAGTTTGGTCAGTCTGTTTTAAAAGTTTGCTTATAATTATTATGGCATCATCTCTTAAATGTATAACGAAAAGAGTATCCGAATTTTGTTTGTTATCTAAATGCTTTAATTTCAAGATGAACATTGTTATTGTAAATAGATGGTTGTTGATGTAACGCAATTATGATCTGTCTATGTAAAGTAATTAGTTCGAGGGGTCATTTTTGTGCATACAATATTTTTTAATTGTAAATCCTATAATTATATATTGAATATTTTAAAATTAAATGCAAATATGCTTTGCATAAGCTATATTTATTGTAATTAAACAGAAGGACGGTTTAAATAAGCTAGCGAGCCGCGGGCAATGACTAGTGTTGGCAGCACTCGCATTCTGCGCAACAACTACGATAGCATTATGGTACGAGAGCTAATTATCAAGTGATTGCAAAAGAAGAATAATGACTCTGTTGTGATCGCTTAACGGACTATTTTGTAGTGACCAATTTTATTGTTAGAAATTAAAAGTGTAAAATTGACAATTTTAATGTAATTTTTATATACAATAAATAGACCATTTTATAAAAAACCGTTATTTTTATTTTTCAGTGAGCACTTCCAAAATGTTTAAGCACTGATTAACAATAAGCCCTTAAGGTTAAAGGAACAATCGCTTAACATAGAAATTCTTAAACTATCCTTAACAGATGAAATAACAAATATATACAATTTACAACATAATTATATACAAATTTACATAAGCGCTATTATAATAGAGAACTAAAGGAATTGACGGTTTGTGATGGGTGAACATCGTAGTACTGCTTACATTCGGGTACCTCGTGCGTGTTGAAAGCACAGTCGGAATAATTCCAACCTTGCATCTCTAAACTGCTTTGGGCGCAATCCTGGTTGTATCGCGCGTTGTAATACCGTTGATCCTGCATTTCCATAACCGGTGATTGATCTCTAACGTTTTCCATAGGGTAATACTGGGCTTCTTCTGGATAGTAATTTTGTACGTAAGTCTGTTGATCGCAATACTCCTGCTGGTATCCATTGCTAAATAGTTCCGGTGAAGGTGTGTCGCTGGATTCTGAACCTTGGGGTCTTTGCCATTCTAACCAATATGCGTCTTCGGGCCTGGAATTTTCGCTGTTGAGATCCGCAAATGTTGGTGGAGATTCTATCGTGTTTTCTTCTATAGGAAAGTCTAGTCGGATTGGTTGGTCAAGCTGAAAGATTTCTTCGGGGTGGAATATATCGTCGGGAATAGCGTTAGGGTCGTAGGTCTGTTGCGGTATGGAGGGTGCTGGCTGTGTGGGGGGGATGTATGCTGTGTAGGGCTGGTGTTCTGTAGGCGTCCAGGCAGCGGCTGCGTATGGCTCTGTTGCTGTCTCGGACCGCCATCGGCAATTGCATTCAAATGGTCCACACGTGCATGTGAGTGCTGTTGGAAAAATAAATAACATATTAGACGATTTTATATTATTTCTAAACATTTCAAGTTAAAAAGAACAATATTATGATCAAAAACCTAATTTTAAACTAGAATTGATTGAATTTCGAAGAATAAATATTTGAATTGGAACTTACTTCTTTGGTTATCTGGAATCAGCGGTGGCGGCTGGGGGTGGACGTTAATTTTTTGGTGCATATGTTTATCTGGTTTCCCTGTTAGTATTTTGTCCGCGATCGCAGCTTCCCTAGCAAGTAGCAATGCTAGACCACGAACTCTTCTTCCTGCGCCGAGTGATCTTCGTACTTCACTTGCTCCTTTAGCTTCAGGACGAGGGTGATCGTGTGATCCTTTTGCTTGAAAGAAGATAGCGTGTTCAGTGTGACGCCAGAAGTGAGTGACGGGGTAACCGCAATGACCGCGACATGGCTGTACTTCCAATCGACCGCCATTACAGAGACGGTTTGGACATGGCTTACCTGGAAAAACCAATAGAATGAAAAGATTGTTAAAAGAAAACGTGTGTGTGTACTTATGTACGCACGTAAGAAGTTATACCTACCACTTCTTTGGCATAACAGAACAAAAATAGCAAAAGATTTCATCCCGTATATCACAACTCTATTTGTAAAAATAATGCAGCTTATATGTCGCTTTCAGCTAACTTCATCATGTTGTTGTATGTAAAAAATTTACTCTCTTTTCCTAACGTGCCAAAAGAAGTAGGTTCAAAAATTAAGTTATTACAGATAATGAATAACTAATAAAACTGTTTCAATAGTTACAATAATAATTAATCAGTAAATGCTTTAATAAAAAACTGCACGTACTAAACATACCTTGCTGTTTTTTTCTTGCTTTATCACATATCGCTGGTCGTAAATGCACTCTGGAACCGTCTGGCAATCGACATCTAGTGGAGCAAACTAACACGCCCAAACAACTTTTCTTCAATATGTGAACATTGTGATTATTGGTATTTCTCATTGCCCATCCTGAGGCATGTCTTCGTGCTTCTTCGCAGCCGGGAGGGTATACGCGTCGTACGTGCCCATCGCACCATTCACCGAAGGAATCAAAGTTAGTGACCCTTGGTACTACCGCGTCGTTGATATCCCATTCGGGTGTCACTGGTCCTTCCGACATATCCGTTCGGCTGGTGCTGCAATAAATAGATATATCAAGATTTTAATAAAAATTCATTATATTTGAATGTCGATTTAATTTATATTTTTATATGTAAAAAAAACTGAGTTATCCAAGTATAGAAACAATTCAGTAACTAAAAAAACTAATAAAATAAGTATGGTATATAGGTAGAAAATTCATACGAAAGTAATACTTTCTTAGATTTACGCGAATACGCGAGACTGACAGGGTCTCTCCCGTGACCATGGATGCTGTAAAGCATTCGAAACGTCGGGAACCAAAAATCAAAATAAATCCGCGAAATAATCCGAAAAGATAGTTTTATTTAATAATGTCATACGAAAGTAATTACCATTTTTTTTATTTGGTAGATATTTTATATGATATAATATAAAGAGATTTTCAAATATTTTTTTGTTAATATTTTTGTTAGTTTCGTAAAATGCCTAAACATCGGATTAAATTATTAAGTTTCGATGATTAGGTACCTACAACAGTTATACAGATAAAAAAGTAGGTAGGTACATGCTAATTGCTAATATACCTACAGAGACCAATATTTTATTTCATTTTGATATTCAACAGTCTAATATTATCTTTACACCTTAGACCTACCTATGCCTATTTTAAATGAACGTCTTTATTTTTTATTATTTTGTTCAGGAGAACATATCGAATTCAATAAAATTTTAAACGAACATCGCCTTCACACTTTTGTGTCACGAAACTAGGTCTATTTACAGATAAATTAAGTAATATAATAAATTGAGGCGCTTTCACGATTCTGTTTTGCAATGTCACGCTAAATATGTTACAGTCTATATAACGGGTATCGGAAGGCAACCCTGTTTACGTGACCAATAGCCGTGTTATATGAAAGAAAGCTCCCCTCTCAAGCTTGTTTAGCCAATTACTTTAAAATTGCCTTCTGAAAGGGAAGACGTTAATTGAATAAATCGCTTTCTAAAAGAAATAGTTTTAGAGAAGCGTGGAATCGTTGTTACTGTACTTTTTAGGTTTTTATTACTTGTGCGTATGGAATAGCTTAGGTATTTACCTATTACTAGGTACCATAATTTTTTGTTTTGTATAAATAATAATAAGAAGCTGTACTTATATAATGATTTTAATACCTAGATAATTTGTAAAAGAATAGCAAATTTGCAAAAAATTTATTAAAATAAATTATTACTGAAAATTATTTTGTAAATTATTATTGATTCGATAATTATTTTATTATAATGTCAATTAGGTAAAATTATATAAAGGACAAATTCTCCTAGCACAGATAGCATAGATACTCATGAAATAGCTGACTTTTGTGAACTTATTGTGTCAAGAACGGAGTAGGTAATGGTGGTCTACAGCTTGTCTATAGGCACTTTATTAAGTTTTATATTTACTGTCATCAAATATATATAATTTTACTATCACATATTTTTAAATCGCTTTTAATTAAAAAATATTAGACTACTTATTATAATAAATTTAATATTTTTTCGTAACTTTTACGTTTCTTTGACACAAAATAAAGAAAAATGTAACGAAATAAGTAAAGAATTCAGTAATAAATAAAATAAGTTCAAATATATACCTATTATATTTAATAAATTTAATTAAAAGTTTCAAGTTCGCAACTAAAAATTAAGTGCAGTAATGCAAGGACACGCTCGTAAAGAGCTTTATATTTAACTTGTTTATTCATAGGCAATGGGGAAATAGACGCATCACGGTTTCAATAGGCTTCAATTAAGTTCAATTGCCGTCCCTCCAACACCTTCCACAATTCACCCCAACTTGACTATGAACGTTCTATTAAATAAAGTGATTATAATTTAGTTATATTTGAACTTAATGTAAATGTCTATAATAATAAGCAAAAGATATTTACTACATATTAGAATATGGAATGAATTATTATGTGCAATATTTTATATTGGTGATTCCCAATTATGGTAGGATCTTCAATAGGAGGATGAGAAAAGATGGATCTCAGAATAGGTATGCATAAAGTAATTTTAAAAATATAATTAACACTGCGAGCGTCAGATTACCTATCTAGCCCTAGACTAGCTATCTTAGTTAGGTATATCGTTAGTAGTTACTTTAAGTAAAAATAAAAATGAGTATAAATATTTCAATATAGGTAAATAAATCATCAAAAATTTATAACAAGATGTTTATATATTTATTTACCCATAATGATTTATTCTATAGAAGTCATGAGATTTCTATTCATAAAACCTAATAGTACTTAGGTTGACAGCCATGTTATTTCTAAATGTAAGATTTGTAAGATTCAATAATAACTAAATTAAGCTAAATTCGTAGACATATCGTGCCTAGCTTTTTCCTCAAGTACCTATACCTATATTTATTTTTCCATCATTTATAAAGTGAATTTTGTTCTTCTATCATTTAATTTAACAACGCCGTAGGTCTTTTGAATTCCGTTATGTTTCAATATATCTATTATTTTAAAAGCATACATAACGGTTATTACTTTAATAATTGTATTTTATAAAATTACAATAAATATATTATATTAAAGCTACTTTTAAGCTCTATTTGTCATTAAAATTTGTAGGTACAACGTACGAGTAGCTGATAGCTGTGTAGATTTTATTTTATCACAAAACATCTCAAATTAGATTATTTTGAATTTAAATAGGTAATAGTTAATAGGAGGTACCTACTAGGAAATAAGGTTAAAACAGAATTATAACTTAAAAATCTACCGCTAAAAACTTAAGTAGGTATAATTTTGGGTAGTCACTGATTTATTTCTATTACTGAGTTACGAGATTAATAAAATGCCAATTGAAAGCAATATGCAAATAAATATATAAATGTGTACTTACAGGATAACCATCTCCGAAAGGGTGCGATGCTCGATAGGATAAATATTCGATCTTCTATAAATAAAATCAAATAACCACAGTCCACAGTCCACTAAAAATCACTCGAACATGTTACAGTTTAAATTATTTTGTTTCCGCTATAACATACGCACGGTTTGTGTAACATGTAGCACACGCATCGAAAGCTCATAGCTCACTGACTTTAACAACAAAAATAAACATGGGGATGATTTCCCCCACCATGCAAGCAAAGTGGGGTACTCTGAAACACCAATAGCCGCCTACCATTTGCATAACTCCTCCCCTCGACGAGGCTCGGCCAATCTGTTACGTTATGGTAACAACCAATGGGGCTTATACGATTAAATAACTCTACATTTCAGGAAAAATTGTGATGAGTAATTTCAGTGACACATTACCTACATACGTTACGCTTTTGAAAGTATTGATTTATATCTAACTATGGAACAAAACATTTCTATAGTACAGTTATTCTATATTGGGTTTTAATAATTTCAATGTACTTGGTAATCTGTAGACATATTAAAGGTACAGCGAGAGAGAGAGACAAAACTTATTTTCTATAGTTATATATATTTGCGTATAGGCAAATGTCCAAATAATAGCTTCTAATTACATACACAACAATTACAATATGTTGATAAAGTCACATATGTACAATCCATATAGGTATTAGATGCACCTAGGTATATTTGCATCTTTAACGTAAACAAAAGTAAACTAGCCGTAGGAGGTCAACATTGATGTATGTAGTTACACTGCAACCGTACCAAAAATCCATATTTAGACTTAGATAAAAATAAAAAATATCTCTAATTTACGTATCGAGAATTTTATATGTAAGTTTTTAATATGGACCTTACAAAACAATTTTACAATTGGGACAATTTATAAAACTGGCCTGAGAACTCATGGCCCTACTCATATGTATCATGTGTTATACTAAAAATAATATAAATTATTAATTATATAAAATAGGACTTATATGTATTATTGTAGATTCATTATTTTATTCTTTATGTTGTCATACTGATATAAAATACTCCTTTAAGTTTTCTGACGTTGTCATCTTGAGTGGAAAAAGGGCGGGAGCAGCGTTGTATTTTGTTTCATGACTTTAAAAATAATGCGTGATGCGTCATTCTTTTTGTAATGTCGTTTGAGGCCATGAACGAATTAATGTTTGAGGCGTTACTTTGACTCAGTATAAAATAATAAAAACTGTGTGCTGTTACACTGAATTTTACTTGGCCAAGTAATAATTAATGAATTTGTTGTATTACGTAAATAATATAAACCCCTAGCATCCTTTTATTTTCAAATGACTCAAAAAGAAAGCTAGCTGCCAATAGAAATTTAATTTGTGTTTTATTACTGGTAATAAAAAGCTTATGCTACTTGTACCTACCTAAATTTTTACCGTTTTAAAATAATACATTGTTTGTTTCTCTGTGTACCTATTTTTATTTGGATTCCAGCAAATTTTGTAATAGATTACCTATAGGTATTTATTTTTTCCTTTCATATTATTAAGTAATTTTTATAAGAATTAATTTAATTTGACTCTTTAGTAAATATTTGTAGGAGGTATATACTTAAATAATTTTGCTTAATAGCTATATGAGAAATATTTAATTTAACCACTAGCGAGCGTACCTTTGCTTCGTTGTGGCTTCGTCCGGTGCGTCTCGGGGTATCTTTTTGCTATATTTTAAACCGTTTAGGCAACACACATTAATAGAGCAACTCAACGGCAGATTTTTATTTCTGATTTTAATTAATTATATTTTCTGACAATTAAAACATGTTAATCGGAATAAAAATAGCTTATAATTACTAGGCGGTAATGTTGTTACTTATTAGTGAAAAAAATTTCAGAATCGTATCAGTAGTTTCAGAGGTTTTCATCTTCACTTTAGTTCCAGGCTTACAATTTTAATCTCTTTATAATATTACCTCCTTAAAATTTTCGTGTAGAGGACATACAAAAAGTCAAGTTATGCAACAGAAGAAAAATAGGTAGGTATATGAGGGGAGTGCTATTAAAACTTGCTTGAAGGGGTATTCAATACGCGACTAGGTAATCAATTTATTATATATTATTAAATTAATTAC